TCCCACCTCCAGGCGTAAGTTCTATTTGTTATAATTATGTTTCATTGCATTTGATGAAATCAATATGGGCCTAGTCCTCGTAGTAAGCTAACAGTTTTTTAAATGCATTTCACGTATCGTAACGTTCGTTCCAAATTAGAAACATACACGCAGATTATAGAAAAGTTCAGTTGCCTTGAACAAATAAAAAAACACCAAAATAAAAATATTCTGAACAGTTCACAACGATCGAAGAATATACTATATTTTTGTTTTAAACCAGTTAACAATGCTATAATAAATCTTGATCGAATATCTCTTCTTCCTTTGTAGCCACTCATCATCAAGGAAGTTAGACCACCACAGCCACCACCGCCACCTCCGCTTCGTATTAGACAACAAGCACCAGCTCGTCCAAGCCCGTAAGTAACCTACATATTAGCTGACAGATTTCTGTATTAACTTGAGAGATAAATGATATTTTTCCAAAAAAATTTCTTTCTCAGTAACACATGAATTGAATAACAATATAAAAATCTTCATCCTGGAGAGATACTGATTTTTCTTATTATTTTAAGACCCCCACTCATTCTTCGTGAACGACCGCCAATACCGCCTCAATCGGTTCAAAGTCAAACAGTCATTCGTCGTTTGGCTCCATTACCAGTCCCGCCACGTTCAGTTATCATTGAACGTCTTCCACCTCTACCACCCAAACCACGTAAGTGATTAACATTCGTTACTCAGATACTTAACTTTCTTCAGAAAATAAGATTCAATGCATCAAAGTTTTGAAATGTTTTATTTAATTATTTGTTTATGTTAAGGTGATATCATCATCGAAAGATGGATCCCATACGGACGTCAAGCCAAACGTCGCGTCATTGTTCAACGTGCTGTTGCTGCTCAACAATATGTAAGACCACGAAATATCATCATCCAATATGAACCAATTCAAGTTCGTGTTGTCAGACAATTTCAAAGACTTGGAGTTCAACAAGAAAATCCACACGCCTATGTTGCACGATTTGGTGCTTCACTTAGAGATGCCCAGACTTTGTTGCAAGAAGCAAGACAAGCAGGTGTAGTCGAAGATATTTCGCCACCAGTCGGTGGTGCTATTGGATTTGGAGCTCAATCTTATGGTCAAGACATCGGATATAGTGGCGGCGCTGGATTCAGCGATGGTGCAGATTTTGCACAATCATCCTATGGCTCTCAATCCGGTTATGACTTAGGATTTGGAGGTGAGACTTTTTTATGAAATCAAAGTTAGATAATCGTTAATAGTTTCCTCGGATAGTGATAATTATTTTTAACATCAGAGCGTAGAGCAATCATAACTGAGAATTTGTTAAAACACTCGGTTCATTTCGCCTTGACTTTTTCAGGTGGATTCGGTGGATCAGCATCAGGATTTGAAAATGTAGGTGGATATGGAGATCAAGGGGGATTCTCAGGCTATGAATCATCTCAAAGCTACGGCGGTGGTTTCGGCGGAGGGGAATTTGACAGTCAGGGCGCTGCCTTCCAAGGAGGATATGATGCGGGATTCGGTGGTGGTCAATATAGCTCATCATCATTTGAATCATCATCTTATGGTGGTGGATTCGATGCCGGCTCTGCTGGATTCAGCAGTGGATTTGAAAGCGGACTAGGAGCCGTGGGATCGTCTACTGACTATGGTGTTGGATATGATGCAAATTTATCTGGTATTAGCGGATCTTCTGATTTTGGAGGACAATTTTCATCGCAATCATATGAATCATCAGCAGCTTATGAAGGATCAGCCGGAGGTTACGGTGGAGCCAGTTACGGTGGTAGCATCGGTGGATTTGATCCCATTCAAGCTGCTTTCAACAGAGCTGATGCCAACAGAGATGGTACTATAGATCAAAATGAATTTCGTCAATTCTTCCAAGGTGGTTTATAAATAGAAAGTGATCATTGCTTTAATTAAACTGTTGATAGTATTTAAGGTTTTCTAAATTAATCAAAAGAAATACCTACATTATTTTATTTTAAAGGCTAAAATATCTATGCGCTTTGATATTAGCTTACATACGGTTTATTTTATGCTGCTTATTTTTTCGTTGCTATAACTGTTTTAAAATATATTTTTTATGATATACAGGCTTAGTTCAAATAAAACTTGGTTTTCGATAGACATTCAGATACATTATCCTCAAGCCAAGTCCACAACTCAATGCAAGCAGTTATCACGTAAAGTTGTGAAAAAACTTCTAATGATATCTTTTTTCTCACCACTCTAGTAGAAAGAAAATGATATCATAAGCTGGAAAAGTGCGACTATGCTAAATAATAGAACTCAACTATTGTCAGGAAAAAAAAGAATGAACTCGGATGTTGTCTGAATAATGTTTGACAGAAAAGTGATAGAGACTTGGAAGCCAACACCTGACCACATCTTTTCATCACGAAAGTCATTTTGAAAATCTCCTTCCAAAGTAGGTTTTCTAGAGGATCTTTTTACTGAAGTTAAAAAGCTTATAATAAAAATGTCTTTTTTTTTCATGAGTAGGTAGTCTAAAGTATTCTGTTCAAAATGGGAGTCAAGCAAGACCTTGACTTTCAGCGGTTCGATCGTGGTATCGGACTTCACTGGAGTCTCAAAACAAATATAAGATTTTCACTAAAAAGACAATGTAATATATCGAATTATTCTCATCTTGCATTATCTCGTAATCGAATTGTTCTTGATTATGATACACTGCCAGCACTGTTTATTTTTCCTTCTATTACACGAGAGACTTATCAAATAAACGTATAAAACTTCATCTTGAGAAATTCGATTGAACGTAACTCATAAAGTGTCTTACATAACCTTTCAATCTAAGAACATGAATCGCGCCTGTCCAAAAAGAATAGCATTTAAGTTTTATTTCGTGGTCAACAACCGGTTATCTACTAATACTTGCTGCTTATTAAAAATGAAAAAAGTCAGCTTCTAAAATAGCTGCAAGTTTCCTCTTTACAGATTGTAAATTATGAAGAATTTAAGGGGGGTACTCCTCCTCTCTTTTTGGGCTTTTCGTAGAAATGCTATGAAATAAAAACTAAAAGTCGCTAGGGCTTCGTATTTTCAGAACTGATTGGAAACTCAATGGAGCACTTTTTCGTTTTTATTTCAAGTTTTTCACTATTGCCATATTCACCGGTTGTTCAGAAAACTCGGTTTTTCATTGTGCCACATTACGCCGCTCCCTTAAATTTTATTCAATCGAGTTCAAAATTTTACCACAGGTACTCAAGATCATTCCGCAGAAGTCATTTTTGGGAAATTTTTTTGGGACCTTTCCTAGTCGAGTTATAGGAAAAGTACTGAAAAACGTCTCAAAAACTAAGTTTTTCAATTTCAGAAACCCTAAAACTCGGTAAAGAAAGGTCTAAAATAAAATTACAAAATTACACTTTCTGCGCTATAACCTTGAGTACGTCTGGTAAAATTTTGAACTCGATCAGATGAAATTTAAGGGATCGTAATGTGACACAATGAAGCCTGATAGCAAAAAAATAGTTTTCGAGAAAAAACGCATTTTGTACATGGGTCACTTTTTTCAGGGCATTTGCCTCGATGCATATATCTCCACGAAAACTCATCAGAAAATTCTAGAAAACATCTCATTGTGAAGAAAACACATTCTTCTATCAGACTATGTGTAAGAAAAATTTTGAATGTACAGAAAAGAAGAGAAAAATTTATGAAACTAAAAACTTGAGTTTTTTAAGGCTTTGAAGGAAAAACTTCAGAAATGCATAACTTTTTGAAGAAAGGTCGTGGAGGGCTGGGAGTGATCTCATTTTGTAGCCCATACTTTCCTCTACATTAGGCTATGCTCAGCTCAAAATCCGAAATTTTTTCAAAAAAAGAGGGAGAAGTACTCTTAAGATCCTTTATCACTGTAAAAGCATTCGTCTTACAAGTAGACAAAGCTCGTTCACGTGCTAAAAAAGAAGTCACGTTTGAAAATCAAAAACAAAACGTCATTCGATCCGATTGTACAAATATTCGTCTTTTTTTCTCTCTCTCTTTCTTCTTGTTAAATAAAAAATTATCTCTTATCTGTTATTAGCGCAAAAACATTATTAAATGAAAAGCGTCTAAGCCTTGAATAAGATATAATTACCATTTAATAAATGAGAACAAAATACTAAGGAACAAACGTCAAAACATTGAGATAATTATCATTCAATAACAAATGACAAAAACAAATGATTTCAAGATAAAAAGTCATACACAATAAACACGAATTATAAAGGTGTAGAAGAAAAAGCGAACGAACGAGCGAAACAAACAATATCAAACATAATTTGAATGGACTTTGCTTTAAATATATACGTATCTTGAATGACAAGTATCAATGTTTATATGAATATTTCCAAATTTTTTTGAAAAATATTACACAAATGATACTTTTGAAAGGTAGAGATAAATCTAACCTGACACTTGCAATTCAAGGATCGTGAGTAAAGTGATAGAATAAATCAGTTATACATGCATATTCATATTAATTGTGGTTAAAAGTAGCAACAAGGACAAATTCTTGTTCTAAAAGTTTTTATTGAGAAAAAATGCCTACATTCATCCGTTTGAATATAACAGGTATTTAGATATTTTATAATATTCTATAATACAGATATGTTCAACTTTGAAAAGATTCACCACCGTAACATGTCAAAACAACAATAAACTGCGTACTAACAAGTGAAAAATAAAACGTAAATCTAATACAATTTAGAAAACAAAAACAACGTTATGAGAGACACACACTATGAAGATCTGATATTGTTACTTTAGCTACTTTCAATAAATCACTTACACATAATTGTAACTTGTGCTCTTAATGTTTTATCCATAATCAGAGAAACAAATAATACGGTAGGCACTAGATCTCGAACTCACACATCTCAGATCGATTGTCACGGCGCCCTTACATAAAATTCTGAACTACAAAAAATTGAGACTGATGAAGAATCAGTATAGTATAAATACTATAGTATAGAGATAAATTGAAGTATATTAAAGTTACTGATTGGTTCATTCCATCATACATCAGTAGGTCATTGTTGATGTACATCGTTTCTGATGCCAGGCAAGAACTGAGCTTTTTAGTACTAGTAGTATATAGATGTTAGCAGTTTTCTCTGTACTATCATAACTTAACGTAAAGAAACAAGTGCTGTACGACGATAACAATGATCTTCAAAATATTGAGAAGTTAAAAAGTAAAAGAGTCTCTTAAAAAACCAATTGTATTGCAAAATCTTGAGAAAAAATAAAGGAAAGCATACGCCCAAATCTTTGAATACGTAAAATGGCTACTATAACAACATCAATAAATAAATAAATAGGAATTATATATACATAGTTTTCTACGCGTTCAAATAAGAACGACCATTTTTCGAACTTTATCAATTTCTTTATCAAATTTTTCTTCAGCCACTTTGATTCGTCCATCGGTAATGCGTTGTAATGTTTTCACTGAACCTTCTAATGATTCAAAACATGTTCGCATTTCTTTCTTTACTTTTTCTAAATTGGTTGATGTACGCTGATATTTTTCATCAAAACGTCTATAAACTGTTTGTTCAACAGTCTAAAAAACAAATAACAATAAATTTCACTGGAATATCACAAAATTATATATCGTTTTTTACTTACCTCATTACTTCGATTTAAATCCGATACGGTGCGTTTATATTGATCTTCTAATGTGGCTGTTTTACGTTCAAACTGATGAACAACATCATCAATACGTTTTTCAAGACGATCCTAAACAAAAACAAGTAAGCACTGCTAGTCATTCCATTACTTTCATGTGTAAAATATAATATATACGAACATATTTCTCGAGTGTTCTTTTAATTTCATCTAATTTTTGATGCATACGCTGTTCATTTCTTTCTCGTTCACTATCATCCTGACTTTTTGTTTGAAAAAATTGACTTCTTAATTCATCAACAAATGCTCTTGAACGTGAATCGGCTGTTGACAATGCTCGAGCTGTGTCAGTTTCGAATGAACGTAAAACAACTTGTTGTTCATTAAACATACGATCTAATCGTTGACTGAGAGTTGTAAGCTGAAACACAGAAAAACAAAATAAAAATAGTTAGTGGCTCTCTTTTCTACTCGCTTTGTTCTATACCTCATTTTTTAATTCTTGATATCGTTGTGCATTCATACGATTCAATTCCTGTTGGGTATTTTGTATATCACGTAGTCCGTGACTAATGTTTTCCACATCAGCTTGTAATTTTTGCACAATTCCATCGGTTTTTGATAATTTAAATTGAAGATCGACATTCAACAAACGTAATTGTTCATCTTGTGCTTGTTGATTTGCATCTAACTGAGCGAATGTCGATTCACGCAAGGCTGTTTGAGCGGCTAATGACTGAATGAAAACACAAGGACTTTTTTGCAATAAAGTAAGTAGTTAACCTTGACATACGTACCTCAATGTCAGTGTTAAGCTTTTTACAAACAGCAGTTAAAACTTGAACTTGTTGATCCATCAAACTACTTATCTATAATATAAAAGTTTCTGGTTCTTTTTTTACTTGACATAATGCGAGAAATCAAGCAAAATTTGTCGTGAAAGTTTATTAAGCATGACTCATGATGTAATTTGTTTAATTCTTGTAATTGTGAATCCTAAAATCGCATTGAATAACCAGATAATTTAAAATTAATCGTATTTCCACAATCAGCTTGTTCGGTTGATGCGAAAAGCTGAGGCGAAGATTACGAAAAATCAATATCCGTTTGTTTATTTAGTTCTCAACTAATTTTATTTGTCAACTATTTTTAATATCAATCACAGCAGAAAATGAGAGATTCAGTTTCAATCTCGAGCTAGAACTTGGTTGGGATCGCGTCTTACTATCCATCTATCATACATCTCAGAAATAAATAAAAAACCAACATGAACAACAGCCGTCGTCATGATGACGATCTGTTTGTAGACGTATTATTTATATGAAAAACTTTTTCCGAAAAAAGTGCAGGACCGTATCCCTCATAAAATATATCACCTTTATCCGCATTACACGGAACTTCCTTTTATAGATGTCGCTATAATGTACATATTAAACAACGTGTTTTTAGGAATCCGAACAGTTATAACAGTGATTTCAACAAGCCCAAACACCAGTTCATTACTTATATGTAAACAATAATTTCTCATTAGAAGCCTTAGGTAACTCATCGGCAGCGTGTGTATCCAAAACTTCTCAGAACCAGGTTCAGGGCTATTACGCACAGCTCTTTCCACCCAAAGTTTCAAAGTCGAGATACATGACTCGAGCATCATGATCTTCAATAGTTATCATAATATTATTTTAAAAAGAGAAATAATTCTGAAAAATAAAAGCTCGAGATCTGTCGCATGAAATGTTGGTTACGCCTTGAGCAGATCACACTTTGGGAATTTAATTGATAATATGAATTTTGGACAAGAACAATCGATCAAATAAGCATATCACCAGAACAAAAAAAATAAAGTTGGTTTAGAGTTGCTGAAAAGTGACTTTTCGTATTCAGCACACTCGATAATCCGGAAGATTTTCTATTTTTGGCTCGGGGTACTTCCGAAAATTTAAGAAAAATTTTGAAACAAAATGGCGTAAAAAGTTTTCCATGGAAAAATAATATTAATTTGAAAATTTTTCCTTAACTTTCGGAAGTACCTCGGGCCAAAAACAGAAAATCTTCTGGGTTATCGAGTGTGCTGAATACGAAAAACCACTTTTCAGCAACTCTAAACCAACTTTATTTCTCTTCCGGTGATATGTGTCGGATAAGGATACTGAAAAGTCATACCCCCGTACATTACTAATATTAGTGTGATAATTGCGATAACATGAAAAAGTGTGATGTATATTTATTGGTACATTTTAGGTCTTGTAAAAAAATGCTGCTCAGTTCGTTAGGTAAAGTCACACGCGTCAATATTACATCTTATTTGGACGAAAAAGGTTTACTTTATAGTTGTAATGGATGTTCCATAAAGAATGGCACTATTTGTATTTTGCGCCTCACCTTCCTTTTTGGTGTTTTCGAATTTACTGCTGAACTTGTTGGCAAGCACGATTTAGTTGGATCAAAACGTAATTTTTATGGTCAAGTCTTTTACTAATTTGAAGAAAAATGTTTCCTCTATCATCCTTAAAAGACCAAACAAGTATAAAATAAAATTTCCACAATAGAGAAAGTGCGAGATTCAAACTTTCATTTAATCCAAGAAAGTTTTCAAGGAAAATGGACATTAGCCCTCCATCATCTAATTCGACCGACTTGTTTTGAGCGCTATGAGAAAGGACACAGTTGAAAACATAGGAAAACGTGCATCAGAGTGACTTGGCGTCTTCGTGACCAGACGGGGCACGATAATTCATTTTAGGGAAAAGGACGTTTGCTACGGTTTTCTTCAAGTGCATACTAATGTTGGTTACATAGAATTTCACAGTTGTATTTTACAGGAACTCTTTTCATACGATTTTGTAGAGAATCAAATGGGCTATCTTTTGGAAAAAAATTAAAGTCTCAATTATGAAAATTGACAGAGAAAAGTGAAAAATACAAACAGTGTCATTATTTATGGCACCCTGTTATATATTTTACATCAGTTGTCTACAACAATAATATGATAAACAGCACTATAGTAAATTCATTTCCAATGGTTCTTCTAATGTGCATATATAACAACGAGACTATTTATATATAATTCAGAGTTTATCTGCTCCAGTTGAAAATGAGTATCATAACGGGTGGCGCAGAATGAATCAATATCTCAGTATTTTCTATTTTTCTCATGTTTCTTTAGGATTCTAAGGTTAGGGTTTTTTTTAAAAGATGTGCCGCAAAATATTGTACAAAACCATACTTAAACTTTAATTTCAGAACTTTAATCAAGAAAACCATGCAAATTATACGAAAAAATGAAAACTTTCTAAATTTGGTATTTTTTTCGGCTTGAACTTTTTTCTTCTGCTATTATTTCCGTAAAAAAGTGTAGCAAAAGTGAGAACGCAGTTCTTTTTGTACTTTTGAATGTGCTCGTTCTCGTAGTCTGGCAAAAAATATTTTTAGAGTAGATGGTGTGCTGGAGATCTAAGTTACAAAAATAATGTGACCAAGCAAGAAACGGAAAACATGATCGAAGTTTTGGTTTTGCAGTTAGATAGAGAAGAGCAATCATTTCTGATCAAAATAAAACAAATCCGATCGAAAAAGCTTTTGGTTTGATGGAGTTATAGGAGTTTTACTTTTACTGAGAGCACCACTATAGCCAGAATTTAAAAAATTAATGAAAAAATGCATGACAACCGACAGAAAAATTATTATTTTTCCATGGGTCTTGATGTAACAAAATGTGAAGTGTAGCTAAAAGATAGAGCGAAGTCAGGGTTACATAATGGCTGATTCAGGTTTTCTTACTTTCAAGACGTTAACACAAGAAATCGTTTTTGACTTTTTTCATCTTTCATATAATTTTCAAGTTTTGAAATTTTAATCTTTCATAATTAATTCTTGATTGGAGTTCTGAAATTAAAGTTTAAGTATGGTTTTGTAGAGTATTTCACGGCGCATCTTTTAAAAAAAACCGCTAATCTTAGGGTCTTAAAGAAACACGAGAAAAATAGAAAATACTGAGACCACCATTCATTCTGCGCCACCTGTTGTTATATATAAATTATTATTTAGCAAATACATTTTCTTTTGGGATATATTATCAAATAATCCAAGAGAATCTGACCTAGGTACACTTGTAAACGTTTATGTAATTTGAAATCTTTGTCAGCTTGTCATCGTTCCATTAACTACTTAGGTAGTTTCTCATTCTGTCAGCACTACTATATTTGATATTGCAACCGTGTCTCGCATTCCATATTACAGAAGATGTGTGTTATATGTTCATCTTCTATGAAACTCTGAGTCACACTATAACAACATTATAAAAATAGCTTAAGTTTTAAACGTAGATCAATACTAAACAAACGGTAAATACATCCTGTTCGCGGTGTTTATCGGTGATAAACATATTAAGAATTGTTGTATCCTACCGATTTTTCTAATACCAAAATATGAAGTTTTCTATTACCATAAGCCTATACACTGAGCATGTTCATCCTTTTCTTTGATGATGAATGTCTCAATGTATAATTCGTGTTGCAAATATTGGAAATAATGATTACATTAATATAATTTTTATGGTATCTTAGAAAGATAGAACGCTTCCTACCTCATATATATGCAACATAACGCGATACGCGTAAATTGATTTTATTGCTAACTTTGTTTTTAAATGGTCAAAAACAAAATTGTAAACAGCGTCAAAGAATTATCACATCATTTTTTCTAACAATAATAAGAAACTATACTACCTATTGGTCGAATATAGATCAAGTAACTGGTTGGCTTTATCCTGAGATCTTTCGAATAAAGATCCACATCTCCTACACGAATAGAGATATACATGGATTTTTATAATAAGAATCGACGAGTAATTCTTAACCATCTTCACAATTCATCATAGTGAGAGTACGAGTATAGTGACTAATGAACCATATAGATCCATGAGAAAAGAGCCAACTTCATGGCTAAATATTTGCATGAAAACAGAAGTGTTTGTTACAAGTAGAAGCTTCAAATATAAATAGAAATTTTAACTAATTTATTCATAAATCTTTTTATTTACTTTTTGTCATACTCTACTAAAAATATCTTTATTTTCACACACATTTGTTTTGGAACAAAGATCAAAAATAAAAGCGTACAGAACTATTTGTTAATTAAGAAATAAATGTCAGTTTTTTTTTATACAGATCTCAAAATAAAACATAACAAAATTCACAACAAGAAGAAAAAGAAGATGAGAAAATAAATATAAACAAAATATTATGTTTACAAATCACTATTGATCTTCACTGCTTATATATTATTGTTTCTGTTTCGATTTTTTTTTCAAAGTATACTCATGCACACGTATGTTTCTCGCTTTTGATATGTAAAACAGATACGCACACAGACATATACACACATTATCAAAGAAAAAATTTAGATGAGCAAATGGTTGAGATTATCGACTCAAAAAAGAATAAAAGAAAATGGGTTCGATGAAAGAAAAAAAAACCAAGGAAGACAGAAACTACGTCCCTGTTTACCTATACACGAGTTATGTAATGAATGAACGAACAATAAGGCACAAATTGCCAAGGAAGATTAAGAAGAAATTATCAAATGAGTTTCATGGCGATTTTTTTTTGCGTATATGTATATAGTTCACAAAGTAAATAACAATAACAAGAAGGAAGAGAAAGAAAGAAAAACATCAGTGTGTTATTTATCTTTAGATATGAAAGATGAATCTTGATCAGAATGATTAAAATGATCGGGTTTTAATTTGTGCCACATCTCAGTCCATTGATTTGGTGATTTGACCATTGTTAACCAGTGTGCTAATTCATCACCCGAACCATTATGACCAAGTTCAAATCCACCTAAAAGAAATGAATTACATTTTATAGACAAGTTAATTTGATGACTAACATTCGCAAGTATTAGTAGCAACAATGTCAGAATTATCCACTCAAAAGTCGTTTTCTTTTGTCCAGTCAATAAATCTTAATACGATCAGGTGACAAACATAATATTATCTGTTTGAACGTTATTTGCAAGTCTAAACTTACCTATATAATCGTCTTTCTTGCCCACATCTTTGTCGTACACAGTAATTTGTAACGTTTTACTAATTAAATCTTTCAATTGTATTTGATGAAAAACAAATTCTTCATTAAATTCTGGATGTAGTGTTTTTTTAATACAAGATGTTTTAAAACGCCATTTATCGCCACTTTTAGAGTCAGCCGGCAGTGGATATAACGATAATTTAATATATGGATCTGAACTTTTCCCAAAATCCATGGGAAGTAACTGACTACCACGAATACATTTAACATGAAAATCATTCGTCGATTTAGAATATAGTAAACCAACTAATAATTTACCACGTTCAGTTTTGTCTTCATCACCAGGCAACTAAAACAATAAATAAAATAAGTCAACAAAAGATATTTAGTAATCGATTAAATAACCATATATGTATCAGTAGGTTGAATGTAGAAACATATAATTTCTATATTTAGATGAATATAGGCAAAAAACAAGCACAAATAATACAATTAGAGAGTATAAGCAAAATGCAAGCAGATATTGGATAAACAAATAAGAGAAAAATAAATAAAAACAACAACAAGCCGTTTATACGAAAAACAAATCGCTCAGAAGGATATACTATCAAACGCGTTTTGTTCAACTACGTTTAAAATGCTTATTGAGAAAGGAATACCCGATGGTAAGCATCAACTATAGAACCATTAAAATTATATAACAGGTACTCCCATAAAATAGAATCTTTTGAACCTTTTAAAAACCCATAAATAAAATTTTATTCATTTTCAAAACCCGTTTTTACAAAAACAAGAACATATTTCTTCCCACCACCTTTTTAGAAAACACTTTATTTAGTTCTTTCGATGTCTGTTCGTTCAGTGCTGGAAAAGATAAAAATAAATGAGCTATTACTTATCATGTAAGAAAAACTTGACTACAATCATTTTAAATTTTCGATGAAATCTTTAGACCCGCACTAACATTCTAGGGCTCTTATAATCGGAAGATTGATAAGATTTCGATTATGGTTAAATTCTGACACGATGAGACAGTTTCCGTGTTCTTAAATACAAAGTAACAGTCGTTAAGCTTGTTATCAATGAAAGCGTGTTCGGGCCTCGCTTAAACAAAATTTGTCGATTTACAGCTGAATGATAGCGAACATCATTCTTCGAGTTTCTCTCCTTCTTCGCTTATTTAACATCAATTAGATTAAAAACAACATAAACAACATCGTATAATATTTCACTTTTTCTTACGTGAACAAGCGATATGCGGCTTACTTCATTATCCTAAAGAAATAATAATGGTATGAGATGATTTAGTACTAAAACTATCTCAAATTGTGATTGAATATTTCTTTCTTTTTAAAAATATGCCTAAAAGAACATATACGATATCTTACGTCTGTTTTATTATGTAAATAAATAGAAAATGATTCTTTTATATCTGATTTAATTGATGATAACTTCAAACGATATTCACCAATAAAATCAGCACCAATCGAATCTTCGTCAAGTACAGTTAATCTAAACAGTACAAATAACAATACATTAAACTTTTGTCAGACAGACTATTAAACAAGAAGATAGAAACTAATAGAGTTTGAAAAGTTTATCACTTCTGAGATGTGTATAAAACAGCAACCTAATACTGTAAAAAAACAGTTACTGTTCAAGAGCGACGATCGCATTGTATTTGTAAAATACTCTAACAAGCACCAACACCCCAAAACGACACAAGCTACACGTTAGTTGATTTTCAATGTGTATTTAGATTTATATTTGATAAATTATAGAGTTAGAGAAGTGCTGATGTGTTTTTGGATGTTAGTAACTAGATTTTGATTGTTAGCAGCTGTCACTAAGTATCCATCAGAGTATTATTCGATGTCCATATAATCAACTCGCCGAATTCTATCTATTGGCTGTATCAGATATTATTCGAACTGTTAGTGGATGTTAACGTATTTTACACATACCAACAATGTCAGATGTAGCAAAAAATAAAACGAATATATTTTACTTGAGTGCTTTTGTTTTCATATCGTCAACAGTGACGCCATGATATACTAATGTTTCATCGAATTCTGGATTTAATGTACGACGTATGGTATTACTTCGCAATTTTGTTGCTTTAGCTACGCCAGGTACCAAATGAATTTTAACTTTAAATTAAATAAATGATGTGTTGACTATAATGAAAAGATGATTTATTATTCAACTTACCATATGGATCACTGAGACCGTTTGAATCACAAGAACGTAAATGTTTTGCTCTAATTAAACGTATGGTTAAGATATTTAGACTGTCTTTGTATAATAATTCAAATTCGAGTGAACCAAAACCTAGAGACGCTCAGATATGAATTGTTTGTAAGAAGTAATAGTCATTTTTGTTAACTTACCACAATCTTCACTACTAGGTGACGTGTTCATGATAGAAGATTTGCGAACGATATTATTATTATTATTAACATTTACTGATACAGACGCTGATTTTGTTTGTGATTTGGGTAGATAATCGTCAATTGACAATTCTAATGAGAGATAAATTAGTTAATAGATGATTATTTTACGAAAAAAACAATAGTTTCACCTTTTATACTTGTATTACTCCTTTCTCCATCTAGTTTAAATGAATCCATACTATTTTCATTAGTTGTAGGCATTGAGGAGGAATTTTCTAACTGTTGATTTTGTTGAAATTGTTGTTGAAATGGATTTGTAGTTATCGCAGGAAAAGCTAAAAGTATAAAATAGTTTATTCTAAACTTAAACAAGCGAAATATTACAAAAAAAAGTATATCTTACGTGATGATGGCGATTGTCGATGATTAAATTTGTCACCGGATGGACGATGTTGATGTTCATCAGAACTACTATCATCGTCCGACGAATTATGACCACCTAAAATACAAAATAGCGAACAGAATTTCAGCTAGATGCGAATGTCTTATCAATCAATCACTTACTTTTCGTAAAATTTGTAACCACTGGCAAAGATTGTTTAACATTTGATGGAAGAACATACCGGGGCAATGAACGGAAAAACCAAGCGCCAGACTTTTTCCATAACTAAATTAAGAAACAACACCGTATTTATCCTAACACTCAAAATGTATGGTAATCTCACTTCACGATTTTCACTACATATTTTACATAAGGAGACAATTTGTTGATTTACTGGATTCACAGTTTCAATGCTACATTTATTACAAACACTCTAGAAAGAATGCAAAATACAAGTAATAAAATAGAGTAACAGAGGCATGAGGAAAGTTTTGGACGAACAGAAATAAGTGTAACAATCTTTCTGCCGGGTTTTTCCAAATTTATTTCGAGAAATATGATCATACCTTATAACAGTCTGTACACGCCACCGATGAAGCTCCTAACATTCCAAAACTATCTGCGCATAGAACACATTGTGTCGATCCATTTCCTGCTGCATGTTTTTTCATATTATCTAATCGATCAATTAATTTTCTAAATAAATAGAATAATACAGTACAAAACTATTTTATCGATTATTTAAACTAATAAAGAATAAAGCCAATTACCCAACACGTTCTTGTTCAATCATATCTATTCTTTGTGCTCGTTCAATTACTTTCTTGATTCGTTCTAACTCTTCATCTTTAAATGTTTGTTGATTATTTAGTCTAAGTGCCGTGGGTATAGTACGATTTGTGTTTGTACGAGATGTATGAAAAGACCAACCAGAATTGAGCCTACAAACAAATATTTACAAAACACTGTAAAAATGAAGATCTAATCAAAACATACTTTGCACGTAACTGGAGCTGACGGTCATTCGGACAAACATATCCATTACCCACCTCTTTCATCTAAAAAAAAATATATGTCTTTTCTATAAACAATTATCGGTGAAAAATTGTTTAAGTAGTCAATAAAAGCAGTGCTATACCGAGATAAAAAACCTGAAGCGAAGTTTTTCCGAGGATAAGTCAAAATTAAAAATATTCTATATTATTTGAAGCAAACGTTTTTGTTTGAGTTATATGAAGGATCGCTCTTTCTCATACTATCCTCTGCTCAGATATTGTATAAGTCCACAAACATACTTTCGGAGAAAGAGTTGGCACTCTTGTGAGAACATGTTCCCTTCTTCTACAGTCAGGAACTATCTCAGCTGTTCACTTTTGAATAAAAAAAGATTATCTATGATGATTTTCCACTCTCTTCAATCGGTTAATATCGAGAAGATATCGCTTAGTGGTACAATCACAAATTTCTGAAATAATAGAACGAAGTACGTCTGAACTAGGAGTTGGGATGCACACGTATGAAACTACTTTGAATGAAACCAACAGGAGCGGCTGTCAAAAGTCTGACGGGAGGAGAGATTAACAATTTTGTTAGAGTGTTAATACGAAAATAATCGCACCTTTTTTATACCTTTCAGTGATGAAAAAAACAAATTTTTTTTAAAGGCTCTCAAGTCTCTTCTACTTGCTATTAAGAGATATCGCTTCCGAATACATGCTGACGTTCATTAGTCTTTGATACAAACATTCTGTAGTTAGACAATAATGTTAAACAAAGGTTTTACTTATGTCAACGCAAATAGCTAGTGATATGATATACATCCAATAACTGGGATGTTTTCCGCCAGCCGGTAGGAGTTACTTTGTACGTCTTTTCATGTAGAAAGTGGCTCCTGATGGCTATCTTTGACGGCTAGCAGAAAACAACCTAACATAATAACTGACAAGCGCCGGGATGATTCAAATTCGCTCTTCACCGATTCCTATTCAATTACTCCAATCAAATTGAACGGAGGTAGATGGTGCCATTCTCATTCAGAATATATTATCTGCATGAGGAGAGAGCGGGCTGGAACGGACGTTGCCCCTTCGCTAAACGTTTTCCCCCTCTCCTCAATAAAGAAAACACTACTGAGCTAATATTTTACATGTAATTGATTCTGTAGACAAGTTCGTTGGATAAGTAATATTTTGATAAAATACTTATGAAAGGCAAGTCTTCTCGATTGTGTATCGTAAAATGTGTGCTTACTACTCAAGAAGAAATGCAACATCAAAGACAGTGGGGTTCAGATTTTCCGTTTTTCTATCTCTTTGAGAAAATTTGGACTAAGGTTCTCCCTCACAACTGCATGCACCTGTAAAGTTGGCGGAGTTGAAACCAATTTTATTTGCCTTCTTTCCGAAACTTAATCTCTACCATTTGCCCTTGCAAATGTCCGTCATTTACGTACCTGCCAGTATCTATCGAATAACCCAATCCAAAACTGTTCATTATTTGCCCTTATGTTTAGGCATCATTAGACATCAATTTTTTTTTGCATGTCTCAAATTAAAAACATATTATTAAAAAAAAACTGAAAATCTTTTTTGTATATCTAAAAGTTCAACACAATGTTATTTCTTATTTTATGATGCTATGTAATGCACAAGTTATGATATTTTTCGTTTATTCACTTGAGATTACACTATGATGATGATCAATTTTTATCCTCTTCTTCCACAAACCCGAATGTTGTTTCGAAAATTTGTTGTTTTTCTACTCTCCTGTTAAATGCTCATGTTGTTGCGTGACTTCTAAATTAGAATATTAATCAAACAGAAAAAAAAATAGAAAAAAACTCCAGAATTTTTTTTTTTTTCTTAGCTAATTGTCTATACGACATGTTTGGTTAAGCGTATAAAATTATTTGACAAGTTTATTAGACACACACACACATAGAGAGATTATAGCACACATCAATACTGAAGAGAAAATACAAGCAGCTGTTAATATTGAATTTTTTTAAAAACGAAAATTTTCTGTTAACACACGATTAATATTAAAAATGTCAATTTACATTTAACTTGTTTAAGTTTTTATTATTAACCACATACTCTTTGTCTTAAATAGCCTCAAGGTTCATAGACTGCTACCCGAGTATATTTACCTTTGTTCGTGAATATAAGAGGTATTTTATAGAGGAAGGAAATTTCAGGACAAGCATAAAATATTAATAGATTTACTTTTTACAAATTAAAAATTAATTTTAAGTAAAAAATACTTACTCGTTATGATTCTCTATTTCTCTGTTAAGACGAATACATCTGCTTTTCGTATGTCTATTTAATTATTGTAATGGTTTCGTTTTTTTTTTTGTTTTTTTTTTGTTGTTGTCTTTCTAATCCTCGGGCAACCATATGCTAATAGAAAAGTCAGAGATGCAGTTTCATATCATCCTGCGGCGGTCAAAGATAAGTATTTATAAATACAAACAACAATTTGAAAAATATATTTTTTGCTCGCTTTTGTCTGTATGTTTTATGTGTTATACAGTGAAAAACAGAACAATAGAAAAATATTCTCGATGATATTCGAAAAAAAAAATAATAATAATAATTGGCTCATTGAATTTGTTCTTTAGTTGAGCGGTATGTTGGAATGAAACAAAAAAAAAAAAGGAAAGACAGAAAACGAGAGGAAGAAACGATGAAGAGAAGAATATTGTTGAATTCTGTCAATTTATTCAACTAAAAACCTAATAAAAAGCGACAAAGTATAATGTATGATATATGTTTAACCGATACGTATGTTTGTGGCAAAAAAAAAAAAATTCTATTATAGAACCAATTCATTTTCTTTAACCGACAGAAAAAAATAACGACTACTATACTAACCTTTGTCTATGTGAAAAAAGTTCTTGAAAAAAAACAAACGAGTTGAGATAATTTCAGTGAACGAGGAGACAAAATAAAGGAGTGTTGATGATATGTTAAACAGAAAAGCAAAATAAGAAAGAAAAGAACAAACAACGACCACGAAATACCGTGAGAAGAGCGTGTAGAATTTAAAAGAAAGACGACAATGACTACCACTTGAGAATATGAAAAGCAGAAAAATTATTTTTGAATAATAGAAGATGGAGAGACACAGCGGATCAAATATGTTCAAGAACGACTGTAGAGAGCTATATTTATTATATATGAGTGCGTGCAAAAAAATGACTATAGACAATTAGAGCGATCGTGTATATCAATTACGATAAAAATATAGGTGACAATTGTTAAATTTTACAATTAGAATCTATTTCTAAGGTGATTACATGACGGGAGATGGTCTAAAATAGAAATAAATGTAAAAGAGTTTTTCTTTTTAGAACATGCCTTCAACTGTGTTATAACATTAATAAATCCACAGAGGAAAAAAATTCCCATTTTTTCGAGAAATTAATAAGTATATCAAAATTTGTTGACAAAGATACTTTACTATTAAGCCTTTAAATCGAAAAAACGAAGATTTCTAGGAGTCAGTATTTATCGTTGCATATTTATATCAAAACTGTGAACTAGACATATCATTCACACATTATTAGATATGTGCAGTCCACGCTTCGATACATTTACTTTCTGTCAGTCTATAGTACAGGCATGTTTTAAAAACTGTCTGAGTTCATTCCAATTAAAAAAAAGGAATATAAGAGATCAAAAATAGAACGATAAAAAATCTAAAAATATTTACTATAGTCCGTTCTTCATAATTAATTATATATGTTCCATATTCAGAATTACGAAGTATATCGACATAGTCATCATCATCGTTTTTTACCTATTTACAACGCGACACGGTCTTTTATTTCCTTTGATAAGAAGCATTTGAATGAAACGAATTCAAATAATGAAACCTTTTTTATATATAAACATCATCTATATATTATTATGGGCACTAAGATTAAATTCTTTTTTTATCAATATCGAAATTATCCTTTCTTAAACATAAAAATTAGTGTGCAATTGTTGAAAAAACATTTTTCTTCCCACCATCTTTGTCAATGTTCTTTAGAAACTTTCTTTTTACATGTATAGCAAACGTTCGTCTTTGTTTATTCGGCCCATTGTTTTGTTGTATAGATTAATTTTTACATCCAACAAAAAAAGCACTAAATCCAATGACGTACTAGAAAATTTCAATTTGTTTTGAGAATATCTCATATCTGTTACTTACAGTGGGTGTATACCAATAGAAGCTAAGTGATATAATTCATTGACGATATTTTTGTTTATTCATCTGTAAAAGCTAAACCTTTTATAGAAATATAATTAATGTGGGATGTTAACGGATTGCAGTATTTTAATAATAGTGCTCATTAAATGAGTCGAGTCGGGTTTGGATCTCCCATAAGTGTTACTTGTTATTCAAATATGACTAATTCGTTATATATACGACGTAGATGTTCCAAGACATTTTCATTCGTTGCATTAACCTGTGAAATGCTGAGAAACCCATTCATGATAACTATTATTAGTTTCATTTGATAAATTATTAAAAAATATATTACATTTCTTAAGTTTCATTGATTTATTTATATCTCATGTTTGTTGTATACGGATTATATACTTTTAAATGTCGAATTAAGTTATACTTGGTTTTAGGTTCAATTAATTTTTAGAGAAATTAACCTACAAATACATATCATATATTCTATAAATAAGTCATGACATATAAACGACGTTCAGTGTACAGACCATGATTATTTTTGCCATCTATTTCCTTTTTAATTAACTGAATTTCGAGTGATAATTTACCTTTTAACTAAATGAATTGAATTGTCGTGTGCGAAGATCACGACGATTATGTACATGTCAGACTGAGTATCCATCATTTAATACCTTGATTTATTCCTCAATTCTATTGTATACTTGCAATTGATATGTCAAATCCTCTTTCAACTATTAACATACTCGATAAATAAAACTTTCTTGAAAATTCATTGTACTCAGCAGTACAATGAGAATATACAAAAGCGCGGCTTCTAGCATGCAAAATAAGCCTTACTATTCCTGATATGTTGCCAACGAACGAAAATACTACGGAAAAGAATCAAACTTTGGGTAAGTGTTCTTCGCTTCTTTTTTTTTCTCTAAAACATAGTGATATTATTTTGATTTTAGTTCGATCTCGCGAATACTATGAACATCTACTAATCTTATCTCAAGTAAAATATTCCATTTCAACATCGACAATTACGTATCCGACTGGAGTATTAATCATTAGTATTCTGTTTATTGTATTTGCTCTGATTTATTTGAAACGGCATGGTGAAAAGGCACAACGCGAATTAGGTGAAGAAAAAAGGGATCATATTGGAATTTTGAAAAGGTTAGCAGAAGATTTTAAACAACAAGAAAACAAACGTTGTCGATCGAATAATGAGAAGTTCGATGAAAATCAACCATATCTATGTCACTTTCATTCACATCGGCAACAATCAGTAACAAACGTGAAAGATAAGCAGGGGTTACCAACGTCGATTAATCAACAACCTAATTTAAATATAAATTCGAGTACTGGGCCAAATACACAAAATCTTTTTCAAACAACTATAGGTGACATTCGTAAACGTCTTGGTTTGATGGAACAGCATTCTTCAACAAAATCGATTCAAGAAGAAGAGGCCACGGAATATAGCATTGTCACCGATTCAGTCACAACAACGAAATCGTAACAATAAATAGTTGAAGTAGGAAGGAATGAAAAACTTTACGGCTGAATGAACAAGAAATATTATATTAGTCAAAAACTATAAAAAAAAATGAAGTGGGCCTGACCGGGGATCGAACCCGGGGCCTCTCGCACCCAAAGCGAGAATCATACCACTAGACCATCAGGCCACGTTAACAGATTCGAACAAAATACAAGTTGTACGAACCATCTGTAATAAAATAGCCATATCTCCTGGATGTCACAACGCAATACGTGTATCATTTTCTGAAGATTATTATGGTTATTAAACTGGTAAGTTAAATAATTGAAGAGAGTACATCCTTATTAGTTTTTGACAGGTTATACTAACTAAAACTTCCAAAGCGTCAATTACTTTCGTTAAAATTCTGCTCATCCTCACAAAATCACCTAAAACCCTGGAATATATTTCTTCAGTTAACAAAACATGAAAGCAGAAGTAATCATTTTACTTCCTTCTTCTATATACATTGAGAGCTCATTCTGGAACAATAAAAAGACTGATTCACTATGTTATAATCCATAAAAGTTTCTGAATGTATTTTGCCATTTCAACAAAGATTCTTCACATGTCTACAGATGAGACAGCCACTCAAGATTACTTTATCCATTTAGTTTGCTTTGTATCGAAGTATTTATTTTAGCCTCAAAGTTGAAGTCAAGGTTGTTGAAATAGAGATATGATGATACACGGTCGACTAGTACAGCAACACTAAATAATCAAAGAAAACTGAAGAGAAAACAAAAAAATTTAGTGGGCCTGACCGGGGATCGAACCCGGGGCCTCTCGCACCCAAAGCGAGAATCATACCACTAGACCATCAGGCCACATTTAATGCTGTGAGCTTAGAGCAATACATTGTGAGTTTTCAGAGACTCAAATGAAACTTTCGAATCAAATCTGTAGTTTCTGCGATACTTGTCATGATTTTACATGTGTTCGTTTAAGTTTCTGCACGGTAAGGATAAGAATGTACCAATTCTAGAACTGGGATGCGTTTCTAAAAAATACTAAAGTCAGACAGAGGTCATGTAGTAAAAACCATTCGTATTGCCGACAACTTAAATTGTTTTCCAGCAATTTTCTGAACAAAATCCCTGAAGAATTATATTCAGTTTAATTATGGTGGGCTGATTGCATTACAGACTTCACGCAAAGAAGTTACAAAATTTAAACAATTTTCTACTTAAAAGATTAAGTGAAAACTTACGTGAGATCGAGAGGTGATTTAAGTTAATTAATGTTTGAGAAAAACACTTGGCTAAAAAAATTTGGCTTAAGACGGATTTTTTACTTAAGTTTTTTTAAGAAACTGATCCCTGATTTTTCGATGCACCTGCAGAAAGAATTCTATCTCTCAAACTATTTGCTATCACTTGTTCTCCATGGTGTCAGATTACAACTAAGGTTTTTATCTATAAAATAAGCATTTAAGTTTCCGATTGTCTTAAGTTTAAAATTAAAAACTTTCTAAAAAAAATGGAATTGGAAATAGAATTGTTCAATAGTATTCATGTGATATTTTTGCCTTATTAACCCTTACGGTCGGCTGTATAAGCCATTTAGTAACAATTTCCCCTTCTGTGCATATTCCTTTTCTGTCGGCTGCCAAAAATTAACTAATAAAAATATTCCTCCCTTTATATTTATTGTTTTGAGCGGCAAAGTGTATTCTTTTAGAACGAAATTCCTTCGACACTCAATAGATCGATGTTACCGGTAGTCAACACCCGGCCGTAAAGGGTTAAATGAGAATACAAACTCCATTGTATCTTATTTTGCACACAAAAATCTGCAGGACAATCCAAAACCATGTAGAGCTTTGGAGCTAGATTTTGATTTTTAATAATTTTCAAAAAAGAATGAATGCGGGCCTACATAAGGAACGTTTGAGACAATTAGCTGTTATAATGTGATAAATGTAATACAGATCCAGAAAACAGACTAGAGATTTTATAGTTTTTCCGAAAAAATGTTTTGGAGATATTACGTTAATTTCAGTGACAGTTGGTACTGATCAGTTGGCGTGATCAGTACAATAATATCAGTTGTATGCTCACATTTGAACGATTTACTCTACAATAACTAATTTTTCAGAATTTTATAAAAAATACTTTATTTGTTAAAAAATATGGACTGCTCTTCTAGATATATGATCAATGATGTAAATCTAAATGCAATAAAGGATTCGTGTAAGTATTCGATAAGTAAGTCGACTAGTCGATTTTATGTTTCTAACTCTCATTAGAAGACAAAATCGAGTAGTCGAAGTGCCGTTTGCCAACGCATAGACTGGTTGGAATACCCGTCGACCAAGATTTTGCATTTGCTTAAGAGCCCCAGCAATGTTCCTGGATAGCATAGCTTTCCATAAAGTCCACTCTATTGGAAGCCAAAATAAAAACTTTAAAATTACAAATTCAGTCCGAGTTTTGTGTTTCAGATCACTTTTATTGATGTAAGATGAACTAAATTTCGAGCAATATTAATAATGACAGTCTATGAATAGAACTTTAGCGCACAGCGCTTTATCTTCTTCTTTTTAATGTCGCATATAGAAATCTGTATGTGGGACATAGTGCGCATCTTGTCGTATGTTAGATAAAGAAGATGCGTTATATGCTAAAGCTCTAATATTTGATAAACCTAATTAAAAAAATACCATTCTGCTTTGTTTAAAATCTATACTTTGACGAGTGAAGGCCCTTTCTCCATAGTGGAAAACCACTATATTGATATTGTGTTATAGATATGTTTTTGTTCCATTTTTATAAACATAATTTATGTTTCTGTAGATCAATACATGCATATTGCTATCGATTCATTTTTTAACCATGAAACTTTCAGATAAAAGTCATAAATCGTATGACGGTGCGTACAAATCATTTGTGAGAACAAACAAAAATAAAAAATCAATAAAATACAATTAAAAAACGCTGTAAATCTAAAATATTTGTGGTCATAATTAATAACAATTGCAACAACAGGAGTATTTATGATAATTAGTAATAATTACAATTGCCATAAGTAACTAAGTTAATCTTTTCGTTCAAGCTTCTCCGCGTGGACTAATCATAAACAATGTTCGAGTCCGTATTCGTACAAAATTGATTTTACGTTTTTTATAGCTGAAATTTTAGAATACTATAGTACATTCATTTTGCTGGTATTTTGAAAGAATAAAACTACAATCAGTAAACAATTTTATTGCGAACAAAATGGAATATAAAGTTATCCAAAACACAAATTGAACGCTGTGTCAAACACAACGACAAGATCACAGAGAGTATTGCAAAAAAGCAAGAGGAAATACTCAAAAGAAATGATTAGTATCCAAATAGCCTACAAATAAATATTAAAGATAATTAAAACTGATTCATGGTCTATATTCATATTGACAGAAAGATGGTCCATTAATTGGTTCTGCTGGAATACCACGTCTTAAATAACGACATCGGTGTTCTTCAAGTCTTGGAATAGCTGCATTTGGATCTTTTGTGTCGATTGATGACCATAATCTTTCGGCAACAACCGACGCACGAGGCCATGTAATTGTTATTACATTTGTGGCATCAACATACTCTCCCCACATGCATGCTTCTCCTCCTATGACTAATCTTTTCTGATCATCTGTACCTATAACAAGAAGAAATAGAGACAGTTAAGTACCATAGATTACCAGAGAGTATAAAATGAAGATAATAGAATGTGTGTAGGGTAATCTTTTAATATACCTTTTGGTATATAACAAATGCGCTTAGATACCTCATTGTCTAATTATTTTCAGAAAATCGCTAAAATCTATTTAAACACGCTCTCTGTTCTACGAGATGATAAAGAGCAAAGTAATAGTTCAAGATAAATCATACCGTTGAAGTTGTATGGATCACATTTATAATATTGTACCTAAAAGATCAGAAGGCAATGTCCAACTAGAGTCTAATGTGTTCCCAAAAAAAAATTAGTTACCCAATCGGATCCGTATGATATATAATTCAAATACCAACATGTTGATAATATTGTACGATAACCGAGCTTAGTAACACGAGCCATTTCTTCCGGATATGGATCCTTCCATACTTCAACTACTGTATCAGCTTTAACCTACGAACGTAATACATTAGTGCATATCACACTTATGATAATGAAAACCTAACGTACTGTCACATTATTATCGATAATCTCTTGCCAAACGGCGTAACCTTTACCCGTTGAACCAACAATATTAACCAAACTAGAGGAAGAATCGTGAAGTTAAACAAGATAGCATTAGTAAACATCAGCTTACTTTTGCATATAATATTGTTCAAGTAGTGAATAGTCAGTTCCAAATTTCATATTTGCCATAAAAGCTTGGACATCGGGATTGCTTTTCCTAGGATAAAAAAGATGATTGTTGAATAAGAGTATATAGTCGTCTCATTTGTTTACCAGCAATCAAAACTAACTTCATCACCTCCCAAATGAATATAATGATCTGGATATACATCAGCTAATTCACCAAAGAAAGTTTTTAAAAAATCATATGTAGAATTTCTACTTGGATCTAAAAACATTAAAACGAAAAGCAATTAATGATAATTAAAGTTTAACTTAACACAATGAAATACATCGTAGTATATTTTCTACAAAATATTCGCTTCAACTTACCCATTGGTCCAAATTCATTGTCTGGTTTTCCACCGCTATAACATTTCGTCAATATGTCAACTGCTTTGCCCCATGAAAGAGTGTGACCTGAATGATATTACATTTAAAATTGATAATATTTATCTAAAAGAAAAGATAGAGCAATTCATACCTGGTGAATCATACTCAGCCAGTACACGAATACCACGTTCGCGTGCAAACTAAAATATGAAGACATAGTATGAACTATTAGTTGTTGACAACGATGACATATAAACTGTACAATGTCAAATAATTGATTGTGCAACTTACCTCGATAATATCAGCAACATCACCTTGTGAATAAACATGTGTTTCATCATATGCACCCTAAATATATAACGAATTTTGTTATTAGAAATTATTTTTTAAAAAATACAATCGCGTCACCTCATCACTCATTTCTGGAAATGCTCGACTATCGTATGGAAATGATTGATCATCAACTATGTGCCAATGAAATACGTTCATTTTACTTTGAGCCATTGCGTCCTATAATATAATAAATTATAATTTCAATAAAAATCTTATAATTTATTAAAATAACCTACCAAATTCATTTTCAATGTATTAACCGATATGAAATGACGTGATGTGTCTATTAATAGACCACGATGTTGAAATCGTGGATAATCAGTAATTTTTGTTTCATTAATGGCAAACTAGAAAAAAAAATTCATTTTAAAATATTATTTTAAACTCTTTTTATTTTTTCATTTAACTTACTAAGAGATCATCATCAGGATAAATTAATTGACTAAATGTTTCTAATCCTCTGAGAGCTCCCCACACTGTCACAGCATCTAATACACCATGATCACCTTGGATTATGAGTGAATCTTTATAACAACAAGACAACATTATTAAAAACCGATATTACGATAATTAACTATCTACACTTACATGATTCATTTGATTCTAAACTTGGCCAATGATCGCACGGTTGTTGTACATTGACATTTAATCGTTTTAATAATGGTGTATCTGTCAATGTATTTAACATTGGTAATTCAATAATTGGTTCATCACATGATGATGCTTTTTTATTCAAGACATATTTAAGATATGTTTGTGGATAAAATATAAGTCGATAATATCGATCAAATGCATCTACTAATAAATCACATCGTTGACTAGTCGCATTGATTAAAAAATGAAATGCAGCGGGATGAACGGCTAAACGTTGTTCAGATGACTAAAAACACAAGATATTATTAGACCACGTGATCGTGAGGTATATTTACTCTGATTAGATTGCAAGAAAAGATACAAAAATCTCCTTCAAACGTTCTTCTTTATTTGTTGCAGTAATTTCACTTTACGACCATAATTTTTGCATCTGAAAAGTGTTAAGCTAGAGTGGAGACTAGAGAACGCAGCGATAGCGATAGTTTCACTCAAATTCACAAAAAATGAATGCACAGTCTGGTAAATCTGATATAAATTATATCTCTTACCACGATTACTCCAAATACACGTGAAAAGTTATTTATACTTAGAATATTATATGTAACAAAAGCAGACACAAATGCAATTTTGATACAAACAGTAATAAAACAAAAATCTCGTATTATTTCTTTAAACATTACGCACATGGTTCGATATCAACATCGTAAACTCGTCAATCGCAGAGTTAGATAGACAGAACAAAACACATGGAGATTTTATCCAACACAGGATTCTTGTTGAAACCAATAGATACTTACCATCATCTGTTGTGGATGAGGCCATGGCTGACCGACACTCGGTTCAACATAAAACATTTCGGTATTTCGACGATATTTATTTTTTGTAGATCTTCGTCCATCATTAATGTTGATAAATGAAAATAATAGCACAAGTATAAAAAATAAAAAACGATATTGAATCATCTGAAAAGGATAAATTCAACGACTTTATGTTTATGTTTAACGTGAGCTCTAAGAAAGTTTAATAAACAGAATGTAAGTATCATTCTGATGTTGAAGTAAATGAAGAAACGATGTTCAACAGCAAAGGTGTGTCGTTTATCATATGTTAGTTGATATATTCACTTTGCATACTAAACCAAAGAGGTACTTGATACTGTTTAAATAAAAGTGATAAGAATATATAAACAGAAAAGATATTTTAAAACTCAAACTAGTCGAAATAGATGTTGAACTAGATATTTATGAAACAAACTGAGAAATCTATTTAATAATGACATTGAAAACTACCTCTAGAAGTAAATGGAAAATGAATGAAGATTTTAATCACATGTAATATTCGAGTCTACTTGATATCAGAGAAAACGAAAGTTAATCATTTTAGTAACATTGGTCACCTTGACAGAAGTCATTTAATGCGATAGATGGTAATATACACATCATGATTACTCTTCCAATGAGCAAAAGCAACAGAGCCATAGCTTTCTAAATCTTAAACGTTTAGAAACTGAAAATATACATGAGTTTTTCACTTTCACTGTTACATACAATAGTTAAATGATTTGTAACATTTTTGTTACACGTTGAGCGTTTAACATTTTAAAAATTATCAGAAATCTTAATGATACGCAAAAAAAATGGATCATTTTTCAGTTAACTAAAAATAGCACCACAAACAAGTCACAGATAATAAATATTGCAGCTGAGAGCAATCACAGTTGAAATTGAACAAATAAATATATCAAAAGAAACACAACTAATGCAACTGGATAAAAGTAACGACTATTCTTATTGCACATTTAATCTACAGTAGTCACAGTTAAGAATGAGAGATATGATCATAGCAGCTAATTTCAATTTCATATTTTTAATTTTTATAAAATTATTTAAACTTTAATTTTCTACGTTTTGAACGACACAGAACAGCATTCAGTCTTAAAAAACGCAGAAAGTGTATGTGTATAGTAGATCTTAAAAACGAAAATATGACTGTTTACATGTGTATAAACTAGCGATAGCGTTTATCAGAATAAGCACGAGCACGAGGCTAGTGAGTTTATCAATTGAGACTCGCTCATAAAGGCTTCTAGCAAAACCTTAAATGAAACTTGAAAATGATGTGCGGTATGCGGAGGCCTACAAAACTAGAAAAGCAAGGATGTCACGTTTCATCGACTCACTTTAATGTTATTTCGATCGTTTTAATATTGTTACTATTCTGTTGTTTTTATGAAGATGTATTCATAGGACCTAATTGTTCAAAGTAGCAATAAACGCAAATAATCAAATAATACTGTTCGTTCTGTCCCTCTCTTTGCTTTTCGAAGTGGAACTCCTACAAACTATTTGCAAGTCCATGGTGCTCACTTTATTCATCAAAAGGAATGTTAGTTATTTATTTCTATCCTTATTTTACTTTATATACGAGTGATATAGTTCCATGCTACCTAACAATGTTTCAAAGATAAAAAGAGAATCATATTTCATCTCTTTCTAGCTTTTTACTTTCTGTTTTGACATGTTGTTTGTGTTGTCACTCTGTTTGTTCATTTTATATCGCTAGTTTATACACACATAAACAGTCATATTTTCGTTTCTAAGATCTACTATACACATACACTTTCTGCTTTTCTTAAGAATAAATGAACGCTGTTGTGTTGTTTGAAATCTAGAAAATCAAAGTTTAAATAATTTTATAAAATTAAAAATATGAAATTAAAATTAGCCGCTATGATCGTATCTATTGGTTTTAAATTTCTACTCATCAATTAATCCAATACTAGGCATACTTCTCATGAGGTTTTTTTATCGATTAAAACGGTGTCCAGACGCGTGTGAACGACGAAATAACAGAAGTGCGTTCAGTCGATGCTTAAAACGCGTTTTGTATATCGATTCAACAGCTAAAAATCGCGTTTCAAGCATCGACTGAACGCGTTTCTGTTATTTCGTCGTTCACACACCTCTGGACACCGTTTTAATCGATAAAAAAACCTCATGGGTTATTTCTCTTGTTAGAAAGAACATCTTTGCAAAAACGTTCTTCGTCATATGTGAGGTCATATATGAGAAAAAGGAAAATAAGAAATAGACGGAAAGAAAAGAGAGAGAGGAAAATATATGGTTAGAAATAAATTGTTCGTCAAAGGCTATAACGATAGCTTTAACATCTAACTACAGACGTGTATTTTTGATTTCAATATAAAAAGTTTTTAAAATTTGTTGCTACTGATGAAGATGTTGGTAAACGTCAAAACGTTTAGCTATTTAATTTTATAACAATTGTACAAATAAAAGTATATTAAAAATGTTGTATCAAACATTGTACTGTATTCGTATTGAAATAATCCAATAACCTTTGTAAATATGTTAAATTCTAGTAATTCTAAAGATAGTATTTTCTAGTACTTTCCAAAGATCTTCCCAAAACTCTATTTTGAAAAATGATTTTTCTAATTTCTTTGCTTATGAAAAGACGCCGCCAGATCTCCTCATTTTGTTTTTTAATAAACATAACTCTCTTCGTTCATTCATATTCACGTATATTCTATTTTGAATTTGATCATAGGTTTACAATTTAATGATCTTTTTTGTTTATATTATTACTCTTCTTGTCATATGATATCCAGAAATTAATAGAGACAAAACATCAGCACAATAAATAGTATGACGGTTAATTATGAAAGTATCTCTTTGTTTTACTATTTTTTCCATTACAATAACTAATCAACGAAATTCAAACATTTGATAATAAATGGTGTGATTAAAATGCATTACGTACTCTGGATGTGTTCAAGTGTAGTAATTTTAGTATAAACGATAATGTAATGGCAGCTGTTTTAAAATTCATTTCTTTTCTTTTTTGAAGTAGAAACTATACGTATGAACAGTAATAACAAAGTATCTTGCAGAAAAGTGAAAGACTACAATATAATGTTTTGAGTAGAACATTACAACAGTTTATTAAAACTATATAATCAAATGTTGATTTGTCCCTCAAAGAAAATCAAATAATACAAAAAAGAACATTTTTCACCACATCATAATGTGTCAAGTTCGACAATATGTTCACGGATGGATAATAAAGATACTGCTATGAATACGCAAGGTGAACAAGACAGTGACGGCCTTGGTAACGAGGTTAACATGACATTGTCTGATTTTTCAATTTCAAAAATAAATCTAAAATCAGATCTGTTAAAGCGGAGTATCAATGTCAATCATTCTATAATGTGGGAAAATTTTAAAGTTTTAATGAGAGACGTACATCCATACCGTTTATTCATACAACAGTATCTTATGAGATTATAGTATGAACGAAACATGAATAATACAGTACGTTCAGTTTCATATATTCTGATGAATGTAACGTTTTTCTCTTATTTTCTTGAAAATAAAAGCTGTTCTTTCGAAATATCAAACTGGAACGTTCTAATAGATATCGAATTAAAATGAATTTTAAAACAGCTTTATCATTCATATTACTTACTTTCGAAGAAATGGACAAAAGTGAAAACACGATAATATAGGAATGTAAACAAACAAAATGAAACAACTCTGACCGATTTTATTATCGATAAATATGCTAATTGAGTTAATTATAAAAATTTTCATGCTTTTTGTCGAACTATTGACCCATCTATTTTGCTCGTCAATTTGTCGATTTTGTTCATGGTGATATATCATTTGATATTTAAAAATACAAATTCTAAAAACTAAATAATGTAGACTGTATTGCTCTCATAATAGAATAAATTAAGTTACCGTTTCTCTCATAAAAGACAGCTTTGTCATGCTCAAAAGTGGATGTAGCTTACACTCACACACACGCAGAAGGAGTATAAAATTGAATTTTTCTTATGCCTTTTAGTAATTAAAACATAACATTTGTCCGTTATTGGCAGATTGTTTCAGCTGTTTAGTATTTACGATCATGAAGATGAAGAATTTTCGATTAAATTTGATATTTTTAATAGTTTGCAGCATAAATAAAAACAAAAACAACAACAAACTATTATTTCAGCAAGTACAGAGAACAATAGAAAAAAATAACATTGATTGATAGACAAGAAAATATGAGATGTTAAAGTTAGAACGATACATAATTTTAAAGATAATTTCGTTTGTTTTCATTTAACCCTGCTGTGAATTAGGCGAAAAAAAAATGTTCATTTTTATAACAACACTCATGATAAAAGCAATAGAAAAACAATCGAACTATTTCATTGTTTTATTACACATACATAAAAAGAAAAACAAATCGTTTAAAAAGAAATAGAAAATGATGTAATACAAACAAAAAAATAAATAAATTTCTGCTAAATGTACAACAGATTCATAAACACATTTTTTTTAGAGAAAGAAAAAGAACAGGAATATAACCAGAAAATTTCATCGATTGATTATTACTGTTAGTTATTTTATTATCGAAAAATAAATAAATAGAGAAAAGATGTTTGACCATAACTATAAAAAACACTAACAATAACATAACACTATATTTTTTAAACGGTTTTGATTTGTTCGCCATTTTACTAATAACCAGCTCGTTGACTATTCAAACCATTATTAATAGCTGAATCAACACCTTGACGAGCAGCTTCGGCTGCGGCACCACGTACTGTCTACAAAATTTAATAATATGTAACAACTATTGTTAGTTTGCAACTAATCACAAATAAGAAACGATTAATTTACCGGATTATTAACGAATGCATTTTGTAACTCTCGTTGGGCTTGCTCTAAACTTGCACCAGTTTGACGATATAAACGATGAACCTTGAAGTAAAAAAAACGACAGAAAACTTGATGATAATCTATATAAATAATTTTAAAAAAATATATTCAGCAGCTGTAAAAAAAGTCAAATAAACAAAACTACTTGACTCTACTTGATCATTTTTAGCTAAATGCACACAATCAGGTGAATATGTAGAAAATTAGAGCTATCAAAAATCAATTTTCAACGGTATCGAATGAAAGAGCTTAGCAACATTTCACGCTGAGTTTATTTTTTGTACCATAAACGTGCATAGGACGGCCAGAATCGTAATAACCGTAAAAAGAATCCCAACTATGAAATTTATAACGGCAACTGCGTTTTGATTAATACGAATTAGAATTGCTCCAGTTCTCCAACCACTAAAAACAAAAGGATTGAAAGATTTATTTTCATTTATTATTTACCTGTATTAATAATATAAAATCAGCAATGGCAATAAATGCAAAACATATTGTCACAATCATCACAACGATAGCCGGTCCAATAGCATGGCCACCTCTCGAAAATAAGCTTATCATAAGAAAAAGTCCACTAAAAATAAAGAAAAAAAAATGCACACACTAAATAATATCATGATTCAAAATTTTTGATACTATAATTCAAAAAATAATTATAAAAGCAGCTCTTTTTAAAGTTAAGAAGTTCAGAATTATAGAAGAGTAAATTAACACTAACAATAAGTTCAGAACGGTTACTCACGCCTCTTCATTTTGCTCTGTTTTTGTTTCTCTAGTATCCAACTCTTATCTTTTTCTTCATGCTCAATATGTCGAAGAGATAACGAAACACTTAATCGATGACAACATATTTCCACTTTTGATATCAGCTAATGGATATAAAGATTGACTAATTCTTCGAAGATCAATGAAGAAATTTTCTTTATATTAGAGTAAGCAACAGCAGATAAGCAAAGTAGCATGAATCACATATCAGCAAATAGCACCTACCATGATACAACACCAATGGAAAAAAGTCCACTGGATAGAATGAATAGAACATCCACAAAGAAAAATGTCCAGAAAAAAAATGCACTGTCACTTCTAAAAGCCGAAAAAGAGAAACATGCAAAAGATATGCTTGATTAAAACCAAAATATGAGTTCATTGTACTACACTATAGAAGTAGGCAAATAGTTTGTTATTTTACTGTAGATATTGTCTCATGTAAGATACAGGATTGAGATGAAAAACTGGGTTAAATACAAAACTAGCCCTTTGTCAATGTGATGCATTGAATTTGAAACAAATTACTTGAGAACATTGTGTTCAAGATTCTTCTAGTAAAGAAAAAAGATAAGGCTAAAATATAACTGACTCTATAGAAGACACCTATGTTCGGAATTTAGTTTTACTTTATACTGGTTGTCCCAGTCTACAATACCTAAGAGTTTGTTAAGATGATGTATTGCATAAAGAATAGAAAGAAAAATGTCATATAGGTAAATGGATCACTTTTACCAAACAAAACAATCTAAAAAAGCTGGTGGTACACTATACATGCATAAAGGCTACAGACAGACTATTAGAATAGGGCATCATCAAATCGTTGTTAGCTGTGTTAAAATAGACATGCAAGAAAAGAACGAAAGCAATTTTATAGTGAATCATGCTCAAATACACGATAATCGTGACTACTTAAAAACATGCATAGTGCTTAGTAGAAACAGAAATATATCTTTACCAAGTTCCCCAATCGCTAACGCCAATAAATTGTAGAATGGATACGATAAATTGAATAAAAAAAACGAAGAAAAATACCATGAAACTAAATGCACTGTCCTCTCTAAAACGATTGAAGATTAGAGAAAATTTTGTTATACTTTTAACTTCTAATATTTTCTTTTTCAGCAACGAATAAAGGAGATGCAGCAATATTATATACACATACACATACACACACATACACAGAGATTGTTATTACAAGACAAACCGTGTTAAAGAAACCATGCCCTCTCTCTCCTCTTTCTTCATTTACCAGAAACCTGTGTCTTTCCATCCGAATGTCATTAAAACAGTAACGGCAAATTGAATAAAGAATACGAAGAAAAAAATCATAAAATTCATCGCGCTATCTTTCCTAAACGGAGAGTATGGGATGGATGACCGTGTCGATGAAATAGAAAAGATTAATCTGACCTGAATGCTTTGTAGATTGGTCGAAACCAGCAGACGCTAAAAAATAAATAAAAGACAACGTATTTCATAAGTTCTGTTGAAAAATCGATAGATGAATAAATAAATAAATAACCTACTAAGAACATGGTGTAAGTAAAATAAAATAAAGAATGGATAAACCAAATGTCACACCTCCCTCTTTTAATACAACAAAATAGGCTATTGCACCAATAATATTCAATACTAACGTGATTGAATAAACTAAAATGAGTAGAAAAGAAAATTTTCTATTTGATAGTACTGAAGAATAGAGAGAATACATACTTAACCATAAATAAAATAGATATCGAACCCATTTTTGAAATTCACTAGGTATTTCAATCTAAAACAAAATGTAAATTCATCGTAACGCAAATGAACAATAAACAACAAACTTACGCCAATATTTTGATAGAAACAAGGTTTGCATGGACAAAAATTTGGCAGCGGAGGGAAGTTATTCGTACGTGCTAAATAAATAGAAGTATTCAGAAAAAAAGTGAAGCAATTAAACTTATTCTGTTTCAAGTAATTCTCGTCCATCTATAATGCTTGGTTTAAGCATTAATCTTGAATCAGAACAAAATCGAGAATATAAATTCCCATTATATCATTCTGAAACTTAAACTAACTAAACACAAAATCAATCCTTGCACGTAGCTGGAATCGAAAATCTGCTGAGTTTAACTCTTCTATTTAGACAGTATTTTCACGAAACATAATTTTTTTACATACGTCCCAATACTGCAGTTTTCAATTCTCTTTCTTTGTCTATTATCTTTTGTTCACGACGTTCAAGCTCTTGCTGTTGACGTTCTAATTGTGAAAGATCTACACGCGTTGTTGTTTGCTGCTGTTGTTGTGGTGGTGGTACAGTTGGTGGTGGCACAGTTGGCGTCGCCACAGATGCGTATGAAGGCTGTACGATTGGAGGCGAGGGTAGAACAGCTGGCTGTGGTGTAACATCTATCTGAACAGAAAAAAGATATAAACACCTGGTTAAGCTACTGGAACATATCCTCTTACTGGAGCCGCTGATGAAGAGTTAGTAAATGGATTATATTCATTTAATGTTTGTTGATTCGTTCGCGACTGCGCCGTTGCTTGTTGAATCGAAGTCTCCTGCATATGAAAAACGCAAATTCATGAATTACAAAAATCCGGTGTTACTTTTCGGCATTCTTTCACTTACTGCAAACGGATCCGGCTGAGCAAAAGGATTGCTGAATGGATTATTGTCGTATTCCATAGCAAAAATGGAATCTGAAAAGAAACAATTGAAAAGGTGCAAAAAAATCTGTATTCTTTTTCAGAACAGTCTAATCTCATTGAAATTGAAAGCAAAAATAATCACAAAACTGTCTAAGCAAGACAGATGTGTGATAAAATGTTTCAGTTTGGCTGAGACTCTACTCATGATACCTCCACACAATGTATCTATAAAAGTGTGTTGACATGTGAGTTTCAACTATTTGACTACTGATTATGAGGTATACCCAAAATTCTTGACAGAAATGATAAAAGCTACGTGCACAGTTGCTAGTGCGAATCAGCTGAGTAAATGAAAATTATAATTAATATTTTGTGTACATAAAAATTAACGAATGAGTCATGGTTGTCACCGTTTGTGTTTTTCTCATCTGTTAATTTGCTAATTTTTATCCATATATAATACTGTACTGATAAAATAGAAGAGCTTTTGAGTATGAAAGTTAACTGAATTATCAGAAATTAAAACGCTTTTTTCAAAGTAAAACTAGAGCTAACAGGTGCATAGTGTGGTGGCGCTACTTACCGATATGTGCTGAATTTATGTTAATGCTTATCAATGTAACATATTGAAAATATGATCACAGCACATTGAAAGCAGATAAACATATTTGAGTTGTCACAAACATTGCATTTCTCTTTCTTTCCATCGCATCCAGAGTTTCATGAGCTTTGGACTTTACTCATTATTTACAATTTTGTCAGGTGTCTTGCTGAATGTCCACTGTGCGCTGGATGGTAATGTAATCCGTTTTAATACTGAATTTTACTGTTCTAGTGATCGATTGTTTTCTTGCTGATATCAACTAGAAGCAGGATTATATCTGACTTCCACCTTTCATGATGATGAGAGGAGAAACATGGTGTAACGCTGATATTATGTCTTTTGTGTGGAAGAATAATTGTTTAATTGTATATTTTTTCATTTATTTACACTCGTCTGCGTTTTAATAATTACTCATAAATTTCTATATTCAAGCCACTTTTAGTTTAGAATTTATATGTATTAGGGAAATACAGGTGCGATACAATAATTCTTTTCTTTTTGTTCAAAGGTAAGTACCTGAATAGAGAATATAAAGAATCAAATATATTTTCACAATCGAATATTTCTTCCCGGAATGAGTATAAACTCGTTGTAAATGAAGAAACAAAACGCAGAAGAGAGAAAGAGAGCGAGAGAGAGGTGAAAAATGCCAAAATTTCTTATATTGAAACATGCAAACATTATTCTACTATACTATGCTGTTAAATATGTATTATATAGTAGAAAATAGTATTATTGAAAAAGAACATTGCCTACAATATATTGAAAAGAACAATTGACATTTCCGTAAGCTTGAACGTGTTATTTATTTTGCTCATTCGCATTTATATAGAGATTTCTCAGGAAATAATTGCCGGAAACTGTTAATTTACACGTCTTGGCCGTTTAGCATTAAAGAAAAATTTTCTCTTTGATTGATAAACATTAGATGCCCTCATATCGGTAGTGTAAGATTTGAAGAACTTGTACTAAATTAGGAATCCGTCTGATGTTTTTGATATTGGTGAGTCGATATAGAGTATATGATTAGTTATTTTATCCTATAGTTTTCTTAGCTTATGACAGATATGCCATACATGAATTCTCTCAAACAAAAGCGTCGTGCAATGTATTCCAAATGAGTTTTGTTTTTACTATGTTTATATGACTTATTTGTATATATACATGGAAAGACAAAAAATAAAAAAATGTTCTTTCAATAGGTCCCTCCCGGCTAATTTTTTCTTATCCGGAAATTATTTATGCAACTCATGATTTTCCCTCAACGATAGTGAACATGATAATATTGTTTAAGTGATTGATCACCGTCGTTCATTGCCTCTTTTTACCCCTTATGGCTCAAATATCTGTTGTATAAAAACAGAAAAGCGTTTCATAAATGAAGGAAACGAATTAGGGATTTCTTCTTTTTTTATCTCATTGTAACACAGAGTTGATCTTACATATAGTTTAGAGCTATTAAACAGAATAGGAAAAAGGCAATAAAAAAATAGAAAAACAGAATATACCTCAACATAGTGAATTTTCATGAAAAATTTGATGATTTCCATGTTCTACGCCGATTATATTATAATTAAAGTATTCTATGAACGTTTTATTTCCATGAGAGAACTTCAAGATCAATATTGTCAAGAAAAGACAAGTATCTTGTTTGACTCGCCATTTAAAAATTTTCTGTCTATGTATGTGTGTGTATATGGTGTTTTCATTTCAATTTTACGCCTAACTTGATCTACTCTTTATATTTCGATTATCAAATATAATAAAAAAAAAAAAAATTGGTATTTCTTCCTTGTGTTTTTCTTCCTATCTGTATTCTAAACAAAAAATATATATAATCGGTTATTAGATTATATATTCTTTTATTCTCTATTTTTTTCCATTGTATAGCTATAAGAATAAGAGGAAAATACACTTCAGTAAATCCACTTCATAAAATATACACATATACATAGAGAAGTAGAACATCAGAAAAGGAACGGTAAGTTAGTAATTGTTTAACATGGTGACGAATGGTAGTGACATATCAATTTTTTTATTGACAGACACATTACAAAACATCAGTTGCATGATTTATATAAAAATCATTTGTGTGAATAACATCGAAAAAAATAATTAATTCTTATGGTTACAAAACTAAAATAGAGGATTTATTTTAGCTATAGGTCCATGATCGAATCAAATACTATCAGATTAAACATAATGTGTACAAACTACACGAATTAGTCTCTCGCGCTCTCTCTTTCACATCAGAATTGGTAATCGTGTATTCACATCACATAAAACACACAATATATTTGATTTCTATAGATTTTACAAAGATTGTTATTTAAAATGTTATCCTGTTCTTCGCCTATAATATTTATTGTTTGATGAAAAAAAATTTGACAGCCTGTTATTTTTGTATTTGTTTGATAAACAGTGAACCCTTTTTCCATACAACAGACAGTTTTAGCTTTGAGTGGGACTAAAATTATTCTCATTAATAAAAGAATTCACGGTTTTCTTTGCTGAAAACAGATTGTTTCGAAATTTCTCTTATTAACTCGAAAATAGAACTAAAACAAGAATCTGTTTAAAACATCTTTGCTAAAATAAAAAACCTATTTGTTATACGTACTATATGAAAAAAAAAAGAACAAGAAGAAGAAAAAAGCTTAAAAACAAAATTAACGTCGTATTTAACCGATGAATTATTTGATTTTAACGAAACACTTATGGATAGGTGTGTCAGAACAAGGAAGAAAGAAAGAAAACAGAGTTCAATGCAAATGCATTTAACATTCTATTAATGAGAAACGTGCAATATTTCGTCAGAAACACATTTAATTTATATTAGGGTGACAGTATCTTTAAGAGAAGAAATAGAATGTCACAGTATTTAGCATTAGGTAAGAAAGAACATTGAGAAAATTTGATCTGAATTTCTGAGTTCTAAGGGTGATGGAAAATACTCATCAAAGATATTAAGGTGTTCTTTTTCGACACATTTAAGAGTAACCTCCTCTTTTTGATTGTGCTCAAATTTATACCAGAGATAGAACAGCGAAAAAGAAAATCGATATATTTTTGCTCAGAATTTTGTGACAGGATTTTCTATAGATTTTTTGAAGACCACGTTTTTCATCGAGCCATATTACAACTCATCGAAAAAATGGTCCGATCGAGTCGAAATTTTCACCACAGATACTCCGGATCCTATCTCAGATTCTAAATTTTTTTTTCGAAAAATATACTGTCTTTCTCGAGATATCCTGAGCAAAAATATATCGATTTTCTTTTTCGCTGTTCTATCTCTGATATAAATTTGAGTTCAATCGGACGTGTGCTCCAAATTTGGTAACAACGTGGAAAAAGAGGGATAGTACACTCAAGTCCGTATCATATCGAGCGTTGACAAGCTGAACGCCAATCAAAGTTCACACTTTTCATATCTTCATAAAAAATTTATTATCTCTCATTCAACAGCTGAAAAAGAATTAAAAACTAAATGTGGATTTATGTTTAGTATCGCCATAGTATTTGTTAATTACCTTCTTATTGTTATGAATTTTCCTTGCCTTCAATGTACTCTTTAGAATTAGAAGTGCGACTAACCAATAGACACTAGATATCTTTTTTTCGAGTATGATGAGTAAGTAAATTATTTAGAATGATGTGTGAACAGATTCTTTGAACACACGGTGGTCTGAAATAGGAAAAAAGCAAATGGCACTTAATAAAACAAATCATTATTAATAATAATGTGTTTGGGTCCGGACACGCGTTTCCTTTAGATGAGACACAGTTTCATTTCTAGATGAGATTTTTTATGAATAAAGTATGAAGAAGCGAACTCTTTAACCTATTTGAATTTTTAAAGTTGAGAAAATATTAGTATTGAAACTGTTTCTGCTCATTGCTAAGTACAAGACATATGATTATTTTCCAGATCATTTTTAAACTAAAAAAGATAGATATCTCCCTTTTACCTCAATCGATAGTCAAGATCAGTTAGCATATGCCTACGGAAAATTAAAGCTTGGAAAATCTTTTATGAAAGTAGATGTTTGGAAAAACAATTTACCACATGTCTTATGTTCACTTATTATCTTCTCTTCTCCAACTTCAATCATGATAATCAAGCTTATAACAAAATAATTCATAACTGATAAGTTTCAACTCGATAAATATTTGATGTTATATACGGTACGAAGTGTTCTCTTCAAGATGGCAGTCAAACAAAATCATCATCTGTGACATTTCAAGTGTGACATCCGATTTCCTAAAAATTTATAATTTGAAGATACGGCCAAAACAATACTTTGTAAGTGTAAGTAACTAACTGATAAAAAGATAGAAATTAAATTTATATTCCCGTTGAGCTTTATGAGAAGTATTGGTAAAATACAGAGCGTATGAAAGATTCTGTACAGTTTTCACACTGTAAATAGGCGTAATTGAACAGACATTCTGACCTATTTAAGTTAGTTTTGAGTAATTTATGAATTTTTTAATATTCGGTCAAAAGACATATTTCCATCCTAGGACATTCCTCCTAGAAATAAATCATTAATACCTCGAAACCCAGTATAGTAGGATAACGTGAGTTCTACTCGAGTTTGCGGTTCTGATAAGTCACTAAAAGTCAATCAACAGGCTCCAGGAAATTCTATATCATAATTCAAATGTAACAGATGATGATTTTGTTTGACTGCCATTTTGAAGAGAACACTTCGTACTCTCTATCGTGTATAACATCAAATATTTATCGAGTTGAAACTTATCAGTTATGAATTATTTTATTATAAGCTTGATTATCATGATTGAAGTTGGAGAAGAGAAGATAATAAGTGAACATAAGACATGTGGTAAATTGTTTTTCCAAACATCTACTTTCATAAAAGATTTTCCAAGCTTTAATTTTCCGTAGGCATATGCAAACTGATCTTGACTATCGATTGAGGTAAAAGGGAGATATCTATCTTTTTTAGTTTAAAAGTGATCTGGAAAATAATCATATGTCTTGTACTCAGAAATAGATAGGAATGTAAATTCTTATTTTGTGGAAATAACAGAAGAAAATAATGATGTAGACTGAGAAGAGACTATGCATAGAATGTGTTGTTATTATTATTCTAAACTCTCTGAGTAAATAATACATGAAGAAAAAGTCGAACATATGCCTAATAGTAAAGATGTTGTTGTGACTAATATCCGTATAAATGAAACAAGTCCGCATAAAGAAACTATTTATTCTATAGTGTTGTTGTTTTTTTGCGTCTTTTTTTTTCTTGTTGGACAATATTGTACATGAAAGAATATTCGTGAACAAGTTTGTTTTTACTATATAATTATTCAACGTGAAATATTGAATTTCACACTGCAATACTTTTAAACAGCTTCCAGATTGACAAACATTCTCTAAGCAATCAAAAGTACAAATTCGAACAATAAATATCTATTAGGTATTGATAAGTCAAAATGCTTGTTGATATTTTGAATTCTACAGGAATTGAAAGCTCACTACGACACATCAACATTCTTATTGTCAAGATTGATTTTTCTAACTACAGGCCAAATCGTATTGAAAGCACATGGCTTTTTGAAACGATAATATCTAGATATGTTTTTTCGGTTTTAGCTACTTCAAATAGTCGAAAGTCATGAGTATCGAAATACCAGATGAACTGCCGTTGCTATTAAGAAATTTTACGCTGTCTGTTTTGCGTAGTAAACCACAAGATATAATTGCGCATGCTGTCACATATTTTACACAATTACAACAACAACGGCCGAGTGTAACCACTCAAACATCTAATACTCTTGGTAATAATTTAGATATAAAGAAAAGTTTAGTGGGCAACTCCCTCTCTTCATCACTAACCAGTCATCATCATCTTTTAATTCAAAAAATGATCTAACATTCGATTCATCATTTCTTTCTTTTCAACAGCCTATTACTTCTATTTCTTCAACTCACTCAACACTGCCATTGCAAAGTTCTCCCGTTTTATCTCCTCCAACTCAACAACATTCGTTCCCACATCTCTCATCAACATCATCTCATCAACTCACTATCAATTTATTTTCAGCTCAACCAATTACTTCAACTCCGACACCAGAACTATCGACAAATTTATCATCAAACATCGAAACAAGATTAGCAAACAGTCAACATTCAATAAGCGACAACAATAATGCAATAACAGGTAGATGATAACTTCTTATATATGGTAAAATAGAGGTCTTCGGGTTGCTGTTAGAGTTCCTACGAGACTTATTTCTTATTTGAAACGGCGTTTCAACGCATATAAATGATAACTGAAACGTGTTTCAAGCACCCGTTGAAAATGCGTTTCTACCGTTTTGTTTTACAAAAAAATACGATGCGTTTTTTTGAACTGTTATGGATAGAAGAATATGTTTGTGTCAGGGTTGCCAAATCCAAATTTCTAAAACCAGGAGTTACCAGGAGATCTTTACTAAAAAAACAGGAGAAAAACCAGGAGCTTTTTTATTGATATCGGTAATTCCACTATTCTGGATTGAGGATTGTACATTAGAAATAGAACAAAATGCTTTTGTTTGGTCATTTTTACATTCTTTTAAAAGTGAAGAATATCTCGAACTCGTTAACCATTCTTTTTTGAATTTTGACAAGTAGCGTTTAGTTACTGTGGTACATGATGATAGAGCAATTGTCGATTTTTGAATGATTTTGTAATGAAAGAGAATCAGCAGTTTTTTGTCGGCTGTGGTAAAGATTGTGGCAAAAGATTTTCTACTAATGAATTTGACACTTCACTAATATCATCTTCTTGCAATGAAAACATGCAATAAATACATAGTGGGTGCTTTTTTAATTAACAATGAAACAAGTTCTTGCCATAGAATTTATTTATGAAATTGGTAATCTTTCTTAGTTTTACACACCACCAGCAGAAACAACGTGTTTTCTTATTGATTTTTTGCGTCCATCAGCGTGATAGTTCTCTTTTTCTTTTCCCTGATTATTATCCTATTACTTTTCCTTGATCTTATTAATTCAAGAATGATGAACCAAGATGTCACTAAAACTCAAAGTGACGAAACCAGGAGAGGCCAGAAGAAAATCACAAAAACCAGCTCCTGGATCCAGGAGATTTTTTCACCAGCAGAAAAGTCTAAAAATCAGGAGTTCCCTGGCTAAATCAGGAGATTTGGCAGCCCTGGTGTGTGTGTTCTTGATATGAATAACTGATTATATATACAAACAACTATCAAGTGTATTTTTACCTACTAACATATGCATTTCATGAATGAAAAAGAAGTTTTCTTTAATCTGAATACCCTTTCAGTCGAAAGTGACTAAACATCTCACCTTTTTAAATAACTCTACCCTATGTTGTGAAATTTTACAACTATCTAAATGTCAGATTGTATCTTAGCCATAATTCACACAATTTAAAATACCCAAGTCACCCATCCCCACATCAGATCTTATCTCAAATGAAATCTACAAGCCCCTTATAGTCTACTAGGGCTTTTAGACCTACTACATATACACTAAGGATACAGAAAATGGGTAATAAACCACGAAGAGTAATTCTGTCATGCTAAACATTTCATTTATGTTAGACTGCCGTACTGGTTATCTGAATTCCATCGGTTCTTAGTATTGGGCTATTATTTGTTGCTTCATAGAAAGTCTTTGTTTTTATTATGATAGAAAAGAATCTATGTTGGCATTTCAGACGTTATATATATAAATTGACAACTATCATTTAGAATGCTGTTGTTATCCAATTACTTTTTTAAATTCCTTTCATTTTTCTCTAACAAAGAGATTGGACGTAATTCGGTTACAAGAAAAATTACTGTCATCTGCTAGTTGATGAAATTTCTTCATTTTTCGGTTATTGGGATGATAAAGCAAATGGGTATTACTTTTATTACATGTGCGTGATCATTCGTTTTAATCACAGTCACGCAAACTTTCCAATGTTTTAAAAAGTTCAGATTATTGTGGTGTACCAACTATGCCATGCCTCCTTTATTTGTTGGAATGTTCAATCTGTTTGATCTTGAATCTATCTTTGTGAATGTTAGAGAAAACTAAGTATTAGTAATTGCGACATTATTTTGCGAATCAAAGCAGTAAAAGTTTTAGTTTTATCCTTCTAATGTTTTCTATATAGATTTTTATTAATGATCACGGTTACGTCTGGTCATTACAACCACACATACTTTCAATAATAACTTTAGATTTTTCTACTAGATCAGATGAAGACTTTTACTCTCGAAACGTACGTCTAGCATGTCCAATGCAGACACTCTCGCAGCTATGTAAATCATTTTATAAAATTAATTTTTTAGTTTGCTTTGTTTCGGCATGGAAGGATGATGTTTTTGAGACAGAGAGAGAGAGAGAGGCAATTAAAAAATGTCATCATAATTTAACAAAAAGTTTATAGTTATAGCAAGTAGATACAATTTCATTTGTTCACCGTTCTTTTATCACTTTTCTCTTACTTTTGTTTCCGGTCACATTTATAGAAATGAGTGTATATGAAATTTTTTGTTTTGGCCTTCTCAGAAGTGTTCTGTTTAATGTAATCGATGATGAAAAACGAATATTGGTGAAGTAGAACATTTACTGCTATCATCAATAAAAAATTTCATAGCAGAGTTATATTACGCTATACTGATTAAATGTGAAATGACAGTTTTTTTTTTTCTTCTTTTCTTTCTTTTGAACACAAATTGCTTAAGTAGGCAAAAATAAAACAAGTTATTTAAAGACAACCTGATATGTTTCGGAATCTTTTTATTTCTTTTTTTTGAGTTAATTATTTACAGAGGACAAATGATGATCTTTCCTAAATAGCAGACCGATACTAACACCAAGTTTGTCCTATGGAATTTTCTTTTCACCGTTATATCTAAAGAAAGTCATTGTCAAAAGCTTAGATTTTCTACTATGGAATTCTTTTTTACATAGAACAAATACTCCGGCTTTTCCCTCTGTATCGGCTGAGATCTTGTAAATAAGAAAGGTCTCAGTTTTTCTGAATTTCTACAGCGTACTCTCGCTCGTTTAACAAAACTTAGATCAATTAGGTGATTACACCCATAAGGGAATGGATAAATGAGAGTCGAGCTCATGTTTTGCTTATACTTCGAGCATATGATTGTAATAATAAAAGGACAAACTCGAAACACATTAGCGTCCAATAGCGGATGTGTAATAAATTGCAGATCTTTCAATAAAAGTCTAACTGACTTCACTTGTCTGGCACTGTGTTCAAGGATTGTGAATTTTCAAAATTATCGTAGTGGAACTTCTCATAATCAAGATCTTGGCTTTTTGAATTTTTTTCAATCAAGATCTTGGTAAAAAAACACAAGAAATTCAAGGAGTTCCAAGAATCCAGGATCTTAACCATCTTGAAAGTTCTTCAGTTCTTGTACCAAGATCTTGATAATTCTTGAATTACAGTTTTGTTTCACACTCTTTACATACAACTGTAAAACTTTCATAGTTAGAATAATTTCAAAATTTTTCTTTCTTGAGCAAAGCTGTTCAAGGATGAGCCTACCACAACATCTGATTGTATATCCAATGGCTATGGTTGTCATATAAGAAAGAAAATGTAAAAAATTCTCATTATCACAATATTTTGAAACATTTTGACTCGATTCACTCAAGACCTTGAGTGCAAGTTTCACGAATCCAACATCTTGTGGCATTTCTTAACTCAAGATCTTGTGTACAACAAGTTTCTGTAAAGTAGACTATGCAACTATGGTCCTCAAGTCCTGTTTTTTTGTCAAGTACATCGATTTATGAGCTGAACTTTTTCACTAAATAGAATTAATGGTTACTTACTAGCTGCAAAGTTTCAGCTTTTCTGCTTCCAGTTTACGCAGCCACTCTGTTTCAATTATTTTCTAATTAATTAGCATTTTCACTAATAATTTAATTAATGTTTATTATCATTTTTTGTGTTCATGACATGCTTTTTCGAGACATTTGTTCGGCCTGCGCCATACCAAAAAAAGGTGATTTTCAAAAATCGATTTTCTTTTAACCGCAAGAGCGACATTAAAGATGAAACTAATCACTCATTGATCCAATTCAGTGGAAAAGTTCAGCTCATAAATCGATATATCTGAGAAAAAGGATAGAACTTGATCGCCGTAGTCACATAATCTAGAATTAACTCTAAACATTCGTAACGCTTGAACAAGACACCAGAAAAACAAATTCAGTTAGACTTTTTTCTTATCTTAATCATATGCTCTAAGTAAAAGCAAGACATGAAGTCGGAATTCTTTTATCTCTTCTGGCCTTTCCCTCGATAGTTGTCTGACAGTTTTTTTAGGTCTTTTTATATATTCTAAGAGTTCTCATTTATTTTAATCAAGATTTACCACACATTTTTCCGAAAGTGTTGAGATGGTTGGATTGTGTCTCAGTCCTTGCAATGATCGACAGGAATAAATTACAGTTTTTAATCTTTTGTGATAAATTAAAAGATTCATGACATCTACTGTCAACGAATTAATCTAAATAAATCGCTTTTGCTTCTAATATAACAACTAAAAATTTTATTATAACTAGACACCAACTATTGTGCGTGAAGATCAGAAAGTCGACTAAGTGAAACGTCAACCACATAAAGGTAAAACACTTCAACACGGCACATATAAAAAAACTAACTTCACACGTTTATCTACACCTGTTTGACATTGCAAACAACACTGAACAAATGCCTATAACTAGAAATTACTGAGAACACGTCGACTTGCCTGCATAACTCTGCTACTGCAATGTAATTTCCTAACGGTATTTTTGCATTTTTTTTTCTCTTATAATTTTTGAACGAAAGTATGCCCAAAGCTGTGCTATGCGACGTCTTAAACTAAAGAAAAAAAATGTACTGAACGTTTTAAGATGTTTGTGCTCTTTACATGTTCTGTCGTTTAGGAAATATGACAAAAAAGGACTACATTTCCGGACGAGTTTCGAAAAAGTAATGCTTTGTATTTTTGTCATATTTCTTGAACGACAGAACATGTAAAGAGCACAAACATCTTAAAACGTTCAGTACATTTTTTTTCTTTAGTTTAAGACGTTGCACGGCTCTGGGCATGCTTTCGTTCGAAAATCATAAGAGAAAAAAAATGCAAAAAAGCCGTTAGGCAATTACATTGCAGTAGCAGAGTTATGTAGGCAAGCCGAAATGACTGACTTGAGACAGAGAACAATATGAAAAGAAGAAGCAGAATTGCTGATGACAAGAGGCAATAGGTCGTCTTTTACTGCACTTAATCAAATTAATAATTACTACTATTACATGCGCTAATCATATTATCGTGTTTATGTGAATTAATTATAAGCCTTTTTTATCGTATTATTTTTATTAGAAATATACACAACACTTATAAGCTTTTCGAACACATTCGACAGCCTAAATATGGTGCTAGCTACAGAAAATATTTGGAATAACTGCTGATTATATAAGAATACAAAACAGAGTTCGGGTATTGAGTGGATTTTTGTTGTGAACTAGTATCAGCGTTAGATTTTTTAGTGGTTTTTCTTCACTCTAAAAAAAAATGCCACTTAGGATCAAATTAAGTCGCATTAATGTGTCTTATTTTCATAGAATAAGGTACATTAATGCAACTTAATTTGATCCTAAGTCGCATGTTTTTTAGAGTGTTCTGTGAGAAAAAGAAATATTTTTTTATATTGAATTGATGTACAACCGCTTACTATTTGTAACCTTGTATCTCTGCTTACAAAAGAAGACTTAGAACCAATTTTCTATAAACTTTTGATTGACGATTATTTTTCTTCCATTAGATGACAACGATTGGTCATGTGAACATCGTTCTAAAAAAATGAATCAAACTGTTGATAACAAACAACAAAATACTCTGGTAAATTCTTCATCATCATCGTCTTCGTCAACATCAGTTGAAGATGAGGAAAAACAGGAACAAAGCAGTGATAATGATGAAGCGCAAGATAAAATTGATGAGGAATTTTTACGAAAACGGTATGTGAATAAAAATGAATATCGTCGTGTATCGGTTGCTGCCGAAAAGTATAATCCTGAAGAGGATAATGACAGTGATACGGAAAATACATTTTATCCAAAAACTAATGAACAACGAAAACGTTTAAAAGACGCTGTTATACATAGTCTATTATTTCGAACATTAGAATCGTCACAAATTGATCAAATATTAAATGCTATGTACGAGAAAGAAGTAACACGTGGCGAAGTAATTATCAAACAGGGAGATGATGGTGATAATTTTTATGTTATTGATAAAGGTACATTTGATATTTATGTTAGTAAACAACTCGATCAAACACCAGTTAAAGTAGGTGAATATGATAATAAAGGTTCATTTGGGGAATTGGCATTGATGTATAATCAACCGAGAAGTGCTACGATCATAGCAGCAACAAACGGTATCCTATGGGTAATGAAACGTCAGACATTTCGTAAATTAGTCTTGAAATATGCTTTTCGTAAACGTCAACTATATGAAAACTTTTTAAAAGAAGTTGAAATATTAAAATTGATGAATGAATACGAACGATCAAATGTGGCAGATGCTCTTATACCAATTGTCTATGAACAAAATGATTTGATTATAAAACAAGGTGATTATGGTGATAGAATGTTCTTTATTGAAAATGGAGAATGTGATGTTATCATGAATAAACATGTCCATAAAACCTTGAGCAAAGGTGATTATTTCGGTGAGTTAGCCCTTGTTAATAATGAACCTCGTTCTGCTACCGTTAAAGCTAGAACAAAAGCGAAATTAGCCTATTTAGAAGTTGAATCATTTGAACGACTTATGGGACCATGTATGGATTTAATTTGTAGAAATATGTCCAAATATACCAAATGAAGTATAGGAAAAACAAACTTGTATACTTTATATATATATATGATAACGATGTAGTTTTTGTTTATATAGTCTATTCTCCTTTGTTGATTCTTTGAATGAACTAAATGTCGAACCTTTTATCGAATAAATATATTGAACTGAATCCGGATATCATCCAAGTTAGAATGACAAGAAAACAAGAATTTTTTCAAATTTTCAGCGGAAGTGCGTCCTCCGACTCTCTACCATTATTTGTGTCCATATTCACTCATATTATTGTACAGCAGAGAGTCTTCGAATTTATTTAGAGAGTTTAATCGAATTCCGAGTTTCCAATAACTTCTATACTATAATATAAAGTGTTTATTTGTCTGTTTGATTTTTATGCTACACAAATCCACATGCTTGATCCCAGAGCAACCAAATTTTCCATGGGGTCCATATTCATCAAGAGGAAGACCGTAGGCTATGTGTGACCCCAAAATCTCCATCCACAGGGGTACCTCACCCTCTCATCAACATCAACCCGGGCAAAGCCTGGTAAATTTTCTAGTATTCTATAAAAGTTTTGTAATTAAAATAACTTTTAATTTTGATATTCGGCATAATATTATACCTTACTCAGGTTCAGTCCGAAATTCCGGTACTTTTTCGGCCCGGGCCGAAAGTCTGAAAGGAATTTCGGACCAAACTTTAATTTACCTAATTAATTTATAAATAATTAGTAAACTTCACGGCGCTCAGCAGTCGATATGGTGCTCGGCAGACGGTATAGTGCTTAGCAGTGCAACATGATGTTTAGCAGTTTTCATTCAATTCTATTAGAAGTGAGGCAGAGCACGATACTCTACCAATATAATTTTAATTTTATTCGACCGATGTTTCTCCACCAATACCACCACTTTCATCTTGCTGAGCACCATGTCGTACTGCTGACCACTATGTCATCTTGCTGAGCACCACGTTTTATTGAAAGTGCATAGTGCTGAACACCATGAAGTTTACTAATTATTTATAAAATTAATTAGGTAAATTAAGGTTTGGTCCGAAATTCCTTTCAAACTTTCGGCCCGGACCGAAAAAGCATCGGAATTTCGGACCGAGCCGAAAGTCCGGGATAAAAAATTCGTGGGCCGAAATTTATGTAACCCGTTGTAATCAGTGTACTCTTCTATCAAATTCTTTATATTGTTATGGTGAATCCCGATGAAACTGTTGTTCGCGATTCGAGTCAAATATATTATAAGAAACTCAATATTTTAAAACGAACATATGAAAAATATACTGAACATAAAAGTTAGTACTGTATGTATGCGAATGAGTATGTTAATATTTATAAATTTCACAAAAATTTCATGTGCTGCTTTTATATTACTGCAGAATTATTATTGTTAGAACTTGTAATTGCATTATTATACTATCTGGTTTACACCCAGTCAGAATGAAAATAGCGTAAAAAATTAGGCAATATCAGAATAATACAGCAGTACAACAGGCGTATAACATAAGAAAACTATCTAGACTAATATCAATAAAACCTGATATTTAAACGTTCTAAAAAGTGGATAACTCAGAATAAGTTTAAAATGATTGACAGTAGGACTTCAGAAACCATCATTATTGACATACCAATCAAAAATATATAATTTTTTCTAAAATTCTTTATCTTTAAAAGCATTTCAAATCCTCTATTGCTCACAAAAATGTATAGCCTCTATATAGGACTAAAGTTTGTTTAACTTCATCTTTAGATTGATTCTTCAATAGAATTCAAAATTCAACGGTTTTTCTAATTTTCGTAGAAATCAGACAAATATTCTTGGAAAACGTCATTCAACAGAGTTTGAAAAATGGAACAAACGTAAGTTTTTTTTTAAGTTTAGCTCTCAAATCAATGAAGATTTCTGGCATTTTTCGTCAAGCTATCATGTTCCATTTTGATCACGCGATCTGATTATAATTAACAAGATGATTGATTATATTATAATAAGTTTTCTAAAGAGTTTCGAGAGGGCTTCTAATCAATTTGTAGCATCATTTATCTTGCAGCGGGATTATTTACTCACGAGGGAATGTTTCCAGGTGTCTCATCGCTTTTACCTTAGAAACTTATACACTTGACTATAGTTAACTTTTGATGCTGATTTTGAATTTGATATTCATTTATGTTGCTAAGTGTCGCTGTCATGGTTGTCTAAATATCCAATCTCTAGAGACACCTCTTAAAAATCTGAATTGAAGAGATTCTGCTTCTTGCAGATTATAAAACATGTCGAATACCTAAGGGAAATTTTTTACTAACAATCCCACGAGTAACTGGAAACGCTCCCGTATTTTAGTTCAAAAAAGTTTCAAATTTCAATCAACTTAGTAAAAAAAAATTTTTCTTTAGATAATTCAACATGTTCTACAATCTCTACGAAGCAGAATCTCTGCAATCCAGATTTTAAGAAGTATCTCTAGAGATCGGATATTTAGAGAACAATGACAGCTACACTTAGCAACATAAATGAATATCAAATTCGAGATCAGCATCAAAAGTTAACTATAGTCAAATAGGTTTCTAAGGTAAAAGCGATGAGACACCTGGAAACAATTCCTCGTCAGAACGAGCGTGTAGTCATGGAATGTGCGACATTTGGTTTGTGGATTACTGACGAACTGTCATAGACAACACTGATTTAAAGAATGTGGCCGTGTCCCGAACGTACTACAAACGATTTTTTCATGTACTAAATTGTTTTTCGTTTATCGGTACCTGAATCGCCATGTATATCATTCAATTTCATCAAAGTGGAACTTGGGATTGAATGTTTTCATTTTTTGATTTCTGTCTTATTCTGTCTTTGTTATAAAAAAAAGCTGTACTCTCACATACATGTATATAGTGTGGATATGAGTATAAAAAAGTGTTCGTATAAGAGAAAGAGTGATGTATGGTGGCTTGTTGTATTAATGGCATGCTCGGTGACAAGAAAAAATCTATCTCACTTAGGATGACACATTCCATGACTCAACTTACACTTGTTTTGCGTGTTTAAATCCAATTTGAAGGAAATTATATTGAAAAATGGTCAAAAACTTCTCAGGACTCTCTGGAAAACTCGTGGTAACTCAGTTAATGATCTTGTTAATTACTATTAGGCCTCGCGACCAAAGTATAACCTGATAAGTAGAAAAAAAGTTCCATTAAAACTGACGGAGACAGTTTTTTATGCAACACGCGTATTCATATATAACTGTCTAAACAACTGTATGACGACTTTTCCTTCAAAAAATCTTTCTATCATTAAAAGTCCCATAGGCTTTGTAATATAACAGAACTTTGGGATTCTATTTTTTGCGTTTTTCTCATAAGTGAAGGAAGAAAAAAAATTCTAATTCAGCAGCTTTAGACACCATAAGACAACGTCATTGGTGACTTGATTCTTATGGTATTATTAAATCAGCATCATTAACAAATCGGAAGACCCATGCTCTTCGTCTTGATGCAATTTGTAACAAACACAATGTGACCGAAATTTGTATCGATCCCGCCACAGTTATTAAAAATATTTCCACCACTATAAGTAGCAATGGTAATCGAAAATATTTAATGGACAGTAAATTGATATTCATTATTCATTTTTTCATTGTTATCTGTTTCTCAGGTGTGGTAAATAGTAAAAATTTATTTTAGTACTTACAATATTCTAATAAAAAAGAATATTAATTCTTTTCTAAAGATCTATTAGTCCAATAGGATCTGAGTATGAAATATAGATGCCGAGATCTATAGATAGCGATAAAACATGTTAGATTATTAAGATACATGATAATCTCAGCATCTGGTCCTCATGTATCTTTTTGAATGAACCTCCTCAGTCTTCTTTCCTTGTGATCAAGTAAAATAGAATGACTGTTACTGCAAGCGTACCTACGCCTTAGTATCGATGACTACACTAATTATTACTTAGGTCATACCAAAAGTACTGGCATTTCCAGATAAAACGTCACAGAATAGAGTTAATGAAGATTTTACTTCAGTAAGTATTTGAGCCAGTAGTCATGAATACCCATGCACAATCAATTTACTTCTAGGCATTTGTTGGAAATTTTTTTCGAACCATCTTTGATTAAAAAATTCATCATCCTGGTTATGGCACTCAATGCCATGAGCAGGAACTATTTTGATCGATTAAATTTGGTTGGACATGGTCGACTAAAGAAATATGTCGAATGCATGAAGCGGTAGTAGGTACTAGATTTGTGACACATAAATGACCTAAAACTCCTTAAAGCAGAAAGATTATAAGCGAAGAATCTGCATTTGCTATAGTTTGACGCAGGTAATTAGGTTCAAAACATTGTTTCGTGTCTTTTCTTCAAACAACTAGTCGAATAATCTTAGAAACTAGCCAAATACGCAAAGAGGGCAGGCTGTTATATCAATAATTTCCTAAAACTACTTGTCAACGAAATGAGAAGGCAAAGATTATCACATAGTACTCATAACATCAAAGTTCATCATGACAGCGTTCGACAATATACTCATAAAAATGTTTTTACTATCTTGAACCAGAACATGTTATAATTATTTTACACCCACCTTATTCCACGGGCCCAGTACTATGTAGTTTTCAGATGCTTTATCTAATTGATAAACTTAATCAATCAAACGGCCCCTAATCATGGCATTGCATGCCGTAATAAAGGATTATGTACATGGTTATCCTAGTTTCTAATTTCTAACGGATTTGCCAGATTTCTCCAAAAAACCAACTTCTCAAAACTTTTAAAAATTTGAAAAACCAGAGAGTAAACACTGATGTTGTTGGACAGCACCTCCTTTTTTCGCTGGTCAACTTCTACAGCAGAATTTTATTTCATTTAATGAAAATGGAAAACATTATTTGATCAAATATTGTTCACTTTTTTCTTTTTCTTGGCGTCTGTTTTTTTGCTGACAATTTCAGATATTCGACAAATTTGGCATTTGGCAAATTATTTGGTAACTTTTGACAAAATCTGATATTTGCCAAATTTTTGCGAATTTTTGTTTTTGGCAAATGCCAAATCTAATCATTTTCAACCTGTTCCACATCAAGATGATGTTTTTTTTAATTAAAGATGATTCGAAAAAAATTTCCAGCAAATGCCTTGAAATAAATTGATTGTGCATGGATATTCATGACTACTGGCTCAAATACTTACTGAAGTAAAATCTTCATTAACTCTATTCTGTGGCGTTTTATCTGCAAATGCCAGTACCTTTGGTATGACCTAAGTATCTATCTATATTACTGTTAGGATTTAACTGATAAATTCTTCAGAGAAAGTATGAGACCGAAATAAAATTCCATTGCATAGACAAACAGAAAAATATTAAACAGACATTTCATTATTACTTGAAGAGTTATGCATTTGCATTTATCAATTATTTGTTTTAGTCGAATATAAAATTTAAAAATACATAATTAGACACAAATTTGTGATATGACTTAATATGCACGTAGGGGTTTTTTTGTCACACGGTGCTGATTTCAGATCTGTACATATAAAATTTAAAACTTAGGAATACAATTTTTGTTTGTAAAATAATATAAAAATAAACAAAAATCAAAAAACAATGTGCGAAAATCAAATAACTATTTAGTAGTTTTATCACAAAATCGATCTTTTCATACTCGCAATTGGATAATATAGAATAGGAGAACTGTTAGAATATCGTCAATGAAGTTTCTGCTCTTATCTATCAGTTCGAAAAAGTAAAGAAGTTAGTTGTAGCAAATTATTATTTATCAGCATAACAATGAAATAAACATCCATTTTATAAATATCAAAATATACAGAAAACTATGACAAAAACAAAACCGGTGCAAGAACATCTTTGTGTGCATAAAACATAAACAAAAATGTTTCAATGTAAGCGAGATGCGTAGAATATTGAAAAGAAATTGCCATAACATATATTTACATGGAAAAACAAGCAAAAACAATAGATGTTAAAACTATGACAGCAATAACTTAATAGTTTTTCCAAGCTCACCAAAGCAATAAATGTCAAAGTTGAAGGTATACTCTAATGGTTATAAAACATTAATTTCATTTTAAGGTCAAACATTTTGCATAAACAGACAATACAACTGTGTAGTAAGAAATGCTTGCTTATGTTAGAAGAGGGCATACAAAAACTGATAAAGCTATCCCACAGCTCGACTGAAAATCGCAACGACCGTTTTAGAGATATAATAATAAAAAATCCATTGTTATTTTAATATCTGTTAGTGCGCGTAGATCTGTTGGGTGGTGCACCAAAACCGCCTCCCGTGCTACGTGTATTTGACATATTGCCACTACCTCCACCAAACGATACGGGATTACGTTGTGGTTGACCGCCACTTCGAATTCCAGGTCTAGTGACAGAATAATAGTGACATTTCATTCACAACAATGATTTTATACTCACGGTGGCTTAGGTTTATTGACAATACTTTGACATTTTGGAACATGACGTTCAGCGACGTTTGGAGCAAAATTTCTTCCACAATGAGGACATGCAACATAGTCAGGATTAAGACTTGGAGGTGGTGGTGGCAAATCGGCTAATCGTCCACCTTTGAAATGAGTAAAGTAAAACTTAGTGATAACAATCGCATCTTTATTATTCACATTTAAATATTTTCAAAACGCGGTAAAACAAACTGAAAGTTCTACATCATTTCTACCTGATTTTTCATAATTTGTTGCTTGTTTCGCATATCGAATAGCACGTACAAAGTCTTCGTGTTTCTGTCTCCAATTTGAATTCGGTGGCTGTTAAGCATTAAAGAATAAAAACTACTTTAAATTAATGTTCAAGAGAACACTAACAATAAGTAATATTACTTTTGGTGGTTCTACGGCCTTTCGTCCTTTCGTTGACTTTACGTATGACGCTGCTTCTGTACCTGATTATTATACAAATAGAATTATACTTCAGAGTTTTTATCTGTTAACTATAAGATATTACCTTGTAAACGTTGTTTTGTAGAATCAAATACTTTTCTCGCTTTGCTCGCTTTTTGACACGCCTGTTGATGTGCTTGAATTCGATCACTGGCAAAATTTCGACCACATATCGAACATGGATATAGGCCAGCTGCTGCATTTCCTCCACTAAACGCTGCACCACCTCCTCCACCACCGCCTCGTTTCGATGTTGAAATTGGTATATCACTGTAATCATCCGGTGCTAAATGTATTGAAATAAACATAAGGGAGATTGAAACTGCTAAAGTGTGAACGTACCGTAAGCATTTTCTCGAGGTTTGATTATTCTTTCATTATTTTTGATTGGTGGACCCGCTGGACTCTGAAATAAAAATACAGTAGCTTGTAGGCGCAATAATAAATATTTGACTAACAGCCACCTACTCCAATCGGTTTTGCTGTATGGCCGGGCTTGCAACTTCTCAGATGAACAAATATTCTGTCACTAGCAAATTTTCGACCACAGTTTTCGCATGGGACTAATTGAGCTTTAGATGCTTCGTAAGCAGCGTCGTTGATTTCATCAAGCGTATGTCCGCCACCTACGTAAGTTTTTCAACAGAAAAAACTATAGTTCGGATCGAAAAAGCTTTTTATTTAAACTTACCTATATGAACATCAGGTTTTCGCGGTGCAGGTCTTCTCATATTTGCTGGTAAACGAGCATTTTCAATATGCCACTTTTCTAAACATTGTGGTTCATGGATCTCAATTGACTGTGTACCATATTTTCTTCCACACACATAACATAAAACATATTTTGGCATCACTGGTGCGTGACTGTTGCCACCCTAAAACGTATATAAACTCAATTTATTAATAATTTTAGAGAAAGTGTCGATGTTAACAACAAATGAGTTCAGCACGGTCTTATTTCTAAGTTATTATATTGGTAAGAATTGTCCGAAGTACCAGATACACGAATTATAATCAATATTCATGTTAAGGGTTAGACATATTGAAAGAGAGGAGGAGTGGGGAACAAAAAAGAGTCCTCAAAAAAGCTCGTGTTTAGAATCGACCAGATTTTTACATATTACAGAAATTTGAAAGAGATTAAAAGACATATAATTCAAATTTTTATACGCACGGGAGCGTTTTTGTAATATTTATCATATTCACCATAACCAAGACCTCCACCACCTCCACCTCCTCCACCTCCTCTTGTACTTCTGCCAACATTTCGAGTTGGAGATTCATCATCATCATCATATCCACCACGTCTAAAAGGTATTGAATAAAATAAGAAACAAACTAGTGAAATCTAACTTTTACCGAATACTGGATTGTTTCGAACTACCACCTGAGCCAGTGTTTACCGGTGCCCGACCTGAATTATTCATTGTTGAAGTCTGTCGGGCGCCTGCTGCAAAAAAAACAATCATTGTCATAAACTCTCCAAACAGATATGTTGTTTTTCTTACTCTGCCTAACGTTCGTCGGTCTACCGAACGACATGATTGAAAAAGTAGAAAAATAATTTTAATGCGAAACACTAAAATAGAAAAGAGAATAATGGTTTTAAATTACTTAAAAAAACCGAAGTCCAAAGTATAATTGCCTCTAACTGTAAATTATATACTTTGTTGACCATGATAGACAATTAGTTTAATCTATATTTATTAGTCAGCTGAAATAAGCATCACAGATAGTCTGGAATCGCAAAGCATTGTACTTGGCTATCTGAAGAAACGCAATATAGACAAATGGGATAACAACAAAAAATAAAAACTATCGTTTTAAAAACAAACAATAGACAATTATGTCTTCACTTAAGGTTTTTCTTAGACAGGCAGAAACTGAAAATTTTATTCCATGCTCAAAAGTTAAGCAAAACCAAGAATAACTAAGTTAAAAGCCGTTCATTCGTAATATTCTGAAGTATTTTTCATTAGATTATCTGCAATTTTATAGAAAGAACTTCAGCGAAATGATCAAACGTGAAGTCAGCCGTGTTCTTAACAAAAATGGTAGGTGCTACATGCGATCAACCATATGCTTTTAAGATACTGTAACCTTGACAGCAGCTTTTCACAGATGTTTCACGATATTACTCAATAAAAGACCAGTAATTACATACAACAAATAATAGCGTTTTACCTATATGAATAACCTTTTTTGTTTCACAGTTCAGTTTGGCTGAGAAATAGATGACGCTATTGGCTGATGAAAATAGTTTACTCATCTTCTGTACATTAACAAACGCAAAAATAACGGAATAAGCACATACGTTGAATTCCTGCGAGTTTTAGACGTCATTGAGTGAAGAATTCGACACTTTCAGCTGCAATTTGGTAAAATTGTCTATTTTCATTGCTTTTTTAATAGAAAAAGAAAATTTATTTGAATAATACTCATACAAACTACTTCAAAATGTTAGTTGCAGTAATGTGAGAATATTCTAATAAATTTAAACATCTTTTCTGAGATCGTTCATCAAATATTGTTATGAAACATTAAAATGGTATTTTGGAAAGTAACCTGTTTAGTGCTATTTTGCACGTTCATCCAAACATCAACAGGTGTACCGATTTCTTTATATGATGATCTAAGATTATTACCACAAGTCGAACAAGAATATACACAAAAAAATGGAAATGATGAACAAAACAATCATTATTATAAAAGATCGCTAAATGCGCGACAAATTATATTAGAAATATGGTGGCGAAGACATTTCTTTCAACCGTTTGTGAAGTACAAAGCAAAGCAATATGATACCATCAGTTTTAATCAAAAGTCAACCATAATCCCAACCAGATCTTCAAAAACTCTTAAAAAAATGGTTCAAGTTGGGCTAAACATGTGATAAAGTTTCACTACCTAACTTGAATGAACGATTGTCAATGCAATGAAAATTTATTTCTGCTTGATACAGTTTTTTATACATTTACTGTATTTGAATAATCAAAATACATAGATAGTTGTCAAACACACAAGGTCACTTTTTTATGAAACTTTCGATCCTTGCAACCTGTTTTTCTACAGAGAAGTTGCCAGTTACGATGTGTCTTGAATATATCAACTCTGGTCATCTATTTGATTGAACTCCGCCGCCTCTTAAAAATAATAATTTTTGCCAATAATATCGATTTAGAGATGAACCTGTGTTTAAAGAGCCCAGAGTATCTACTTTTGCAGAATTCGCATCGCTTTCTGTCCTAAAAGTGTTTTCTCATGGTTTTCAAGCAGATTCCCTATGGGTGTCGAAAAAAAGACTTTCAAAGACTAGTTTTTTCCTAGATACTTATGCAATTAAACATTTTCTGAATAAGTAGATTTGTAGAGAAAACTTTTCAGGCCAAAATAAGATACGATACAGCTCTGTGCAACCTTGCTTTAAAAAGTGATCAACAGTTTTCGATAAGCCCTAATATGCACAGTGTTTTCTATCAAAATTGTTCTTTTTTTATCACAGGACTTCGTATTTTCAAAAACTATACGACCCGGTAGATGATATAGATCTCAGTTTGGACTTCGAATGAAGTTGATACGAAAGAATATAATTAGAAAGAGACTATTTATCAATTTTCAGTCTAATTTTTGATGATGTAGAAGATTTCTGGAAAAGTTGAATCAGGTTTTTGGCGTTTTGACTTGTAATATTTATCAAAAAGCAGTCGAACAAAAAATTCAAAACCAGACTCTTGTAGTCATCGGTATTTACTTCATTTTAAAACTATCTCGAAATCTCTACCAAATATATATTCGAAATTTTTGGAAAAAACAAATATTCCTATTTTGCTTCTTGTTGTGGCAACATCTCGTGAACAGAAACATAAGAGAGTCAAAAATCATCTTTTGTCACTATGTTTTAGCATGATCAGTATTCCCTGGGTTCCAAAGTGTGGTCTAGATCGAACTTGCAGTTACCAAGAAAGTTTGTTAACTAAATGTGTGGTTAGGGAGGGGAGCTTTCTACGTTTGACTTCTTTGCATTAAGTAATTTTATAGTTATAAACCGAAAGTCAATTAAGTATAAAAAGAATGACAGATAGATAAATATTGTACAGGAAGAAAACAAAAAATGAAAGTTAATTTATGTCGGAAAAACTATCAACACTCGATAATTACTTATTTCTTCTATATACATAAAAAGAATTGTATTCAACTAATAGAACAACTTGTGCTTGTAGTTATCAACATATAGGCATTCTTAAACGATAGTTACTTTTTTTTCTTTCCCTTTTTTTTTGGTGTCTAATATAATGTCATGCCTATAGCATATGTTATTTTAGTCCAAGTGTTTTTCGAGAAAGTTGCACGTCATATATACACAAGTATATCACAACTGTATAATTATTTGCATGCGCGCATCAAGGAAAAATTTGTTGAAGACTCAAGACTCAAGTGAGTCTTTTTCTATTCTTTTTCTTATTATATTCGCTCTCTTCTATGAAATAAATAATATGTTTATAATACCTGAAGCTTTTATTCTCTTAGTTGAATGATATCGATTTGTACATGTATTTATTTTATTCATTGTTTAACAAAAAAAGAAAGAAATATCTTTCATTTCAACAATTAACAAGTTTTTTGATTCATTCAGCCTGTTGAGAATAGATCGTCCGGAAACTTGTGCATAAAACAGTCAACGTTTTATAGAGTATATGTACAATGAGTGAACAACGGTAAAGTAGAGATACATTATAACGACAAGATCAGAAGCGATACTTTCAGATGTTCGAAGAAATCATCACTCTCTGTTAAAATCCATAGATCACTATTGTTTTGACCAATAATATAATATAAAGAAATTATAACAACGAATGAGTACTACTCATTGAATGAAAATCATAGAAGGTTGAATGTCTCTGCACTAGACAAAGTGATTACGCAATAAGCTTAGGGTTAGTCTGTATATTTAATAGATTCAAGGTTAAACACAAAGTAACAATATCAAAAATAGCATTTGTTTCTACTATCTCACGACGCATTGGATCAATTAATAAGGGCAACAACAACAAAAAAAAGATGGAACAAATAATATGCCCGGTAGGATTGATAAAATAATATTCGTTCACACGAACATCACTGATACAAGAAAAATGTTCAAGTATGCTCAGAAGAGTTCTCAAGTATAAAATTAGTTGTTAATGTAATACTATTGGCATATGCACACCTTATCATGATTAATATTATGTATTTTTCAATCAATCAATATGATGATAAAGGAGGAACATGTTGAAGAAATTCTATCAATTTAGTATTTGTCTATCGGTGTGAGTGTGTATCTGCATATTATTACGTTAGAGAAAAAAAAAAGAGAGAAGAGAAGAAAAATAAGAAAATCATTTGCATAAATCGAGGCTATTGCTCTTTTGTTTACAAATGTTTAAACTTCAATAACTATTTCTATTATAGAACACAATGAAAATATTGTATGTATAGTATCAGTCATATATAAAATGTGAGCAGGGGTAATTTATTTTGTGTTTTGTATTAAAAAGATGAATATTACATCTGTACAATCTCTCTCTTCCTCTCTCAAATGTATAGCATACAAATAGCAGTCAAAAACAATTAAGCTGTAAAAAGTGATTTTACAATCTTATTGGTTATTTTTCAGAATTTTCTTTTTTTCTATTTGAACAAGTAAATTTAGTCATATCATTGTTTTTTGTTTGTTAATAATTCGTTCTATGAAATCAACACACTTTCGAAATACGCTTAGCCATATATCTTCTTTTTTTTTCATCGAAACCCTTAGTATATCTTCTTTTTGATGTCGTACATTGTATTCGTGATTAAATGATAAAAAACGAAGCTATTTCGAATATAATAAGATCTAGTTCTACTTAAGTATTAACATTCTTCGATCATTATCCCAATACTATTTTAAATCTTGGCATACCGTATAAAAACATTTTTCTTTCTCTTTTGAGTACGACGAAGAAAACATGACAATTGTAATCAACATAGAAAAGTCAAAATTCTTTATTTCTTATTTGAACAAAATAATTGTTCTGATTATCAGACCAGGATGAGCAAAAATACACGGTTATATAACTATTTAAAAATAATAGGTTCTTTTTTTTCTTTCATTTTATACATATATCGATAAATAGATTCAACAGACAAGACGCAAAAAAAAAGAGAACTATGGGTAAATTAAAATGTGTGTGTGTGTGTGTATGTGTATGTGATCGAACTAGTAATGCTGAAATAGCAGATATAAAGGGAATACATGTTTATAGTTTCTTATGAATGTGTTATATTGGTTAAATGATCATAAACAATATGTTTGACGTATTCCATAAGACCTTTTTTGTTTGAAGAAGAGTTATGGATCACAACTATCTTAGTTAATTATGATATTAGAAAGAATTGTCTCTCTTCTTCTTTTTTTTTTTGTTTTGTTTTACATGATAAACCTTCAAAAATGTTATCATTATCTAATATTCAAGTACTCTATTCATTTAATTATCTAATCTTGTGTACGATTATATACACAAAAGTGATGTATTTTTTAGTAGTACAGTTGATAATATAAAGGTCAACAATAGAAATGAATCAGATTATACAGTTTATAATCGTTAATGACATGAAACATCATCAAAATCATTTCCTTACTTTTTACTGACATAAGTAAGAACGATTACTTTAATACAATAGTAAGAAGAGTAACAGATTGTATCGAGTATACTCAAAATTTGAAAGACTAAGTTACCTACACAATAATTCTATGTACAGTAAAAGCTGCTTCGGATATGATCGCTCACTTCTACTGTATATTTAAATGTCAAATACAACAGTTATAAGGTTAAGAGTAGATTATACACCATATGTTTGTTTTAACTAAACGAATTAATTAATTTTGTATCATATATTGCAGATATATTGATAAACAGATGGATAACAATATTTATATGTTTTCTTAAAAAAAAAGTGAAAATATGGTGCATCAATCTCAAACAAGTTTACTTGTCACCGTTAAATGTGCAAATGATAAACGATCAGTTGTCGAAATATCTTATCCAAAACACTGTACAAATCAACATTATAACAATGATCGTTATTTAAACGATTTTCCTAAAGTTACCGTTGATAATGAAAATAAAAAAGGTATGTTTCAACCAAAAAGTACTTATTACAATAGTAATATAACGCAACAGTATAACAACGATAACAATAATAATAAAAATAAACGTCGTTCAAATTATTATCGAAAAAATTCATGGCAAAATACTAATAATGGATCGATGTATACGAATAATTTAAATAAAATATCATCGTTAAAACCCGTACCACTTATGGATATTAAAGAAAATATAATACCGACAGATTATTACGTTCCCTATTATCGGCATAAATTTGATAATTTTCAACAGTTAAATAAATCAAAATCAAAATATAATAATAAAAATCAATCTAATCAAACAACATCATTCCATACAAGACATGTTCTCACCGATCTAGATTGGGATTATTACGATTTTGAACAAGATTTACTAATGCCCGTTTAGAATTAGATGTAGTTATTATCACATACAAAATTTTTTGAAAAGTTTAGTTTTAAAAATAACAAGTGAAAACAATACCAATATCAATTCATTTATTACTAATTTTTTACCTGATCAGTTAAAGCAGGTGAATCTCAACGACGAACACAAATAATAAAAACGATATATGTATTTCGACAAAGTCGTACCGTTTTCTCCCTAATGTATGTCGAACGTCTTATTTCTGATCTAAATAATTGACGGAAGCTGAATATTCGACACGTTTTATTCATATATATATATATTCTACGAACTCGTCTATTTTTTTCATTATCTGTTGAACGCAGATAATACGATACTTTCGTTTTATTTCGTTGTTCAAGACTTGTTTGATAGTATAACAACTTTTATGTTGTTATAAAATCCTTTTATTTTATTACTATAAATTACAATACACACTACAAACATAAACAACAATAAAACCAATGAGAATTTAGTTTTTGATTCGACAGAAAATATCACAGTAATAATCACATGTAAATTATTCTCTACTTGACAATACTCGTACCATCAATTCAAGAGTAGACTAAAAAAATAGAAATAAACAGTTTTAACAAATTAAATTGTAGTGAATTTTAAGCATTTTTGTGAATACACGCAACTTTAACTTCTAAAGTTAATTAGCAATCACTAAACTAACGCCGGGAACAGTTAGTTTTTAAAGTCTAATTAAACAAATTGATTTTAACACGTGTATACGTGATTTTCTGTTAGTGGATATCTCTTGAACTAGATTTTTGTCTTACAAAACAATTTTATTCTTGCATGTGGAAAAAAATTGAATCTTTTTTTAACTTACATCATAATCTGGCACACTGCTTTTTCCAAGTGACTGTAATTTTTTTAATATATTTGAATTCCATTTCATTCTTAATTTTGATAATGAATCAACAATTTTTTCTGTTTCCGGATCATTTATTGTGAATGTAATGTGATCATTTAATTTAATCGACATTGTTGTATGATCAATTTGAATTGATGAATTATTACCTCTTATTGGCATTGTTCCTATTAACAACAATTCAATATCAGAAATAACTGTACAACATTTAGCTATTGATAATCCTTTATTTGAACGAACAATATCATCACATATCACAAAAGAAGAAGAGTCGGATTTTACTACCGATGATAATGGATCAATAGACACAATTTCATGTTTTCTAAAATAATGACAATTTATTTAGTAGAATATTAAACAGTGTGCGTGTGTGTCTATGCTGCTTACGCTGATACCCATCTTTTATTTGTTTCATCGTATGTAATTACATTATGTGAACAAGATGTAATGATTATTGATTCGATTAATGACCAATGACTTGAATATACATTTACATTATCGTTTGTTTTATAGAAAAAATGCGAATAATGAATTGTTTCTAGAAATTTTGTTAACCAGGTTCTAAAATAAAGAAGTGTCTTACATATCGAATCGATGATTTTTCTCGATGTGCAGAAAAACGAAGATATATTTACTTGTATTCATCGATTTCTTGCATTTTCAATTCGTTCACATACCATTCAGCACAAAATTCTGATCTATTAGTCGCTTTTTGCCATTTCTAAAAGAAAAAATGGATACGCTATAGAAATAAAGATGTGAATGATTTATTAAAAGTCTGATGTATGTTTCTTCTAACATGACGACGAATACATTTGTGTACGTTTATCTTTCTCTAAACTCACTTACATGATATAATTGATAATATACAAAATGATCTGATCGTTTGTTCGATGAAAAATGCGCTTTTGACTTCCGTATTGAATTCAAGAGTTTTTGATTAGATGGAAACTGAACTAAATGAATCAAAAATCTTCATTAAACGTATATTTGCCATAAAAACAGTGAAATCTACGTACATGGATCTCCAACAATTAAAAATGATATAATGATCAGAATTGGTTCTAGACATTTGAATAAATATCCATAAATAATCATTTTGCCATATTTTGGTTCAATAGATAATGCCAAACAATAAATTCCCATATCGACAAGATCTTCCCATGTATCAAACAGTTCCAGACTCTAAAATGCGAAAAAAAAAACGAAAGATCAGCACTACTCATTCGAGTATAAGCAAAATAAATAATCCTACTTTCAAATGTGTAATCAATGAACGGACAACATGAAATGGAGCTGAATCAGGTACTTTCATCATAAATTCAGCTATTGAACAACTTGACCATGAAAATAAACGTGCTTGCATTATATTTTCCTTAAAAAATAATAAATAAATGTTTAACAAAAAGAAACGAAAAACATTCAAACAACTGCATGTACTTGTAATGGAAGTCTCGCCATTTCTGAGCAAAGACATTCAACCATTTTGTCATAAATGCCATGAGTATACAATCGATAACACAAACCACCATCAATAACATTCAAACTAAATATTAAAATTTACTCGTTCAAAAGTCGATCATCTCTTCTTTATTAATTGCCTACCGACTACATCTTTCCAATGCGCTTGTTTTACTTATCCATCCATATTTTGGTGAAACTTTTGACATTAATGAATCATAACATTTCTAGAAAAAAAAATTACAAATTAACTATTTTCTTATTGTTTACCTAAAAAAGAGACATAACTCATCATTTTATTATTGAATTTACCTCATAAAATATACCAGTATCGATAACACAACCGATCTCTTCTAATACGACACCAGTTTCGCAGCATCCATCGGTTAATATCTAAAACAAATGAATATCAGTAAACAAATTGTACCATCATAGACATCTAGATACATACCAAAACTTTTCGTGTATGAGAAACTTGATGATCAAATGGCCATTTTGATTTATTATTTATAACGATAATATCAATACTAAAATAAAATCCAAAAAATATTAAATTATGAAAAACATTCTTCTAATGTCCTATTCACTTACTAATCGGAAAAATCGGTGGTAAGAATCTTTTGTACTTTTGAAATTTCTTGTAATCCGGGTAAAAATACAAGAATATTTCCTAAATTAAAAAATAGAAAATTTAGAAAGTGAAAATAATCCAATAGAACAACATTTTTTTTACCTATGCGTTTCATTGCTAAAAATTGCTTGATAATTAAAATAATTAATTTATAATCAATAATATCGTCGAAAGGTCGCGTTTGTAAATAATATTTGATCATTTTTTGTGATAATGAATCTGATGAATGATCGTTTAATGACAATAATTGATCCAAACGTAACGAATCAAGTCTAAAAGAAAAAAATGAGATAATTGAAAAATTGAGAGAAAAATAAAAATTAAAAATTTCATCAATAGCCATGCATAAAATATTCTTAGTCTATAAAGAAAACAGCTAGACGTGCAGGATTTTATTTTATTTTTTGTTTTCATTTAAACGAGCAAATATATTTATAAATATGAATTATATCGTTCAATTTTCTGTCAAGAACAGAAAGCAAAATCATATTAGTAAAGATAGGTGTACTCTAAGTCATTTATAAGAGCGAAATTTTCAATTTCTACTCTTTGTATAAGTTCAAAATCGCTCAGATTTAATAACAATAGTCTTTCTCTTTTACAAGAATTAATTTCGCGTGTTTCTAGCGTTTTAGTCAATTAAGAAGAAAAAAATGTTTATCTTATCATTTCCTGTTGATAACTGACGACATTTTCTTATTTAAAATTAGCGAATAGCACAATTATATTTTTGTCAATTTTTCACAGCTGCAAAGAATTTTTTTTTTGTGTTTTTCATGCAATTTCTACAAAATTTATATATTTTTCTATCCATCCATCATGCATGTTCAACATTACAAATATATACGTGTATAACCTCACCTGTTTTAGTTTTTTTTTTCTCTGAAAAAATGTATTGTGTTTATATGTGTAAATGTTGTTTTCTATGATGATATATTTTTAATAAAATACTTACATTGTATAAGATTCGATTAAATCGACAATATCTGTACGTGAATATTTTCTTGCAAAGTCAATAGCCGAAAAATTATTAATTGCTCGCATGTTCACACGTACATTCATATCAAGAAAATGTTCAATTATTGACCCTAAACTCCACGTACATACACACATTAATGGTGAAACTAACGTTAATGGATGTTGAAAATTAACTAGAACAAAATAAAAGAAATGAGAATAAATGATGTCCAAAAAAACTATGTTTAACTTACTCATGTGTGGATGTTGATCAATAAAATCGACAAGTAATTTAAAATCATTAAGTAAACCGTTCATAAATGTTTTTTCAATTAATAAAACTAAATAGTTTTCATCTCGATTCAATTTATCTTTCTAAACTCAAGTTAAACAGTTCAATGAGTATTATCAGGAAGAAAATAAATAAATAGTGGAGAGAATCCTTCCTGTCAGAAGTGAAAATTTTTCCTTTATTTCAATTTTGAATTTATGACCGGTTTATATACCTTCGAGTGTGCCCGTTCGATGGACACAGTTTCCGTCTTGTCTCCTACATAGGAAAAGTCTCAAGAGATTTTGTAGAGACTAGTCAACAGAATCTTTTTTGTGTTTTTCTTAGAACTACTTTTTTGAACGATGGACATGCCCCGCACTACGGTTTTGGAGGGATGTTAGAATTCCTAAAGTTCAGACATTTTACGTAGATTTCCACAACTTTCTGTTTACCAGTGATCGAGGCATCGTAGTGCGTTTCCCTACAATTCTAAGAAATGTATAGAATTCAATGTTACTACTCCTTTAATCGGTTTTCTTCAAAGTGAGAGATAAGCTGAAATGTAGTTTAGTGGCTCACTCTTATGTTCTCCATGCATCTCTTCCGCTCCCAATCACACAAAAATATGGTTTACTAAAGTAAGAATTCCACGTAGAATTCTCTTGAAATTTAGTGGGAATTTCCAATTGTGTAGCGGAATTGATCTACAATTTCGGAATTATGATTTTCATGACAAAAATATTCTCCAGTATAAAAAAAATCAGTAGTCACATAGAATTCTTTTGTTAGAAGAACTCAGACCTTTGATCTTATAGCTCTGACGAAATTCTACTACAATTCAAACGGAAAATGGACATTTCTGGAAATTGCCTGAAATGTAGAAAATCTGCCATTGCTGCAGTTTTGACCAGAAGAAATTGATTGATTAGATTAAAAATTCCACACACACACACACATTCACAAATACTAGAACAAATTTTTTTTGATTTTCAAAATTCTTAGATAAAAACGCTTTTAGAAATGTGGTCTATGAAAAACCGTGCTGTGTTTGCATTTTATCTCATATTTTTGAATATTTTAACTATAGTAAGATGGAAATTTAAAAACCAAGTTATATTTGTGGTAAAGTTTCTGGTTCAATTTCGGTTTTGTTTGTTGCAATCTCTATCGAAAGAAAAGCAGGGGTTCTGAAGGCACGCTTCAAGCACACTTTTTTTCATAACCTATCGAGATCTGTTCATTCTGAAAAAAATCGTTCTTTAGATTCGTTGGAAAAGGGAGATGCCCTTAATAATAACTTACAAACGAGTCGTAAATAGATTGACAATTGTTGCAAGTAACATTTCGTGTCTCTTTCTGATACGTTTGATTTTGTTGAGTTGCTATTTGACACCAATAATCAAGAAGTTGTAAACCACAATCAACTGAAAAATAGAAGAAAAGAGATTACCATTTAGCTTTCACGAACGGGTATTATCTATGCAGTATTATCATGCACTTACATAAAGAAAAACATTTGACATTTTCCATATAGTTTGTATCGATAAGAATTTGTTCAAGAAATATTTCCTGTTTGTCTCGCTGTTGTTGTTGAGTCGGTTCAACTGAAAAGAACATGTTAGAGTTTTTTATTGATACAGTACATGTGTATCATATCTGTTACTCGAATAGGTAATAACATTTCCATAATATTTTGCTAATAAATCATATTGCATTGTTGTTGTAATGAATATAATTTTCAAATTTCGATATTTACTTAGAATATCTTTTAGATATGTAAATAACATATCTAATGTATGATTTCGTTTATGAGCATCATCAATGATTAAATGGGTTAATGATTTAAATAATAAATCACCGCTTGTTAATGTACGCAATAAATATTGATGAGTTGTTATGTTAATTAAAGAATTATTATTACATGGAAATACTCTATTAAAAAATTACAAATAGAATAGAATCTCTCTCTCTTTATATATATATGATCGTTCACTCTCTACTTACCGATCGTAATCAAATGTATAACAATCGATTGTTTCACCGACTGTTTCATTTTTCATTTTACTTAAAAGATTTGACAATGAATGAGCACTAACACTATTTGTACAACTATGTAAAATACGAATTGGCCATTTTCGTTGATAATAATCATCAATGAGATATTGAGGAATCTAAACATTAATAATGTTTAATAAAGAACAATTTTGTTTCTCCGATTCGAAAATATTACAACTAAAACTTACTCGAGTGGATTTTCCTGATGCGGGAGGCCCGTTTACAATGACAATTTTGTTTGCTATACAAAGAAGGAAAAAAGAAATGTGTATTTTGAGAGAAATAGGAAATTGTTCTTACATTCAATAAGATGAAGAAGATTATCTCGTGTTGATCCCATATCGTTTCGCATTGAATAATGAAGATACTGTTCATTAGTTATTGAACATCGATCGGGTATACAAGTTGCTGTACCATCTTCCATATCAATTATATTTCCAGATCGAAGTAATGAACAGTAAAACCAATCTGAAATATATATGTTCAATCCTGACTTCTGGACAAACAATTCACATACGTTAGGCATTCAGAAAGTTCTCGGACTGATTTTATTTTAAAAAAGTAAAAGACTTTACAGTGTTGCATGCTTTTAAGTCATATAGTCTTTAATCTACAGACATTACGAGTTCTGGTTGATTAGACATTTATGTGTTATAATAACAATATTTTTTAGATCACATTGTAATCAGTGGTTCAGATTCAATAGCACACTCAGTATTTTATTCACAAAGTTTTTGTTCTTCATCCCCAAGAATCAATCGTTTTTTTGTAAAAGATACGTTTTGAAATTCTCTACAAAAAATATATTGAGCATTATAAGAACACCAGTGAGATTTAAAATGGGTAAAACTGTAACGCATTTTTTAGAGTATTCAAGTTTTCTTTAAAGGACTTGAGCAGACATCAAGATTATACTTTGTAGCAAAAATGCTCAATATATTTTTTGTAGGGAATTTCAAGATGTATCTTTTGCAAAAAAAGATTCATTCTTGACATTACAAAGCTTTCTGTTTTTTTTTTAAAAAAAATCAGTTCCAGAATTTTTTGAACATCCTACGTATTTGAATATGATTTCTATGTTCACCTAAAACTTCTAAAAAAAATCCCTTACCATTTAACGATGATGGCATCTTTTGAATCTTTGATTGTAACGCATCGGCATCATCAATAGATATTGGATGTTTTGTTAAATAAATGTTAATATTTTCTATTAATTGTAAATTGTTAAATATAAATGAAAATTTTCTACTAACTGGTGGTATACTATGTGGCTTTGATAACACTAATTTACGTGATGCACCTCGTCTAGAAGAAAATTATAATTATTTTATGTTTATGTATTTTTATTAGTATACCCCATTGTTTTGAATACAAGATTTAATTGTTTGGCTTTGTCACGAATGTAAGCTCGTTCGTAACAAAATAAAGAAGATGGAAATTCAATGTCTGATGATGATGATGATTTTGAATCATTTAATATTTGATCAATGATTCGTTGCATAGCTTGAGATACGTTCAAATGCTAAAGAAAAACAAATATCAGAGATCTAACTAACGAATAATTGTAAAGTAACAGCTCATTTACACAGCCAGCTGGAATTTCAACATCAGATTCATCATCACTCAAATAATCATAGACTAAATATGAATTGTTATTGTTATTCATTTGCGTCTCTTGTGGTACATACTACAAATCAAGTACAAAAGAACAATACTGAAAAAGAATTTCAATGTCGAACATTTAATCTTCTTACATGATCATCATTATTACTGCTTGGATAGATCATAGTCATATTGTAAGAATCATATTGCTCATCGTCAATGTTATTATGGTTAGAATGTTGACGTCGGTGTTGATGATGATTAGCGGTCTGACGCATCTAGAAATAATTGATGAAATAAAAATATCGAACAAAAAGCATAATTTTCAAGGTATACCGGTGTAAAGTTTTTATTGTTGGTCAGGATGCTTAGACAGCTAGAGTTGAGAACAAACAAAAAAAAAACGAAAACATTCCTTATTGGCAATGGCAATCGACCAGAAAAGTTCACAGAACATCAATTCTTTGTCTGTTTAAAGTTGTTTTCAGTCTGTGCGAATATACGTAAGAGAAAATCATACTGTTTAACAATTGTAATGTTCAGATGCACAGTTTTTATGAACATAGACAAATATGAGTAAAAATTGATTGTATTTTCAATTCAACTATACAAACACTAATACAGGAAAAGAGATATAAACAAATATCTGACAATTTTAAGAAATATAACATACACATGTACAAACACAATAAAATATCAAACACTTTTATCAAGATCAAACCCATCGCTGACAATTAACCGAATTTCATCTTCCACCGTTGTCTGAATCAAAGAAGTAAAAAAATACTGTAGAGTAAATTCAAATTTAAAAATACTAATTTCGCTTACTAATTCGGTTTTAACTTGATCAAGTTTTTCTGTTAAACTTTCAATTGTAGGATATTGACACGGCATCCAATAAGCGACATGTTCTTGCAATAAATCACATTCACATTTTAAATTTTCAATATGCTACAAAAGAAAACAATTATTGAATATAAATGAATGGCAGAAGAGGACAAAGACAATGTTTACCTTTTGAAAATCGACAAGGTCGCTATGAGTGATCGATGGAATTGATTGTAAATCAAATGCCTGAAGATAGAAAGATTTACGATTTATCAATCGGTTTGAAAATGTCTTAACTTACAGCTAATTTCTCCGTCACATATTTTAACTCCACTTCACATGTTAAATTTTCTGAATCTAAATCATCAATTTTCTCGTGTTGACTAGTGACTATACGTTGATGATTACTAAATATACAAAAGAAAAATTAAATATCATCTATGAAATAATCGTTTATCCAAATACGTACGTAACAAACAATTGCCATAAACTAGACATGTCGATATAATTTTGTTGAATTGTCGGTAATAACATTTGAATTTTATTCACACGATGTTGATAGGAATGTTTTAAACGGAATAATTTTCTCAATTTAGGTAAATACATGTCACATTGAACATTCTCATTATCATCAAGTTCAAGTAATTGTCCAATTTTTGCTAATAATTCAAGATTACCAACAATTTCCCCCGCTCGATCTTGTTGCTGCCGACTGAACTGATCAAGCGATGGCATCTTGAATAAGAAAAAAAAAATGTAAAAATTCTACAACTGAATGTGAAAAACTTAAAATATACTCTCAACGAGGTGAAGAAATATCCACTAGAGATGGACGGAACGTTCTATATATAATGTACCGCACAGGATTGTTCTACTCTGATTAAAAGCAACAGCTCTATGGAGATCACATCCTGGAATATAGTTTCAACTATCATCAGCACTACCGAATGTGTGTATAATACACTATTTTACTGAAATCAATAATGAGAGCAACAATAACTGAAAAGCAGAAGCAGAACGACACTGTACGACAATCTGACGGTATGATACGTATCCGAACGACTATTTAGATTCTCACATACACTTAGGTATAGCAAAACCTCTCGTTCTGCTCCCTTTGATATGCATAGTGATGTAGGCTGGTTCGCGTCTTAGAAGAAAATCTTTTTTTAATATACGCACAACCAGACAATGTACTTCTAATTTAGCAATTGCTCTCGTTTTGACATTATACGAAGGAGTAGACAACAGTTATTTGCAATAAATAAATAATTACATATCACAAAAACGTTATTCACAAAATAGTCCTAATATTTAAATTAAAAAAACAATGGAATGCCAAAAATAAAATAGTACATAAAACTTCTTAGACTCGTTAGAACATTAACAAGATTATACATTGAGCCGATGTTTAATAAAAAAAACAAAAAAAACGAAGAATACATATCACGATATAAACGTTTACAGTAGAAATGAAGTTAACATAAATTTTAAAAAGAAAAATTTTAGTTGTCATACATTGATATCCATACTGACTGACACATAACTTATGATACTAGTTGCTCGATAGAGAAAAGAGAATAAATGAACTGGAAATTATGAATACGTTCCATTTGCAATAAATCTTAATACATCAACTAATAAATATTGTTATATCTGTCCTAATGGTTTTTATTGTTGTGTTTGAAATACGTCTTTGCCATACGTTTTAATGAATGTCAACAAATTATTTTTTAACAACTTTGAATTATAAATATTCGTACATTTCAGCAACTGTTTCATACGTAATGAAATTGATAAGTGGATTTAATACAAACATTTCTTAAATTTTCAATGATATACTTATCAACGACATAGAATACATCCAATGCCTTTTAATAATAAATATTTGATATGATTATAATAGATATATCGTAACATTTCTTCAATGATATCATCCGATATATCATTTATTTCAATAACATTCGTTTGTTTTCCTAACATATCGGCACTAAACATTCATTCAAATACTTCACTACATGATAACAAGATATAACAATAAACATTAAATTCTTTTGAGCCCACTTTGATTTTGACATCAGAAAACTTTGTTGTACGCAACAATTCACGAGTGATAAATTGATTATTGGCAGTGGAACGAACATCTAAACAAAAGACAACAATAAATACAAAAAAAGCAGAATTGAAAATCGCAATTGAAATATTTAGACTACACAGATTCCATTAAACTTTATATTTTATAGCATCTTCGATTGTGATTGGCGATATTTGGGATCAGAGACGGTAGATCTGAATCTACTTCCAAGCTGCACACTAACCTAAATTAATTGCACTAGAGCCAAACGTTCACTTCGGATATTCAGTCCAGTTCTAAAAGTGGTAGATCCATGTCATAGGTCCAGTTCTAATCAAGACGGGCCTCAGCCATAGGTCAGGCCCGTCGGATCTAACGGTCACTGCTTGAGATAGACTTTAAACCTATTTGTTGAGTCGGTATTACTAAAAGTCGTATTCGATGAAATTATTTTTCTTACCATTATCTGTTGGTGACAGTGTATCATTCAATGGACAATAATCTAATATATTTAAACATCATTTTGGATTTTGTTGTTCAAACATATCAATTCAAATGAAAAATACTAGACACGGATTACTGTTATATTGTTGTGCACAATCCCTTCAGTCTTTTGATGAAAATGAATCAAACTGGAATACATCCACAGGATCAAGAACATCACTCATATTCCATAGATGTGTAGAAAAATTAGCACAAACAAAAAATTTTAAACGAAATCGATAGAGTAAACGTAAATAAGTTTTCAATGTCAAACGATATAACATAATAATCATATTTTTCTCGTTCTAATGATAAACATAATTGAAAACAATTATTTAAATTAGTAGAATGTAGATCTAATTTATGTTTCAATGTAAATATTGAGGATTCTAGCAGTCATCTTAATAATATAATTCGTATTGAAATTATCAATTCACCATTGATACATATAAGAGTGTTCATCAATCACTATATCATTTCTCACTTTGATAAGTCTCATACAATTGCATAATGATGCGTCTAATATTGAACGAATTTATAACGTAATAACAAGTGATGGACAGAATAATAGACGATCATGTGAAGAAGAAATGGAAAATTTGAAAAAATTTGAAATAACATAATTTCGTTTAATACAGAACGATTCGGATGAATCACAGTAAAATGTTGCATTAGACCATCCATACTTATAGATCTCTTCATTGTTATATTCACATGTCACACTAACGTCGGCTTTGATCGTGCGAAGTTTCGATTTAATCATAAATATGTAAAAATTTAATCGATATAGCATTACGTTCGCAATAAGATGATATAAACACATTTACTAATTAAATTATAAACAAACTTGAATAATTTGATATTGATATGGGTTTAATTGAAATTCGGTGAGAAAAGTGATATCTCTTCAGGATAGTTCTTGAACTCACATAATCTTGTGAAATTTCTCTGGAGACTTGGAATTATTGAAATGATGGAAATATAATGATCATAGATAAGGTTGCAGTACACCCATCTTAAAGGCTTAAATTACGACAAAAATACGTAATTGACATTTCCTCGTTGAAACAAAGTTTACGATGATCTTAAGTTGTTGAACAATTTATACATGGAGATGATTTCCTTGTGTATTCATCACCATCTTTACTATGTTCAACATTTTTAATTAGCCAGTTTTACTTTATTTCTACCGGTGATTCAGCAATTGTCCGCTGGTAATTTTGTTGTGCACGTGCTTGTACATGATTCATTGTCGATGATGGAACGGTATGTAATAATCAACTTGTCATACTAGATAAAAATAATATATCGGATGAGTTTTCGGAAAATCATGAAGAGTAATCAACTGATAGCATTTTTTTGTCTTGAGTAACGGAAATTACGAATTAGTACTAAGACTATGATAATCAAATGAGACATATCAACATTTATTTCGTCGGCATTAATGATCTGAGTGAAAAATTATTTTTACTAAAGTTGGAACTTGCGGAACCCTCTCTCATCTTTGCTGACAGTAGTCAGTGATCACCCTAGCAGCGTCGTATGTTCTTTTTTAAAAATAGGGTTTGTAAACAAACGATAGCTTTTGAGTAAGGACGAATTATACGTAAAAAATTTCAATAATTTTGCACGATTCAAAGTTTTTGGAATAATAAATGAACATAACAAAGAGATAGTGTGTTGTATGTGTGTGTATATGACAGACGGACGGTTGCTCTGCAGCATCCAAGCAGAGCATTGGTTCTTCAAAAACCAATATATTCTGAAATGGGTCTCAAGTGTCTGCTTTTGAGTATTCATAGCTTTTGTCCACTTCATTTGAAAATAAACAATCAGCTAACACTTATAGATTATTTATTATAGTGTTAGCATTCAGATGTCACTTTGTGTAAGATTCAATTGGAGTTTGTGTTTTCTATAGTTTACCTCAATATTTTCAAACAAATCCAAGTCGTTCATTCAACCACACTAGTCAGAGTGCGCTTAGTGTTAAATATATTTGGCATGAACATGGAAATTTCTAGCAGTTATGTTTTCTTTCTGTTCTTTACTTCTTCATCAAATAAAAACTAAAGATAAAGAAATTTGTCAATAAGAATTAAACAAGACGTTAGGATTGGTCTGATAATCCATATCATAACCTTTACTACAACTATGATGCAATTTTATTAGTATTCCTTTTGTCTTCTATTTTCAGAGATCGGATATAAATTTTTAATCTTCAGCAAAATTTCTTTTATGAAGTTTTTTTACAATACCGCGCCTTAGAGATTTATCTTTATAATTTGTTTTAATTATTTTAGATAAATTCGAAAATTTCGTCAACTTCAAAATGCCTGCTCAAAGTGGACTCCTTGCGGAATGTAATCAACATTTCAAAACAAATGATTTATATGAAATATTCACAATTAGCCGAACAGCTACCGAAGGACAGGGTAAGTTCGTCATCCGCTTAATTGAATTACTCAAATATATTGTAAAAATGCTTTCTCATGTCATGTAAGAATAGCCTGAGAAAAACTTGAGAAATATGCTTTTTATATGTTTTGTTGAATACAAAAGGAGTGTGTTTAAACTTTAAGATTATCAAAACTTATGAGTGAAAATTTCATCGTTATATTCTTTCTTTCTTAGTGAAAAAAGCTTATCGTCAATTGGCATTACGTTTTCATCCCGATCGTACAGATATTGATCAAAAAGAAGATGCAAAGCAAAAATTTCAAATTATTGGTAAAATTTATGCAATTTTATCCGATGAAGAAAAACGAAAAACATATGATCATACGGGTAGATTTTGATCTTATCCTATCTAACAACTAGATATTTTATCTGCTTCGTGTATTTCAGGTATGGTCGATGATTCGTCCGTTGATGACATTACTGATTGGTTTGATTATTGTAAAAAAATGTTTCGAAAAGTGACAAAAAATGATCTTGTTGAATTTGAGAATAAATACAAAGGTCAGTTATTAAGAATAAAATGTTTATCTTTATCTGAACGATTATACTCCTTATTATCTTAAAAGTTATTTTTTGTTCGCCTTTCTAACACTGGAATAATATTTTGTCTAGATTCAAATGAAGAATTAGAAGATTTGAAGCGAATCTATTTGGAAGTTGGTGGAGATATGGATCAAATATTTGAAAGACATTTGTTAACACGTTTAGACGATGAACAACGTTTAAGGTAAAAGATTCTTAGGAGAAAATAACGTGTAGAAGAATTGCATTTGTTTGTTTAGAGAAATGCTTGACAAAATGATTGAAGAAAAAGAAATTCCAGCCTTCGATGCATACACGAAAGAATCAAAAACAAAACGAGATAAACGTCATCGAAAAGTAAGTATCTCACTATATTTATATTGTCTCGTCTTTTCCATGATGAAACAATCAGAAAAGTTGAGATATCAGTCTTTTGTTTAAATTTAGAATTTATTTAAAAGTGTTGCAGAGATGGGCGAGTGCGAGTATATAGTCGTGCTCGAGTATCAGAGATGTAATCGTTTCAAAATTCTCAGAGCGAGAACGGTACCGTTCTAAAACGTCTTACCGGAACAAAACGGAACGGCTTGGTCGTTCCTCGTTCTCGGTGACAACTCTGTCGAGTATACTACACAATTCCTAGTACTCTTACTCGAAACTTTTTTAAACTAGTATTCCAAAAAGTACATGCAAAAGGCTGGTGATCTCTTTTTTTACTATTTACGTATCCAAAAATCGTTTTTTCGGAATCACCGGCTTCTTTTGAAAAGTTTTATACTCGATTACTTTTCAGAAAATACTCGTACTCAGAACTCCATGTACTCGTCCATCTCTTAAGTGTTGTGTTGTCTCTTGTAAAAAAATCATGTTTCTTCTTTTCTTTTCAGTTAACTAAAGAAGCGGTTGAAGCTGAAAAATTAATGAAAGAATTGAATATTGGTCAAGATGATGCTAGTTTAACACAAGCTATACAGATGAGACAACAAGAACGTGAGAAAAATCGTGATAATTTTTTTGATCAATTATTAAATAAATATGGTGGCAATAAAAAAACATCGAAAAAAGGTGCTACACCAAAGAAAAATAATAAACGAAGTAAAACAACATCGTTAAGCGAAGAAAACGATGAAGATGAAGCTGTCGAAGAGGATGACAATGATGATGAGGAATATGAAGATGAAAGTGACGAAGAACAACAGCAACAAGTTTCAAAGAAACGAAAACATCCCGTGAAACGCCTCGGAGGAAAAGCGAGCACATCAAGTGCTACACCATCACCAAAGATAAAAGGCAACAATCGAAAACGAAATTAGATCGAATTCTGTTTGTGAACTTGTTTAATCAGATACTACTCGTCATTTCCTTATTTGTGTCAGATTATTTTTTTATTTCATTTGATTACACATTTATTTTTTTTACTGATGTACAGTTTTTTGTTGAAATAAGTTTAAAAATATTTTTTTTTCTGTCATAATCTAGTCTTTCTCGCCCATCGACTTTCTTGAGCTCAAGAATATAATTTCAATTAAGAAAATAAAGCATTTGAAATGAAATTGCCAAGATTTCTCAGAAAAGTTCACGTATGGCAAAACTCTTTACTCTCTTAATTTTTTTTCCAATGTTTTATAATGTACATTAGTGCTTAACAGTGAAAAGTATATTGGAACAGAGATGTTCTTATGAGTAGAATTCGTACTGGAAAATTTAGAAAAAAGACAATGTACAATCTATGTCTGTCAAAAGCTTCTGATAGGGAAGATAAAACATAGAAGTATTCGGTCTTAATCATATGATTCTCGATTAGATTAGAATGAGATGATTGATTAGCAATAATCTACGATTGTAAAGTCCAATGGTTAGATATCGTAACTCAAACATAAAGAAGTTCATTATGATATTGTAATAGATTTGCACGATTTGTTTGTTTTCGTATGAGTCTTTTGTTTATCATAGAAATTTGTTATAGATATAGTTAAACGAATATCGAATGCGTTATTTTTTTGGATATAATTTAATAATTTCATCAGCATCACGTTGACTAATTTCGATTAGTTGATCGACATGTTTTATATCTTCAAATAAACAAACTACGTATATTTTACCGACTGTTGGCACTTTTACTTCCTGTTTTTTGAGTAATGTTGATCCACGTTTTAAATCTTCTAATGCCGGCATTATACCTTCGCCTAATTGATGATAAAGAAATTCAGTCATTGTATCATAAACTCGACCACGTATAGTTTTAAGATAATCATGATCAAAACGCAACGTATAATTATCGACCGGAGGCATTGTAACAGACGATATTCCTTTTTCGACATTAGCTAATTTTCCGATAAATGTTATAGATGATTTTGAAATATTTTCAAGAGCTTTTTGTTTACCTACTAACACCATTGATTAATCTCTAAAAAATTATTAAAGGCTTTTTGATATAGTAAAAAATTCAAAAGTTTAAACATTAGTCATGCGGGACAGTCCCGAATTCCGTTCCGTCTGTTCCGCGGAACGGGACAGACAAAAAATAACTTTTTTACAGGCTTGCGCTGGGCTCGAGACAAGAAAAAAAATTCACGAGTACGGGTGTACAGGATCGAGACAAAGTCACAGAAAAATGTTGACCCATAAGTTTTGTCTTTTGGTTGTAATCATGCTGCAACTTCAAATGTTTAATTTTCTTAATACTATCAAATCAAAACCGTAATTTTATAATAACTAATAAAAATTAATCTGAATTCAACAGAAAAAGTTTTTCAAAAAATCAACCCATGTTGTCGAAACCGGCGGTTAACCACGGCTATTTTAAGAACCGATGGTTAATCGCGGCTATTTCAGCTGAAACTATAGCAACACAGCAGAAAAACCGACGGTTAATCTTACCATTAACCGGAAAAACGATCGGTTAGCCGCGGTTAACCGACTTAATCGTCGGTTTTTCTGCTGTGTTGCTGAAATAACCGCGGTTAACCATCAGTTCTTAAAATAACCGTAGTTAACCGTCGGTTTCGTCCGATTTTGATAACATGGGAAAGGAACAAACGGGATGGGACGGAAAAGCCCGTAAATTTTTTTCACGGACGAGCTCGGAACAACATTGTTTTCTCACGGACTGGGACTTAAGGACTCGGGAAAAACAGAAAAGTTTGTCTCGCAGGACTCTATTAGACAAACGTACCTTTCTTTTTTTCTTAAACTAGCTGTACTTTGTTGCTTTATCGGATGTGTTAGTCAATCGTTTGTTTCAATATTCCCAACTAATATTATAAAATAATTTTTTATCTCTCTATTTTGGGTGAATTAATATCTCATTTTTGACATTTCATTAGGAATATATCTCTCTTCTTCTAAAAAAAATACAAATAAAAATTCTGACATATGGATATTTCCTATCTATACATGATAAATGAATCGTGAGAGGCAAGCGACAAATTGAAAATATCGATTATTGGTATAGTAAATTTGTACATATAAAATAAGATATCAATGTTAGTCATCATCTTTCAGACATATTCTACATTTTTCATCTTGTATTGGAATCAATTGTAAACAATCTCATTCCATTATCAGAGTGATTTTTTCTTTATCTATCTTTGAATACGATTGACCAGAGTTAACTCATATTGGATTTAGTTTTGCAGTCTCTATAAATTCATGTGTTCGAATCTCTATTCGTAATAAAATTGATTTTGGATTTTTTCGACAGTTTTAGTTTAGAATGCTATAATGGAATATTTTTCCGCTTGTATTCTGACACAATAAAGTTTATATCAACTCATATTGAGCTCATAAATCTATTATTAGCATTCTTCAAAATCTCTGTTATTTTCTTTTATTAATATGTAAACTATATTGATATGTTAAGATGAGCAATTTTGTTTTATCGAATACTACCAAATATCTCCTACCATTACGAATATAAAGTCCTCTTGATTAATCCTTTACTCCCGGCAACTAATCACGTAAACCGAACTTGAAATAGATATACCTTTGTTAAGGGTAGATAAAACAAATTTTCTTATTAGTAATCACTAGTTTATACTGTTAGCTGACGCCAGAAAAAAATCCATTTTTTTAATTTGCCGCTTCGTTCCTTTTTCATTGAAACTATCATCATAAATGGTAATGTCCCTCTGGAGGGACAATCGAGTCCAAAGGATTAACTAAATTGTACCTGATACAAGATGTTTTTTTTATATTAACTCTTAGCAACATATATGTCGAAATGTTGATTGACAGCTGTTATTTTGTTCTATCTTTGATTAATCAATTATAGTTGTCTTTCTTTCTGAATCTCTTTCTCTTTTAAACACAAAACTTATTTTTAACTCATTATAAGATAGACGTTGTTCATATGATCTTTAGATTATGTATGTCTAAGGATTGTATGTGTTATCTCTCTCATATTAATCATGATATAACAAAACTAAATGATTACATCATTATCGATATCTGATATGAAGGGTAAACGTTTCGTTCTAACATCGACAAAATTAGTGTTATGTATTTACGATTCATATTTTCTAATTCAACTGTATTCTATAGGAATCCTATACTAACGAGGAACCATTCAAAGATGTTCCCTCGCTTTTTGTCAGAAATATAGCTGATTATGGTTAATTAACGATGCTGATTCCGAATATGATAGCCATTTGGGCTCTTATTGATCTTCCAGAAATCCAAGACTTTCTGGAAACTCTAAAATCTAAAACTTTTTCTGAAGTAGTTTCAACAATGCCAGACTGTAGAGCAGCATATCGAGTTGTATATATACGTGAACTTTTAGTTTTGCCAGACGTATTTTAACTGAACTGTGAGTTTATTAATTTCAAGTGGTAGTAACGGTTCGCACTTTAAAAAGTAAAGTAGGCCAGTGACCTACTGAGCGAGTCATTTAAATGGATCCGTTTTACCTATTGAGACACTTTTACAGTGTAGGAATTGGTTAAATTTTTAATGATTTTTAGCGCCTTTTAAACATGTCTGATGCAACTAAAAATTGATGGATATACAGAGTTTGACATTCTATGTAAGTTGGTGTTGTCAAAACACAGTTTCCAACTCGCTGGTGATTCATATCATTTTTTACAGTGCAGGAAACCGATTAAATTTTTAATGATTTTTAGCGTCTTTTAAACATATCTGATGCAACTAAAAATTGATGGATATACAGAGTTTGACATTCTATGTAAGTTGGTGTTGTCAAAACACAGTTTCCAAGAAAATAAAATTTGAACTCTTGAAGACCGAAGGGTCTCTCTTTCAAGTTTTGGACTAAAACAGCAATAAGAGCCCAAATTGCTGTCATATTCGAAATCAGCATCGTCGATTACCTATAATCAGCTATCTTTCGGGCTAAAAGCGGGGGACGCGTTGAAACGGTCCCTCCTAAGAAGGAACAAAAAACATCATGTAAATAAATCATAGATTAGTCATTATACAATCATCCTCTATGTACATTCACGTGGGGAAAGAGTATTTATAAACAATAGGAGGAAAAAAAAAACACTAAATAATGGCGTGCCGCACCCAGTAGAAAAAGTAAATTAGAGTAGAAATATCAAATAAAAAATTAGTCTTCAAATAATCAAATAGAGTATCAGGTAAGCATACACATATGTTGTATTCATTGACAAAATAGTGGTAGGTGGGATAGTGAGAATCTTAACAATAAATAAAAGTTTTTTGACGTTAGTGGATGTTGCAAAAGTCACTTGATATAATTCTAACAAGAACTTGCTATAAATCTTGTCTAATCTCGATAAGACAATTTATTATACCATCTGTTCTTTTTGTCAGAGAAGAAGGAAAAAACCCAATCGTAGAATCGTGTAAGATATTTATTATGAATTTTTACTTCCTAATTGAGCTTATATAGAAGAAGTATTGAACATTTTTCTCCAGTGTAAGAGTCAATCAATAAGTTATCGTGTATTATGAAAAGTGTAGTTTATTCTATAGTTACTGATAAATTTATGTCATATTTTTTTGTTGTTAATGTGAAGACAAAATAAAAGAAAAAAAATGTAGACGATTATTTTTTTTAAGTTGAACATGAAGTACTATTAATCATTGAAGAACATCCGTATGTGCATAAATAGTCATACTTATTTTTTATTGATAGTTTTATGATAAGTGTTAAAATCATTGAATGTCACTCTCAAATTGTCCGTAGATGCAATTTTTTTTTCTCTTGATTTAATCTTCTTAACAAAATATGTCTATTCTAAATGTTGATGATCCTATCTAAATATCTGAACTTACATAAGGGTTTTTGAGCATCTCTTTTTATAATGTCAGTTGGCAGATAGCGTTAAAAGAAAAAAAAAAGAAAACAACGACCCTTTTTTCGCCCTATTGTTAAGAAACATTAAAAAAAAATAAGTGTGCGTGTACCATTTTTTCCATATTCGTAAGAGGAAAAATAATTTGTCATTTGAGTGAAAGCGGAACAAAAACATTTTTTTTTTTTCGTAAATAGAAGGCAGAAAACAAGGTAAGAGTAAAAAAAGACTTCCTAATACATGATGTAAAATTATACTGAAAAATAACAAAATATATCAGAAAATCGACTATAAATGATGTTTAGTATTTTTTTTTTTGTCGAGCTGATCGTTCTTTTTAAAATTAAATTAATGTCTTATCTAACGTAAGACGAAAATAAGAAATAATTGTTCGTCTGGACTTTATCTAGAATGTTTAGAACGTGCATGTGTACTGTTTTTTAATAAATGTTTTACTAAAGCGCTCAATCGAAAGTTATGAATTAATTAGGATGTATAAGTGATGGATGCTATGCGTAAAATAAAGAAATCTATTAAAAAAAAATACATCATGTTATACTATTAATAATTATATCAAACAAAACTCTATGATTATTTTTGTTACCATTCTTTTTTTAGATCAATTGGTTAAGCTACTAATTAATATTTAACAATCATCTTAACTTTGACAATGCCTACGGTAAATAATCTTTGATTTTTTAAAGAGTAATATTTCTTTTCTATCCTCAGGCTATCTATAATAAAGAATAATTTTTTATAAAAAGAAATCTTTGTTACTCGAATTTTCTTTCTTATAATAACATAGGCATGTACCAGTTATATAACTGGTATTAGGGCATCTAGGAAAATTGTTATAACACGGTTATTAAGAATTGTTTAGATTTGCGAAACATCTCATTTGGTAGACAAATGTTTTTTCTATCTATTTGTTGAAACAAAAAAGGTTTAAAATTAATTATGACTAAAATATAAGGATTCTTTTAAATGCCATAACTGTACGTGGTAATTGGTCAGTAGTTATATAACTGTTCATGCCTCTTCAATAATTCATTAAAAATGCTTCTATTTTTCAATCTTTAATTTTATCTTTCATACAGATACATAAAATGAGACGTTTCGCAAGACTGAGTAATTCTTAATATTTTCCTGGATGCTCCAAAAGCAGTCGGAAATAACTAGTCTATAACTGGTACGTGTCTATCACACAACATTTCAGCAAAATTATTTCAATTTAGAATAAAAAAATTCGAAAACTAACTCAAAATCAAGTAGCAGGTAATTAATGACACCTAGTATGGAAAATATGTCAATTTTTCAGTTACTTATCTGCATTTTAGAGTTAAGACAAGCATTTAATTTATTTGATACTGACGGATCAGGAGCAATATCCATCAAAGAATTTAAACAAGCATTATGGGCATTGGATATACAAGCTAATGATCAAGAAGTTCAACACATGTTTAAGGCAATTGATGCTGATAGTAAATATTTGTTGATTTTATTTAGAAAAGTATCCAATTTCACATCTTTATTGTCATCTAGAGAATGGTGAAATCGAATTTGAAGAATTTGTTGAAATTGTAGCCGATTCATATTTTCGAAAATTTACAAGAGCTGAAATATTAGAAGCATTTAAACGTTTTGATCATGATCATGATGGTTATATAAGTGCAAATGAATTACAAAATATTCTAAGTCGATTAGGACGAAATTTTTCATCGGATGAGGTATGAATTATGCTAAAGGGTTAGTCACATTCGAAGAACATCCTGAAATTTTAAAAACCAAATTAGAATAGAATATCTCTACGTCTTTAACTTAAGCTTTTCTTTTGTAGAATGAAAAGTTTTACGCTTTGTCTTTTTCCATCATTAACACCTAGAAACAGAAGAAAGTCGGAAAAGTGAAAGGATATAATGTACTAAAATAGAACAGAAATATTTCTCTTAGTCGTAAACCCATAGATGTTCTATAAAACACTGAATACTAGAGATATGGGGAGTGGGACTAATTCTAAGATCCCTTTTTACTATGTCACAATATAAAATCCTCTGAAAATCTTTATCTCTCCAGATAGAATAGTAGAATCGAGTCTTTCAATGTGACGACCCATTTATAACACAATGAATAGGTAATGAATGCATCTACCTAATGCAAACAAGACAATATTAGTAGAAAATGTTTATTCGTTTGTTTAGATTCGACGAATGATTGCTCAGGTAGATCGTGATGGTAATGGAAAGATCTCAATCGATGGTATGACGCACTTGTTAGATATTTTTCGTTTTATTTTGTTTTTACGAGTTTTTTCTTCATTTTATTTCAGAATTTGCCGCTTTAGTCGAAAAAGAAAGTTGATGTTGGAACTGTACAATTATTTAACGACAAAATTCACTTTTAATTTAGAATCTTCTGTCTTAATGCCTATCTGCTTCTATGAAGCAAAAACAAGTCGATAACCAATAATAAACAATTAACAGTTGATAATTTTTCCCGTTTTTTGTAAATATGTTGGTTGTGTTAAATATGAATAAATAACTGAAATAATGTAACATTTGACCACTATTGTCGTCAAAATATAGTACACTCCGTTATTTTTTCAATATAGACAGACACATGCAGATTTCGCTGTTCAAAAGTCAAGATCGAAACACATCTTTTTATAATCCTTTTCGAAAGTAAGGTTTTCAAAAGATCTTTGAAAAACTATTTTAGTTCTCTAAAAAGTGAATATGACAAGAGTAGATAGCCTAAGGTGCCTTCTTCAAAAATGAGAGTCAAGTGAGACTTTGTTTTTCGGTGGTTATAAAATCTTCTTAGAGCTTCAGGAATGATACTGATGATCTGAAATAATCTTGAGATCGCCTGAAATAATCGATCCTAGGCAATCTGATACCAATATTTGGTTTTGAACAAAAACCTGGTGCAAATCCAGTTATACGAAAATTTATATATTTAGGTTGTTTTCATTTGGTATTAAAAAATTTACCGTTCATCCAAAATACATCACAGTGACCTGAAAACTGCAGGATATGTGAAAGGACAAGGGCGGATAAGGCCGTTTTCTTGCCCACAAAACTTTCGAATTTTTTACATTGGAACCAATGTCAGAGCATGTCCAGGAATATTTCCAGGACGCTTAGTTTCGCGAAATCTTTCAATCAGGTTTTTGACGCCTGAGGTCCCTTACAAGGATTTTGAAAAATTCTTCATTTTTAGTTTTTTTCAAAATAACCTGATAATATGTAATCGACTTCATAAAAGCAAAAGATTTCGGCCTTGTCGATGGGTCTTGCCAGAAGGCAGGTGTTTTGCACAGCAGCAGAAAAATCACCTCAGTGTACCATGAACGATCTGAAGCCAAAACGGTGAGTGACGGCTGTAACTGACAGCAAAAAGATGAGAAAAGGCAGTATTTCTAATTTTCGGTCCTGTTTCACAACTTTTTTCGGTTCTTTTCTAGTGCCATCGGCTAGAACACAAACAGAAAGTTACATATTCTGTAAAATTTTGGCGTAGCAACCGGATTCTCTTCCTAGTCAGCTTGGGTGAATACTTTGAAAAACCTTGGTTTTTGCAAGTTTTTGCCGATTTTTGACAAAATATGATCTTGCATAATTGTTCTATTTTCGTATTCAGATTCAGCATGACATTCTGCGCCAGAACCACTATCGATTTTATTTTTTTGATGCTTCCTTGCACGGGGTCATCTAAAGACTCTTTTTTGCGAAAAATAAGAAATCTGACCTAAACCCAAGGGTTCTGCTCACCAGACTTTTTCTGACGCTTCTAATAGTTATGTTCATGATTAGCGTGGTCGATTACATATTATCAGGTGCTTTTGAAAAAATCAAAAATGAAGAATTTTTCAAAATCCCTGTAGTGACCTCAGGTTTCAAAAACCTGACTGAAAGATTTCGCGAAACTAAGCGAGTGGAAATATTTCTGAATCTGCTCTGACATGGTTCCAATGTAAAAAATTCGAAAGTTTTGTGGGCAAGAAAACGGCCTTATTCGCCCTCTTCCTTTTGTCCAGGAAACATGATTATGCCATCGAAAATATTGAAAGATTGTTATTTATTTAAGGTGGAGCCTTCCGCGGAAAATCCAAACTGAGTTTTTTGTATGAATAGTTAGGTTGAAGTCTGAGAAACAGTTGTATGAACTTCAAACTTCTCAAACAAAACAATATTTTTTCGGAGCGAGCTTAATCTAGATTACAAAGAACATTTACTTAGTTTAAGTCCGATTAGAACTAGCTGTAGCTAGATAAATGTATGCTTTAACCTTGGTTTAACTAGCTCCAAAAAAAATATTTTTGGTTACCTTTGGACACGTACCCCTCCGCTTGCATTCATTCATTCATACGTCGTTTTCATACTGTTTTTCCAACTGTATCTAGCTTTTCCTGGTAAGAGATGAAGCCTTCAATTGTACAGCGTTCGACTCGTCTTTGCATGACCAAAAAAGTTATAAATCGCTTATAAATTCCTTTCCATTGCAGAGAAATTTCATTTTTTTCTAAATCAGAGGCGAAAAAGTCGAAATTCTGCCCGTAATTTACAATTTTCTCAAGCAGAACTCAACTTCTATGTAATAAAAATATGATATTCGGAATCAGGATTAAAAGAATTCATATCACCGGAACAAAAAAACTAAATTTGGTTTTGAGTTCCTGGAAAGTGCATTTTCATATTCAGCACACTCGATAACTCAAAGGATTTTCTATTTTTGGCGAGGGGTACTTTCAAAAGTTTAGGAAAACTTTTCAAATAAAATGACGTAAAATTATTTCAATGAGAAAATAATATTAGTTTGAAAATTTTTCCTAAACTTTTGGAAGTACCTCTCGCCAAAAATAAAAAGTTTTCTGGGTTATCGAATGTACTGAATACGAAAAAGTACTTTTCAGCAACTCAAAACCAATTTTATTTTTTTCCGGTGATATGTATGAATCATATTTTTATTACATACTCAAAAATAAAACTGATGTAACTTTTTTGACTTAGCGGCGCCTTATAATTTCGATTAGTTTTCTGTGTATGCCGATCAAAACCATGTGATTTACGAAAGTTTTAACAGTTCTAGTAGAAAAACTAACGATTTTGGAAGCCATTATATTGTGAGCCTATTAACGGGCTAATCTATGAAAAACTTAAAATTTAATATAACTTTTGAAGGGAAAGTCATCGGCCCGAATTCTTTTTAGCTTTTTACAACCTCGATATCCTCTATCGATCGACGTATGGGTGAATGAAAGCGGAGAGGTACATGTCCATAGGTTTCCTCGTCAGTAAGGTACATTTTTCTCCGGAGTGACTGAGGATAACTGGATGAACTTTTTTTGGCTTGACAACTAAAAAGTTAATGCACAAAGGAGAGTAGAGGCACTATTTTGACTTAAAATGTATACCAAAAATTAACGGAGACGGAATCTAACAAAAGTATCTATTACTTTTTAGATTTAGACGTCTAGTTTCATTTAAAATAAACTCGAGCTTCGTAGTTACTATTCATTCTGAGAAAAAATATACCTCAAACAGTCCCATTTTACACTTTGCGATACCGATAACTCGTGAACAACTCAATATTTTGGGCCGAAATTTTAGTCATAATCTTTTCATGACATAGTGTCTCATCCAATAAAATTTCATGCAAATCGGTTGCATGATGCAGAAAATTTTTCTGCGGGAGCTTAAAGGCTAGAAACACCTTTAAGGCCCCTGGATCAGAAACCTATCTCAGCCTAGATAGGTCTGATCTAAACCAAACTTTCAGGGAATGTTGATCATGCCAAAGTATGATAACGAAATTTTTTTGGCGTCCCTTGCAACTGTTCGTGGAAGGACGCCACAACAAGGGCCAAAATTAGACTTCTACCACGTGCAAGAATTTGCATTCAAGGTAAATAATAGAGAGCTCGGGCTCTTTTTGTTTTGCAGTAAACACCTACGGCTAGGAGTTGTCGGAGCCCGATTTTTGAATTTCTCATTTACTGATTTCTGATGCTTAATAGAACTTTAAAGTCCGAAAAATCCTGGTGATGTTTCTTAAAAATCCTTATTTCTATAAAAAATGGAATCATAATTTAAAAATCGGACTCTGTCAAGTCCTACCTATAGGTATTATCTACAAATCGAAAAAAGATTTTCTTTCTCCGATACACTGTTTGCGAGAATTCCTGCACGTGGCGAAAGCTCTGAAGCTAAACAGCAGTCTTAAGAAAAACGCAAAATAAGTTTTGATTTTGTTAAATGCGTTTCTTAAAAACACTTTGAGCGTTAAATAATTTGTTGATATTTTGCTATAGGTTATCGGTCATGGCGGATCTAATGAACATGTGCGACACGTGCCTATGCTTATGCAATACAAGTGAAAAAAAGCCATTTTTTTGCTATGGGGCTTCTGGAAAACTCGCTCAAAACCTGTGAAAAACCTATCCTATCAACACAAAAATTATGCCATTAGAAAGTAGACACTGTGGCTATTTAATCATGTGCTTTTCTCAAAGTCTATATTTTTGACAAAAATCGGCATTTCTGACGCGGGGGGGAAGGGCCTCAAGGAAAACTGTAAAGTTTTGTGCAGATTAGTTATCAATAGGACATAGTATAGCACATTCTGAAGTTTTCAATCGTTCTGGTGGATTCTGACTGAATTGTGTCTTTTTTTTAATATTAAGTTAAAACCGTCTACCCATTCTATTTGTCATAACTAAATTTTCACCATATTTCTGATCTTTCTGCTGAGTGTTTCTGATCAATTCTGTTTTTTTATAAAAACGCCTTATAAATAATTTTCAATTAAATATTTGAAATTATAATTCAATTAGAGATAATTTATTCAGTATTTGGATGAAAAAACTATTGAATTATGCCTCAAGTGACTTTTTATTTTGCTTCCAACCATGCTGGATCAAAAACGAGAGGAAAGAATCGACCGGTAATAAGTTCACCTTTTTTAATAACAGGAACGTTTAAAAGCAACGGTTCATCCGTGTTACTTTTTGTGCCTTGTCCAAAATAGTTCACAACTGCCGCTCGCCTAGGTAGACTTGTGCGATTGGGATAGCTACCGTGTACCATTAATGGATGATGGAACGATGCATAGCCTTTTTTCAATAGACTTGGAACGGGTTTAAATTGCTCTTTTTCTTCGGCTGTCAATATTGTTTTTATACTTTCCATGTCTTTGAAATCAAAATCTGTTACCGGTAATGGATGACCATTATCTCTTGTCCATTTATGTGATTTGGGTATGAAATGTAATGTACCGTTTTCCAATGTTTGTTCGTCTAGCGCAATATGAACAGTCATATGATTCATAGGTATTGTTCGTGTCCAATAACTGTAATCTTGATGCCACGCAACATTTGCACCATGATGAGGTGGTTTCGCGAATAGTTGATCATGCCAAAATTGGACAGGTACCATAGAACGTCCATCGGAATTAGCTGAGGCCAATAATTGTGACGATGGTACAGTAATTGCTGGATGAAATACGAGATCATGAAACAATGGTGTTATACGCCAATGACCCAGCATATGTGATAAAACATTGTCCGGATCGTTTGTTTGGTTTGAATGAAATTCATGAAATAGATGCATACCTGGATGTGAGATTCGATGTGCATCATTCATAGATCCTGCTTGTGTCGTTATATCATTTTGGTCCCATAATAAGAACTTTTTATAATCTTCTAATATACGATCACACTGTTCTTCACTCAACACTTTGATGTTTATTAAATAACCGTTTTCTTTATAGAATTGAATTTGTTCGGCATCTAATTGATACTGAGTATAACTAGAGGGATCTGTAGGCAACGAACCAAATAGATCACCAATAGGCTGTGAAATGTAGGACAAGTCTGGCACATCTTCTTTGGCTTCAGCTTGATTTTGAACTATAGGTCGAATGGGTAACGAGGTCATTTTTCAAATAAAGAATAACTTTCAAGCTTCAATAGTAATGACACTTAAACAAACACATAGGTGAAAACAAAGATAGAAGATAACATGAAAATAAATTTCTACTTTTTATCAATTTTAAAAGCCAGATTGTACTGGCTAACCATTGAAATAGACCAGAATAACAATTATATATCAATTCCTAGAATAGGCTTATGCCACTTTCACTTTGAATTTTTGACTCGATTGTTACGACTACGCTCTAAAACGAATTGAGAGAAAAGACTAGTTGGAACGCAATGGAAGCAAGAAGAAATGAAAGCATTTTCTTGCTACTTGTTTATCGATTTTACTGGTTGTAGTGGTCGGAGGACTTCCGTAAACTGAATACAATTTGATGAAAAAAGTATCATGAAGAGCTTTAAAATGCCTCATTTTTTCCAGAAATGTCTGTTCTGTACGATCGAGTTGTTAGCAAAAATTTCAATCAATAGAATTTTCATACATGTCTTACTTGACTGATACTCTTCCAGCTACTCTAATCACTTTTTGGATTCCTAGCTAACACAATCGAGCAAAAAAATCAAAAGTGTAGTAAACTCATGTTTATCACTTTACACTATGAGCTTATCCTTGGCAAAACAGCAACATATTTAACAGCAAAACGCGTTCTGAACTAAATCAATTAACTAAAATATTGAAGAGATGCGAAAAACATACACTTACTACTGTATTACAGTAATACGTAGAGAATACTGCTCGCCTTGTTTAGATTCCCGTTAGACTCTCATCTTCTTCAATTCTTGTTATTTTGTATCGTGTCTATCGATTAAATTTTAGATCATAAACAGATCACGTATTTTGTTATTAAAAAGTTTGAAATAAAACAAACAAACAAATAAACAAACGAAAAAATCAAGAAGCGAATAATAGTAAAATATATAGAATAATACTCTGTGAGAACAATAAAATGTACACTCGTATGAAAGAAGAAATCATCAAAAAATTTTTTTTTCAATCACATGATATTATTCCACTTATTTATTATCGCCATTCTTCATCACACAAAGAAGAGAACGATAGATAGAGAATTTTAATTTTACAAAAAACAAATAAAATAAATAAATAGATAAAAAAAAAGAATTCGTCAAGTACAAAATTAAATTCAAAATATCCTCAAAGAACAGGATGAAGAGATTACGATTGATGAACAAATTAAAACGGCTGAGATTTTATCTTGCGTTTCATTAACATTTGACACCTTTTCCAGAATTAATTAATCTGTCTACAACATTGTTCATCATGGCTTTTCGTAATTTTCCATTTGATTTTTTTTGTAATGATTTTGTCGATGTTGTTGCACTATTATTTCCTGTAGTAGTATTTGCACTAGTTCCACTGTTATGTCTGACATTTGATATATTCTGTATTTGTTCATTTTCATCTGAACTATCAACATAATAAGAATGTGCACCACCACCATCATTAATCGATGATAAATCATCTACATTATTTACACCATTTTCAATAAAATCATCACAATCATCTAATTCATTATCAGCATAATCGGCACATGATATAAGTCCACATTTATCTGTTGCATCAATATCACCACCACCACTACTCGTCGTTGTATTTATACCTCCAAGTCCAATTGTATTTAAAACAGAATCAGCTGTTTTTGATGGAAAACTTTTTCGATATTCATTTATATTTGATCCACTCGATGATGAACCTGATAGACTTGTATTACAAAAATAATTATTTGTACTACCATTCGATTGAATATTCGTTGTTTGATAATGACTAGTAAAATTATTATTATGACGAGATGAACAATCACTAAAACGTGATGAAGTTGTTGATGATGGTTTATCATATAAATTTTTATATGATGAACTAAATGGTTTACGAGAAATTTTATTTGAATCTAATCCACCACTATTTGCAGATGAACTTGGAATTGTTGTTGTTGCTGTTGTTGAACCATAATCACATGAATGTTGTGATAGTGAATAGGAAGCAACACTCAAATTTGAAACAGATGCACTATCTTCAGATAAATTAAATAAATTTGTTAATGAATCGGATCGTTGTCGAATAATGCCAGCAAAATTGTATAAACTACCGATTTCAGATAAATCACTTATTGAACCATCGGCTATCGATGCTAGAAAATGAGATAATGAGTAAATAAGACAAATACTATCGTTTTCTAAAAGTATCTCTATAAAGTTGACTCTTCCAATTGAAATTCACATTTAGATATATATAAATTTTAAGTTCACACATACACATGTCTATTAAAATAATCTCAATACATTGAAAATCATATGTTTCAAGAGTCAAATTTTAATGAATCAACTATTCACATAAACTTTTCTAAATTATGAACAATATTTGCTGTCTGTATAAATTGAGAGAGAATCTTTTGTAAATACATATAAAGTACATGTAAACAGATTTTTACTATTTACAGTCTAAGTGCCTTTGAAATAGATTTAATGTCTTAAAATTTGTATGTGATAAAATAATATATATATATATATACAAACATATGTGCGACATATATAAATATCGAGGACAATTATTTGACATTTTTCCTCTATGTTATCCTTGAAATTTCTAAGATTTCGTGATTTATATACACATAACATAAGAGAAAAAGAAAGGATTTTATATTGCCCATAAGGGTACATATCTATTTACAATTTGTATCCAAATGTAGTTATAATTTGTTAAATTTTTACACATACTCTAGAAAAATGTGGACACATAATTTCTCATAAAATATGTCTTAATATTTCATAAATGATAAAAGATCGAAATTATCGTTTTTTGATTATGATAACCATGATAAAAATGTTGTCATTTTATCATTGTATGTACTTAGTTTTAAGATGATTATTTGATTATAAGTTTTCATTTTATATCAACATTCATTCACATCACCTGCATACGACAGATAAAATATTTTGAGTAATGGCGTCGCTTTTTTTTTTCTTCCCTTTTTTGATTAATACTTTTTATTTTTATCTTTTAACTTGGATATATGATGCTGTGTGATGTATCAAATATTTTTAATTGTAAAAGTATCGATTTTTTTTTTTTTTTCTAAAAAGTATATTTTATCTTCAAAAATTTGATATCATTCTTTATTATTATAATTAACAACGATTCGATTATTCAACTATAATTTTAATCCATGATTTACTTTTGAAATAGTGAGATACCCTTTTGTTTTGCATGTAAAAAGTAAGAAAAAACAAAATTTGATAGTGAACTAAAAACTTGTCAATGTTCAATTAACACTCTAAAAATAACCGGTGATATTAACGAGACATTGATAAAGTAAAAGAAAAAAAAGAAATATTGGATCAAATTCAAGAATATTTTTTTAAAATAGTAGATTAATTATATATAGAGTTAATTTGATACACAAAATCTCACATTTTTCATTTTCTATGCAATTGACTAATTGAAGGATGAAAAAGAAGAGAAAATGTCCTTCAGGATGTCGACAAAATACAGAATATTTTTAATCATTCTTCTATCTTTGCACATATAAATAAATGACTTTTATTTTTATTTTTGATTTAAAGGTAGTGTAGTAGAATATAATTAGAATTTATCTAGGACAAATTATGATCACGTGATGTTTTTTTCTTTCACATTTTTCAATCTTAATGTAATTTTTTAGTATATTAATAAAAAAAATATATATTAGAAATTCAAATAACAAAAAAATTCTAAAGTATTTTCTGTATATTCTATGTTCATTTTGTCTGTTAAATAGCAAAAATAATCCTACATAAACATATGTAAAGCGAAGTCAAACAATGTCTCTGGTTTATAGACTAAAAAATAAGAATATAATAAAAGTTGACATCAAATATTTTTCTCTTATTCTATGTGTATAAAAGGAAATGACTCAATGGCGTCAAACAATAAACATCTACACATCTGTGAATAATTTAAACATCGTTTTCTTTTTATTGAAATATATATAATATATTCTAGAAAGATCTTAAATTTAAATATATAAAGAAAATATTGGATCTCAATACATTTTAAAAAGATAAAACAAAAGAAGAAGTGTATAATTTATACACATTGATCCAAGTAGTTTAATTACTCTTAGTACGTATGATTAATTCAATGCGTTTATTTCTATATGTTGCATTAGAGATTAAGTCAACTGTGTGTGTATGTGTGTGTGTAAATGTGTATATGTGTTTTAACTGAAAAATAAACAATTTTTTATACTTAAAAGTTTTCTTAAATAACTTCAAAATTTCTCCAATGTATTGTTTGTCCACTTTTTTTTCTACTTCTTGACAATAACTGATTGAAACTGTTATACAATAGTATTCTAATCTCATTACATACCTGATTGTAATGATGGTGTTGTGCCAGTATATTCTTCCATTTCAATATAGTACGTTGTTGGTGAATGAGAAGTAAACGGAATACGCCGTTGAAATTTCATTATTATTTTGTATCTTCTCTTTTTTGTTGGTGTATGCGTTTTTTTCTTCGTGTTTTCTTTATTTTGTTTTTTCTTTATTTTGATTGACTTTTTTGTCAAAATTCAATAGATGTTAGAGAAAACCGAACGAATTGTTTTACCTGCAACCGTATGATGAAGTTTGATAATATAATGATAAGAGTTCGAAGTTTTCTTGTTTATAACCTAACTCCTTTCAACTTCGAAGAGAATATAGAGAAGAAACAAAAAAAGAAAAAATACATGTGTTCTCTAAGGAGAAGAAGAAGAAAAAACAGAAAAAGTATTTTTTTTTTGTTCTTTCTCTTCTTCCAAATGTACGTACATTGCATCGTGTACCAATTTTAGTGATGAAAAAAATCAACATACGCATCATCATCATCATCATCATCGTCATCATCCGTTGTTCTATTTTTTTTTTTCATGTAAAAAATGTTAAGAATAAAAGAAAAGAAAAGAACAAATGTGTTCTGGAAAAATAACGAGCAATGAGGACTGTTCAGAGAAGATTTTTGACAAACAAAACAGAAACTTTCTTTACGATAAATCCGTCATAATACATTTCTGTTTTCTTTTTTTCCTGCTTTGTTTTTTCTTCCTATATCCTGTTTCCAACAACATATTTGATTTAGATACGCTCGAGATAATAGTTGTATAGAGTAGCAAAGAACAAAAAAATAAAAAATATAGAGCACTTTAATTATATATCAATTTAGAATCGTCAAACATATAATCTTCAAGTAGAAAAACTGAACATCCGTTCAAAATTTTATCAAAAAATCATCACGCTATCACATAAGCTTGAGTACACATCGATACAGCAATCAAATCGAAAATATAAACACTTTCTTTTTACAAAATGAACAAGTTGAATAGCTTGTTTGATACTCATTTATTAAGAAAAATATTAATGATTTCTTTTTTATCAGAGAAAATTTGTTTTGTTGTTTTCTATAAACTGCGAAATTGATATACCTCGAAAGTGTGAATCAAGAATTAGATAATTTAGTATAGAAAAAAAAAAAAAGAAGAAGAACCCATCGAGATAAATATACCTTTATTTACAGAAAAATTTCTTTTTATATCTATTGTCTGAATAGAGTATGAGCGAGCTATTGAATTTCTTTTACCCAATTCTCCAAAGAAATTTTTTCATTACTGAGCTATATATAATGTTCTCTTCTGAATATAAAATGACTATAGAAAACGTTTATATAATCCGTGAGAAACTCCTCATATTAATAATAAAAAGAAACAATGTTTATTATCTTTTCTTTTCATTTGGATCACATCAAATTATTTAATGAATTTTCATTCGTTATTTCTATTCGTCTTTTTTTTACATAGAATATTAGAAATAATAATATGTCGTACAAACATTTTAGTAAACCACTAATTATAAATGGTAATCCGAATAGAAACTTTTTATTTGGATCTTTCATTGAATATCCGACAAATAAGGGTGATATTGATAAACCAATAGATCGAACTAAATTGGTAATACCACCGGCAGCTGATCGTTCATCTGCCTCAACACTTGTCATTACAAATGTTTGTCTTGCAGGAACATCCATTTGACTTATGGAAAATCGAAGTAATAATAGTGTTATTGCCCAGAGTTTCGTTGGCATCAATGGAATGAGTAGAAGAAAAATATTTGATGGAAAATGTGTGATGACCATTGTTTTAATAGCACCAAACTTGCTTACTAATGGTGTAGCACATACAGCTGAAGAAATAGATAGTCTTTCATATTCTTTAGATAAAAAAACAAAAAAACATTTTTTTTTCCATCTTTCAACACCTACCTGAAATGCCTGATGCTACATTTGCTAACATCATCATTATTCCTAATTTATCTGTATCCATTTTAAATGTTTCATGAAACCAGTAGACAATAATTGTTTGCAGTACAAAACCGCCGGCAAATGAATCAATGATAAATAAACAACATAATTTAATAACAGTTATCTTTGATTCGTAGAGACGTAAACCAAATTTTTTACTATACCATTTTGTTGATATTTCCTCTTTCGTTGATTTTCCTAGAGGTGTGACTTCAATTTTTGATGTTAAGGTCAAATACATTAAGGCTTTGATTAAACCAAATAGGGCATAATGAAGTAGTATTATACGATAGGCATTTAATGTTGTGAATGAATAATGATGAGTCATTATTCGAATAATAAAACCTGATAAAAATGTTCCAAATGCTGTTGATATATAGCCGCATGCGTGATACAAACTAAAAATTTTTGCGACTTTACCATTATCTTTAACTTGTTCAGTCAAACATGCTATTCAAATTAAAATTGAGACTATTTATGTCTATTCGAGAGAGATCTACTATTACCTTGTTCAATAGCTAAAAAAAAATAGTGGTAGATCATTTAAGTTTTTTAGATTTATAGGAACTTATGATCAATATTAAATACGTACATAAGAATGGTCCTATTTCACCGCCTGTGGGACTAATAATGCCTATGGTACCTGCGATTAACAATGCATAGTAGTTGTACACAAAGGCAAAAACAATTCCGGCAAATAATTTTAACAATGATCCGACGATGAGAATATTTCGTCGTCCTAAAATATCGGCTGTTGTTGTTAAAAAAAGTGTAAGTATTATATCACCAATTAAAATTGATGTGAACAATGTTCCTATATTCACTTGGGAAAAACCAATTTCTGTTAAATATAAAATGAGAGTAACTGATAACATTCCATAACTAAACAGACGTATAAAACGTGTTGCAAATAGTATTAGATCATCATTTGTTAAGTTTAGATCTTTCCACATTAATTTAACTACAGCAATTAAAGAACAAAAAACAATAACATGAATTAATTCAACTGAGAAAATAGATAATTAATCCAACTACTCCCACGTAATCGAATTAAAATAGAAAAAAAAAAAGAAGTAATTTATTCAAAATTTTTAAAAGCGCCTTTTATCATCAATGATTAATTAATTATTTTTTCGTGTGTGAACAACATTAAATGTTAAATTATGAAGAGGATAAAGAGGATGATTAGAAGAGTCAATTGATCCATATATAAAAACTCTTCATTGTTACGACAGTACTTGACATGATAGAAACAATTAAACGATTTTCCTGTAGTTAATGTTTTTTCAAATGTTAACTAGAAACAATTTAAAAAAAGTGGATTCTTAGATGCCATTCTCTTTCCCGTACATATTCATTTTATATCATTTAAAAATGAGTTGCTTAATTTTATTTTTGCAATCTAAAACAGTTAACAAACTAATTTTAAAAGTAAAAAGAAAAAGAAGAAAACCACACACGCTCAAACAAAAACAAATCATTATAAAAGCAAAACACATCTAAAATATTTTGTCATTTTAAGAATAGTATAAAAAAAGAAACAATTATCAATTTTAAATAATACAGTAAAAGAAAAAGAACAAAAACAATTCAAAATAGTGTCTAAAACGAAAAAGAAACTATTTTGTATGTGTATATATTTAAAAACAAAAAACTTGACTTTAAAAATCCATTGTTCATAAGATGAAGTTTAAGGAAGAAGTGCGTTAAAAAGAATTAGAATATAATAAGCGGGCAAAAAGCACCGAGTTAAATGCACATATGTTTCTATTTTTTTTTGTTTTATCAAAACAAAACGGTCGTTTGTGTAACATGCTTATAAAAAACAAAAATTATCAAAAACAAATTTTTAACGTAATAAATATTAAAATTTGATCATACGAGTCGTTACAGTTAATCGACTCGTCTGTCTCCTTCATGCCATCGGATCAATTGAACAAGGTCGCCGAAATTCCTGACCACGTTCATGAATCCATTTGTTTGCAACCCATTTGTTTCCAATTAGTACGGGACAAGCTAGAAAACATAATTAGACAATATATTGACTTATTTATAAAAAAAAAAATAATATTGACAAATTTTTACCTGCATGTCTAGTTGAATAATCACCTGGTAACAAAAAAAACATAAAATTTATTTTTTATTTCTGTCTTTATTAAAGAACAACAAATTCTTACCTTCACCCGATGCAAATAAATTATACCAGAATGCAGCACTTCCCTAGATGAATAAAAGATGGTAAGAGACAAGTGTACATTTTTTTATTTTATTTGTTTACTTACTTTTTTAGGGACTAGTCGTGCTCCAGCAACCGGAAATACGGTTGCTCCTCCACGTTCTACATTGCTTAACTAAATAAAATTGAATACGTACAGAGAGAGAGAGAGAGAGAGAGAGAGACGTGTTTATGAGAATAAAAATAACTTACATAGGTCAACCAGGTAGCTATACGATTACCTAAATTAGAAATAGAAATACATAGTTTAACAAACTAGTCCTGAAAACATACACAAACGTATCTTACCGGCACCAAGACTTGAAAACGCATCTTTTTCAGATTTCTATTAGAAAACAACAACAGTCCATTGATTAAAAACTTTATCGTGTATAGAAACTACTTTTCTTACTCGAGCAAAATCAAAATGTGGCTCATAATGTCCTCCAACACCATAATTTGCTATCTAAACAAAAACGACACTCATATGAGAGAAATTTTAAAAAACAAGAGATAAAAATTTACTTGAAGATCTTCGGCAGTTATCATACTCAAATTTGTAGCATCACCAATGAGTTGAGTTAGACGAGCAACGGCTGGTGAATCTTCATTTCTTAACCATGCACTAAAAACAAAAGAATTTTAGATTGTCTTACTCTAATAGTTAGAGATTTATATGAAAACAACACTATCAAAATGAGTATTTAGTCAAAAATAAGCACAGAAATAAACTTCATGTAAAACGCCAGAATAGACGGGATGTCAGTCAATGCAGGAGTTTGATTTGGCAAGGGAATGCACCCGATATATAAGTATTTACATTTATTTTTGGTTTGTTGTACATATTTCGTTATTACTACTACTCTGATAGTTGGTACGTTAAAGAACGACGATATCCAGTAGAAGGTGGTTAACAATAGATATAAACGTGCTTTTAAAAAATCACTGCAGTCAAATCATTCTATTCATACATCACTACAATTGTATAAACACTATTTTTTTTAAACTAAAACTTGTTTTACAGTATTCAATTTTCATCAAAATATCAGACCTACAACTAATATACTCTATTTGAATTGTAAATTCGTGCACATGCAGCAAACGCTAAGTAAAGTATAAATAAATAACTAAATATGTATTCTTCCCTTTTCTTTCTTCACCTCAAAACATAGCAGTTAAGCAGATTAGAGACTCTCTCCAATCTTCTATCCTTTCCACTTCTTTTTTTTTTTCTTTTTCTAAACGATTTTAAAAGTATTGCTGAACTAGGTGATTACTTTGAATCAAAATAAAACGAAATTTATATAAACTAGAAATATGACTTCAATTAATCGCGTTAACAATGAAGTGAAAAAGATAGAAAAAACTAGAACAATCGTTGTTACAGTTTGACTAATAGAGTTATAATTAAATTAAATCATGCTCTAACAAGGTAATTTATTATTTTGTGTGAAACAAAAGGGCAAGCACAATATGAATTATACTTGTGAGAGTACATATATGTCGATATAAAGTTTAGCAATAAAAAAACCAAAAATAATGAAATTTATGTATGTATATTATGTACCTTTTGCTCACTCTATAATTTGCTGCCTCTAATTCTGCTGTTTTAGGATTTTGTACAACAGCTCGTTTTAACTACAAAAATAATACAATGGATTTTATAACAAATTGTGTGTAACCACAAAAAAAGAAAAATGAATTAGCTAAAAAATTTCAATAATAAAATTCAATATAAATAATCGTTCTATCATGAAGAAGTCTTAATACAATGAATTCTATGTCTAAAATTTCAATATTAACGTTCTTTACTCAACGAATTAGCACAACATTGAAAACGAAGATCTTTGTTTTCATTTAAAGAAGTTCACTTTTGTAGCAAAAGTTTTAAATGAGTGTTATGTATCAGCATTCCCAACACTATCGATACAAAGTTGAACTGAATATTTGTCACAGCCCAATACAGAGTTGCAGAATCTGCCTGATTGTTCCGACGGTCGTCGGAGGAAAACTTCTTTATTTAGGGAAATTTTTTGAAAAATTGGAACATCTTTTTGCAATATATTACAAAAAGAACTTCTATCCATGGATTGTGTCGGGGAAGTTTTTCGGAAAACGTTTTCTGTCGAGAGAAATTTTCCAATCTTATCGGTAGATTCTGCATCTCTGACCCAATGTTACAAAAAGCAATGTAAGAATGTATCTTCAAGAAGTTATTATACAACATTTAGAAGCATTACTTCTCAATAGCTTCATTTAAACATTCATAATTTTATCTCAACTATTATCACTACAAAAAAAGAATGAACAGAAGAAGCACGACAAAAAGAGTTTACACATATAAATCAAGTGTGCACAAACTACTACGACACGTGTTGATAGATATCTTCTTTTACTATCCGTAATTTTTTTATTAATTTATACCTCTTACTAATCCTATAGTCGGCTGGAGTAAAAGAATCCGTTAGTGCATCGCGCACAACTGCTCGTTGGAGCTGAAAATATGAACAAATTATAAAAACATCTCTACTTCTTCGTTTTTTTTTCTTACTAAACAATTTTATTCTTTACCGTTAACTTTTCTCGTATTGTGTAGAAAAAAATAACAACAAAAAACAGATAAAAATGGGACTATACTAAATTTATTCTTACTTTTGGTGATGCTAACGATTTGATTTCCTCTATATCTTTTGAACTAATTATATCATGAAATAAAAATATTTCTGGACGATCAAGTAACAATTCTTCTTTGAGTGGTGCTATTATCAAACGTGGATGATTGTTATGACGATATCGACAGAATAATTTTGATTGTCGTGCTACATTTAACTAAAATAAAAAATAAATCTAGCTCGAATACTACTAACATCAAAATCAACTATATTCTATAAAATGCCTTATATTTTTAATATGAAATAAATCAAATTCAAAAATGACTTTATATTAAAGATATATAGTATCCATTATGAATAAAATAATAAACTTACATGTGTCGTATTTTGTCTACATAATCGTTCATAGATTTCTCTTTCTTCTAAATAATCACTTGGTCGTATATTTTTAACTTCAAAATTATCATTTGTACTTCGTTTTATTTCAATATGTGTTATTTTTGCTCCTAAATCATTATCATCGTGACCTAAATCACCTTTTCGTTGTTGTTTTGTTAATGTACGATTCTTTATAATAGCTTCATAATATATTTTATTATTTTTTGCACGTAAATGATCAGGAACTAGAAGAGAAACAAAAAATAATTTAAACAAATGACAAGAATTGATTTAATCAATATTTCTTACCAATGTTAAGCATTTCATCTGTTAACGCTAATGCATGTTCAATATTGCCTTGCTAAAAAATATTATCATTTGTAAGTAAATAATCAAATGTAACATGATTGTACGATATTCAGATAATGCAGAAACAAAAAGGTGTAAGGGTAAGATCGTTGAAAAGATAGGTGCATTAAAAATGACTTGATTTGAAAAATTTATGTCAGGAAGAAAAAGTGTGCGAAAATTTTAAGAATTATCAGGTAGTCATCTAGGTCACTTATCAGATAGGAATATATTCTTTTCATATTGATGCATCTTACTTGTGATGTTGCATAAGCTAAATGATCTAATATTGCAAGTTTGTCCGTTGTATCATTGCCTGGTTCACTATCTAAATGATCTAATGCTTCTTGCATCCACATTAATGTATGATAATAATCATTATTTGTATAAGCAACACGTCCAAGATCAAAACATTCTCGAGCTAAAATAGAAACAGTAGGAAAAATCTAATAATTATGTAAAAAAGAGCTCGCTTAGTAGACAGATAATAGTGTTATATGTTTATACGAATTGTAAACAAATGCTTTCTACAAGTATGTCTAAGTTTGAGAAAAAGTTAAAATAGAAAATGAAACAACCAGCAAAAAAATTTCGAACAAAAAGTCAAAGTGCACATAGAAATGTGAGGCTAAATTATGGAATCTTATACAAAAAGTTTTTTGTTCTTTTTTTTAATTTGCTCATTCTTTCAGTGGTATTTATTTTATTTGTTGTTTCTTAGTTGGACAATTCTTTCCTAAACACCAATACACAAAAAAGAACGTTTGAAAAAGGTACAGGTGTAAGACTAACCCGTTTTTCTGACATAATGTTCAAGAATACTGCTTTACAAATCTTACCACTCAGCTTTTTGGATTTAAAATTTGAGCTAATTTCACCATTTGCAACTTGACTCGTATTTAATTCATACGTATCTTGTAATCTCATTAACGCTGTTGCTGAACCCGTATAATCTTCAAATGATGGAAATATCCAATCATCACCAATTTGTTTAATTAAATCTAAAATTGAAATAAAGTCTTTTAGTCTTATTCTATTGACGTATCAAAATAAGATAGGCGAACCTTTGCCATTTTCTGGCTTGATTAAATCTTCTACAGCATACCATTCAGCTGTTAAATGTTTAATAAATAAATAGGCATTAACAGGATTACCAAAATAATGATCACTATCTTGTTGTGCTTGTCTAACTTCGTCTTTGATTACATTCAAAAACCTAAAAAATATGAAATATCAAAATTGGATTCAAAATAAAAGTATTTACATACTTTTCAACGTTATGCAATCGTTCATATTCTTCTTTTAAATATCCTTCGAGCCTTTTTCCTAATTCAACTTCAGTATTCAATAGATGTGTTAAATGTGTTATAGAAGTAAATAATTCTAGACGAATATTCGAAATATAGATGTTTGTTATTAAAAAAAATACGAATAGAAACTGCATTTTGTTTGTAGTTAGCAATACAAATCTAAAAAACTATAAACTTCTGAAGATAATAAGAATTTCTATCAATCACACTGATTTCAAAGATCTCAGATAACATTTGCTTTTACTCATCACGTTAAATTTTTCGTTAGAAATAATATTAAAAAATAGTCATTGAATTTAATAATTTCTGTAAGAAAGAAGGCGATGTTTTGACCTCTTACCAATCAAATTATAACAATCGTTTCAAAAGCAGTTTACCAATGTAATTCGAAAAATTCTAAATTTTTCTTTCCAGAAAACCTTCGGATTCTTCTACAGATTGATCATACCCCCAACTGTGGTGAGTGATGAATCTGTAGAAGTACCAATTTTCTTATGTCATGTCTACCAACATTCCGAAATATACAAATATTCCCAGTTCAGTGCATTGATGTGATGCTATTGTATATCAAAAAATACATTCTCTATTCCTCCATATGTGTACACAATCGAACCACAAAAAAATGTATGCCTATTAATTATCGAATACATCCCAAAAATCAGGAAATGAAACAGAACACATCAAACAAGAGCATCAAACAAGAGAAGAAGAAAAAAAGAAGATAAACAGGCGCCACTACTATTGGTTGAAAGCAACCATGTACTATTTCTTATAGACTCTATTTTGGAAATAGTTTGTTATTTGCCGTCAAAATCCGAGGGAGCAAGAAAAAAGCATAATGTCCTTAATTATATTGATTACAATCTTGATTTTTCTGTTTTGTTCCATTACTTCATAAATTTTTCGAAATTCTTTCTTACGTGTTTACACGATGCACGCATCGTATGATAAGCATGTGACGCATTTTCTCTCGAAGTATCACGTGAATCACTCCCGCACTATATAAACGACTGCCATAGTAGAGAAATCTCAGTATTAACAAGTTGAGTTGTCTGTGAAATTGTACACATTTTAAAGCGTCAATTAATTATTCTTAATTTATTGTATTTGGATTTATACACATATTTCTACTCCATTTGAACATTATACAATGCAAATCTTTGTCAAAACACTCACAGGGTACATACAACATTTTCTGCTATAGCGATGAAGACTAGTAAATAAGTAGTAAAATTCTTTCTTTGATAATTTTAGTAAAACGATTACACTCGAAGTCGAACCATCAGATACGATCGAAAATGTCAAAGCAAAAATCCAAGACAAAGAGGGTATCCCACCTGATCAACAACGTCTTATCTTTGCTGGTAAACAATTAGAAGATGGTCGCACGTTAAGTGATTATAATATACAAAAGGAATCAACATTACATTTGGTCTTACGTCTTCGCGGAGGAATGCAAATTTTTGTTAAAACCTTAACTGGTAAAACAATTACACTTGAAGTCGAACCATCAGACACGATCGAAAATGTCAAGGCAAAAATCCAAGACAAAGAGGGTATCCCACCCGATCAACAACGTCTTATTTTTGCTGGTAAACAATTAGAAGATGGTCGAACATTATCAGATTACAGTAAGTGTACACGATCATGTTTTTATTTGGAAAAAGTTGATAGGATTGCTGTGCTTATCAACTTGTTTCGTTTAATCTTTATAATTTGATAGAGTGAGTAATTTTTCTAAGAAGGGACGAAAGGAACAAAGTCATTGTTTCGAGAGTAAGTCCCCTGGTTATGCCTACTAAACTTTGCGTCATTGAAAAATTTACATTATTTTTCCACATTTTAGATATTCAGAAGGAATCAACATTGCATTTGGTTTTACGTCTTCGCGGAGGAATGCAAATCTTTGTTAAAACCTTAACCGGTAAAACAATTACACTTGAAGTTGAACCATCAGATACGATCGAAAATGTCAAGGCAAAAATCCAAGATAAAGAGGGTATCCCACCTGATCAACAACGTCTTATTTTTGCTGGTAAACAATTAGAAGATGGTCGAACATTATCCGATTATAATATACAAAAGGAATCAACGTTACATTTGGTCTTACGTCTTCGCGGAGGAATGCAAATCTTTGTTAAAACGTTAACTGGTAAAACAATTACACTTGAAGTTGAACCATCAGACACGATCGAAAATGTCAAGGCAAAAATCCAAGATAAAGAGGGTATCCCACCCGATCAACAACGTCTTATTTTTGCTGGTAAACAATTAGAAGATGGCCGCACGTTAAGTGATTATAGTAAGTAATTTATTTACCATATAACTTTTGGTTAACAGTACATTGCATTGTTACCAAATAATTTTTTATGCACATTTTGTTCAGATTGATTTGTACGGTACTTGTATATTTTAGATATTCAAAAGGAATCGACATTACATTTGGTCTTACGTCTTCGCGGAGGAATGCAAATTTTTGTTAAAACCTTAACTGGTAAAACAATTACACTTGAAGTTGAACCATCAGATACGATCGAAAATGTCAAGGCAAAAATCCAAGACAAAGAGGGTATCCCACCCGATCAACAACGTCTTATTTTTGCTGGTAAACAATTAGAAGATGGTCGCACGTTAAGTGATTATAATATACAAAAGGAATCAACATTACATTTGGTCTTACGTCTTCGTGGTGGCGCTTGATTGATTGTGGAGATGAAAGGACGAAAATAAAAACTCGTATTTAAAAGCATTTTTTTGTCTTTATCATTTAGTGGTTTCAAACCGTTATTGTTGTTGTAAAGAAAAGAAAAATATTAACGTGGTTCTGTAGCTTTTTTTATGTTTATTCTATAAACGTCTTATGTATTTGCGAAAGAAAACGTTTCTGGTATGACAAAAAAAATACGGAATTTCAGAAACTTGACAGTGATATACTAATCCGAATGTTGAGAATGATAATGACAAACAGTCTAAGTGAAGACTGTGATAAAATCAGAGCAATAAAATTTTCTGGGTAGATATTGTAATTTATGAGAAAGAATGAGAATGATCGCCTACTTGAAAACTTTTCATCTAATAATTTCTCCATAACAGACCTTTGAAATTAAGCTAAATTTACCAGTAAAGCAAAAATGGCGTTCGTCTTAAGTTTACGGTTGTTTTAATGTAACTGAATTTGTATCACTATGACAAACGTGAGATTTTGCTCGATCAATTTAGAAGGAGGCTATAAATATTTATCTATTGACATGCGTTCAAAACTTAATAATAAACTACAGATTCTAGAGCATAAAATAGATGATTTTATTTTTGGTGAATACTTTAAGAATATATGTACTGTGTAAAAAACTTTTCATCCTGACTTTCAAAACAGATGGGCGAGTACACGGATTTCTGAGTAAGAGTACGAGTATTTTCTAAAAAGTACTCGAGTACTGCTCGATTATAAAATTTCTTTAAAGAAGTCGGTGATTTCGAAAAAATCGATTTTTTGATATGTAAATAGCAAGAAAAAGGGTTACCAGTTTTTTGGGTAGTACTCGAGTATTGTTTAGAATACTCGTTAAAGAAAGTCCCGAGTACGAGTACTAGAAATTTTGTACTCTAGCATACTCGCCCATCTCTGTTTCAAAACTGTAAGTGTTCCGATTTCTAATTGGTGTTATGAAAGTGCTTAACTTTTATTACCGTTTCATACAATTCATCGTTTATTTTGTATGATAATTTCGTTTGAATGAAGATGTTATTGTTGACGTACAACTTCTCTTTGAATTTCTTTATCAACTATTGATATTTTAATATCAAACAGTTCCTATCTATATAAACTCGTTTACTAAAGATGTGAGTGAAAAAACAAATGAATTCGTGTTTTCATCTTCAACGTCCGATAGTTATTTTTTAGAGTAGTAAATGTGGATAAGTATTATACTTTGATGATTTAAATTCGACAAAACATCTTATCTTCATTCAAATTAATGGATAATTTTTGTTGAACGAAACTTCATACTGTATAGTGCTCGCCTAAGAGAAAATGTATTTTTGACCACAAAATCTGCCCCACAGTAGCATCATACAAGTAATTTAAAATATATCTATTTACAAATGCAAAGTTATACTAAGTATCTTTGGATCTCCTGTACTTTTTCACTTTCCTTACGATTTAATAAGCATTTTATTATCAACTTGACAAAATTCCAATACATTTTTTCAAAAACGTGATGATTATCTAACGTTCGAGAGAACGATTGATAATGAAATTTAAAAAAACGCAATATATACCTTTCTGGAAAGATATTTTCTCTAAAACGTTTACAAGTATCTATAAGGTTTTATTTTTGTAGCAGAATGATATGATCATCGTTACATTTTTGTCCAATCACTCTGAGTATTGTATATGACTGAATTATAGTTTAGATTCTTAGTGCTCGCACAACTTCAAGATGAATTTGATCATCCGAGATTGAATTGTGAGCGTTCTTACGTAAGACTTCCGTAACAATCGTATTGTTGATGAAAAAAATTAATCATTGATAGTCAAATCAAGCTTTTAAGAGCTGTGATGCGGAGAATATTATGTAATCAATATAAATCCGGAAAGATCCTTTTCTTCTTTTCAATTGCACCGATTTGATATTGATGAGGTATGTTTTAGACCGTGATCATTACAATAATATGTAAAAAAAGAACAGGGTTTTCCTTCATTTTTTACGTGCAATGAGTCAGATATGACTCTTCTACCTGCACTCTCGTTACTAGGTCCTGTAAATACATGAACCAGATTCTACCCATTTTCTTTCTTCTAAGCCTTACTGCATTTTTTTTTCTCGAACGGAGGAGGAGATTTACGTCACTGGCAAACATCTATATAAATTCAAAATTTTTCGTAAAAGCTCTATATTAACGTTAATTCGTTCGATTCAAGCAAACAAATTAGAACAAGGTAAGATGGAATTTGTTTGGCATATACTACCGACACAAAGAGTGGCATCTGGAGAGATTAACATGAACGTAATATGAGGGTTCTCCCTCTTTTTTGAAAAAATTTGGATTTTGAGTTGAGTATAGACCAATGGAGAGGAAAGTCTGAAATACAAAATGGAACCATAGCCAGAGATTCACAACTTTTACTGCAAAAATGATAAACTTTCTGAAGTTTTTGCTCAAAAGGCTGAAAAAACTCGACTGTTTTTAATTGCAAATTTTTCTCTTCTTTTCAGCCCCTTCTAAAAAATTTTTCTCACATTGCCTGATAGAGCGAAGTGTTCTCTTCACAATGAGATGTCTTACAGAATTTTTCAACCATGTTTCACGGAGATATAAGCATTGCCATAAATACCCTGAAAAACCTTTGTCTGATGATACTTGTAATACACATAAAACTGGTACTTTCACATTACGACCTCTCGAAAATACCTGAGATACTTCAGGTCCGATCTCAGGTTCTAAATTTTTTTAAAGCATTTTCTTCAAGTTCAATTTTCTTTGTACGGAGTTTTCTAAAATCAAAATCGACGTTTTACAAAGGATTTTAAGCATTTTCTTGACTATCTCGAGAAGGAAAGCATATTTTTCGAAAACAATTTAGCATCTGAGATAGTGTCTGAAGTGTCTGTGATAAAACTTTGGGCTGGATCAGATCGTGTTTTCAAGGGATCGTAATATGGCTGGATAAAAATCGGGGTCTTCGAAAAATCTATGGACGAAAACATGTAAGCAAAATCTGGACAAACATACATTGATTGTCTTGTTTGGGAAAAAGGTTGGGATCAATCGGACCTTTGCTTTCCACCATTGCCAACAGAGTGAAAAAAGAGATGGAAGGATTCCCCTGATAAGATTTAGTCGGACACTTATTATAATATGCCCTCTTGATAAGAATTCTGTTTCCTGAACTTTTAATTTGTTAAGTTTGTATGACCATACGGTAAAGTTACATTTCTTTCATATATAGTGGACTAAATGAAACTTCTTTGTTGTTTTAGAATATTAACTATTTACAAGAAATGGGCTTTGGCGATCTTCTAATTGGTGGTGCTGTCGGTTTAGGAGCGTATGAATTATTGAAACACCATCATCAACATCGTTATGGTTACGGAGGAAATTATGGATACGGGTATCCTTATGAATATCAATATCCACAATACTATGGTTACGGATATCCATCTTACGGCGGTTACTACTATTGAGTCTGATGTACGTTTTTGTGATCTTATAATATATATCTGTAAATATGTATTAAATTTTGGATTATAAATAAAATAAAATGGTCGACAATTTGATTTTCAGATAAGAAATACTAACCTATAGTAAATGTGATTAGGTTTAAATACTTTTCTTGAATAATAAAGTCGGTACTTGCCGTTTTTCTAGAAGTAAAGTAGAGTTATAAATATTTGTCTTACTTACAAGTACTGGAATTGTTTTCTAGTTAATATTATCCAAGCGTTTCTGTATAACAATAATTATAAAACAATAATTTCAATAACTATATAAATAATAATTGCTCTTGCAGTAAGTTAGTGACACTACCGCTGCATGATGATAGAAGTATAATTTGTAATGATGTTATAAACAATACCGACTAAAAGAATATTACGAGCTAATAAAAAGACATTTAAACAAAACATAAAATAGAGTACTGTGGGGTAAAAAGAGTCAGTTCACGAAATTTTCGTCGTAATTTCACTATTTCTTCTCCGTTTTTAACTGAAAAAATTCGATATTCACCACGATAGTAAAGCCGACAATTATCTACAC